CCGGACGAGGGGAAGGCGACATGAAGAAAGATGCCGATCTGTGCATCGGGTATTTCCTTCCTCACCATGGCAGGGACTAGGAGGAGATGGTAGTCGTGCACCCAGACCACATCTCCTCTTTTCCAGTTTTTGACGATCTCCTTTGCAAAGTTGTAGTTGACGCGACGGTAGTATATCCACGAGTGGTCTTCGTACGCTTTACTCTTAGGGTTATCCGGGATCTGATAGTGGAAGACTGGCCAGAGGATCATCTTGCAAAAGTGCAGGTAATGGCTGTCAAAGTCATTGTCCGAGACAAATATCGTGAGCGCCTCGCAGTCAGCGGCCAGCTTTTCAGCAATAGCTTCCTTTTGCTTGTCCTGCAGTGCATCGGTGGGCATTCCCAGCGTGCCAACCCATAGTTTGTCTTTCATGTACGGCCAGTCAACGGCCGAACGGATTGCGTTCAGCAGGCCGCCGTTCCCCTGTTCGGAGGGCTGAACGGTCCATTCTGCGCTCTCAAACACCTTGTCCTGGGTTACCTGGGGCTTTTCCACCGTAGATGGCCGTACCGGAGAAGAGAGGAGGACCGGCTCGATCTTGGATAGTTCAGATGCATACTCCTGTCCCAGTCTCTTGAGCTGGCCCTGTGAATGGCTGAGGATGGAAGATGAAGGGGGCGCGAGAGCCTGTGCCTTGGGCTGATTGAATGCTCCGGGGGACCCCCAACGAGGCGAATGCGGGTCACTGGGCGCCAGAAGCTGGGGTTTAGGAGAGGCAGCCTCTATCCCAGAGCTCGAGTAGCCCGGATATGAGAAGATCTGGCCCTGGTCCCTTGAACTGGACGGTCGGCGGCCAGCGACTGTCGATGCCGGCACAGGAGTCGATGCAGACGCAGGAGTGGGCGGCTGGCTTCCTCCTGCACGCCCAAAGAGAGTAGCCCTCTGGCCAGAGCTCTTGCGGCGGTGGTGATGGGACGACCTGCGCTGGTGGCCTTCCGGCAGCGCAAAGTCGATGGTATGTGGCAGGAAGCTGTTCAGTCAGCGATGTTTGTACACCAGTAATAGGTTGGAACATACAGAGAAACGATAAATATCGTCATTGTCGCGGTCTGTAGAGCCGTATCTGCGCATATATGGGTGTCTCTTTGCTGCGGCGTGACCCCTCCATATAACTGCTCTCTCTCTCCCTCGCTCTCTACACTCTCTAAGCAGGTGAACGAGAGGGGCAGTGTATCATATGTAGACCGAGAGACGGTACGCAAAAAAATAAAAAACACATTCAAGTCACAGCAGCATCAATTCGCCGGACAGCAGCAGGATCAGGCATTGAGAATGTGGTGAATGATGGTTTGGCGTTGTGAGGGTCGAGGGAAGATCGCAGAAGGTCGATGATGTCGGGATGGAGTAACGTGAGGAGAGCCGCCTCCATCTGGCTTCCTCCTTGCCTTTTCCACCAAGTTTCTTCCCAAGAGCCAACAAGGCAGCCAGCAAGCCCAACCAGCCGACTAGTTAGAAAAACCGTGGGTCGCACTTCATGTAACTTCGCTCTCTGTCTGTCTGTTGCTCTGCTCGCTACAGAATAAAGGAAAAAGCCCCTTCTTCTTGTTTCATTTGTTTGGGGGAGGGAAAGTTGACACTGCGGGATTCTAGCCCAAACCTTTGGCGTGTGAAGTTGCTAGCTATCTACGTCATATTCTCCGGCCAAGGAGGCGTTCCAGTCGGAGTCCAAAGAGCCGACCCGGTGTATGTTATGTACTGTGTATGTTGTTTTGTATGTGGTCGTGGCTACTGACTGGGCAGAAATTGGGCCTGCTCTGGGGGGATGCGAGAGGTCAAGCAAGGCGCAGAAGATGCTGTTGTACGGGGGTAAATGCTGGCCATGGAACATAAGGCCTGATACCAATCCTGGCAGTCTACGAGCAAGACCTCGTCCGCAGGTTGTGTCAGTAGTAGTCGTTGATATATCACTTTCCGGCAGTATACGGGGTCGACTGGTTGCTAACTCCTGTAATTGGGCACTAACTGGTTTAGTCAATACTTCTAGATCTTTATGGTCAGCTTGTTATCCCCGACTCGTACTCTGTACTATGTTATAGACCTTCTTTGTTATCCGTACGATATGTGCCAACCGGACATCAATATACTGAAACTATCATTTTCGGTAGTCAAGAACTAGATCGAAGATGTCAAACAAATGGATGTTAAAACCCCTTCATGCTGAGCATTTTTTAGGTCCCAAGTCCGTCTCTCTTTGCTCTCTCTCTCTCTCTCTCTCTTTTTGCTTGCTTTCGAGATGTTTTTTTTCTTCTTTTGATAGAAAAAAAAGTTAGAAATATTTAACTTTAACACGTGACATACTTTATTAATAATCACTGACTAATATTAGATCTATCACGTGACATGACGATGTTCAAAGTAAAAAAAGAAGCGAAGAAAGATGAAAAGAAGAAGATTAAGACGTTCTATAGATTGTATAGACAGATAATATATAAAGACGGTGATGTCACTTAATTTGACGGCGGCACATTCATCTCGCATAAAGAAACCGTCCTCTGCTTCTCGCCAAAAGACTGCATTTGGCTCCTTCCGGCGTACCAAGGCTCCCCCCCCGACTGTACCTCGTAGAGGCACGCAGGTTGAATCCAGCGTCCACCAGGCGGATGAAAGTAGTGGAAAAAAATATACCAACAGCACTGGGGATGGAGATGTGCTGTTCCATGAACCACTGTCAGACCTGGGCCCTTCGAGGGTCGTCGCAGAATCAGCCGCTGTCGACAATGTGACGAAGGCCATCCAGCACATTCGGAATACGATGTTCAGTGACATACCGGAAAGAAGGTCAGGAATGAATAGTGCACGGATTGCACAGATTATGGCATTCAGAAAGTCACTCCCACCCATCGTGTCTGTGGCGCATGTACATGTTCTGCTCGACGAGCCAACGAAGGTGGAACGAGAGATCGTGCAGCTGATTGACTCGGCAGTCGTGCGGAGACTGCTTGTTACCGGTCGTGGAGACGGGACTTATGGACTGGGAGACTGTCTTGTATCACTGGACGACTGGGAGGAGCTGGTCAGAAACAGCCCTTCTCTGGATGATGCGTTGAAAGGTGAGATTTCCTACTCTCCATATGCCGTTAACCACCCCTCTAACGGGTTCTAGACCGCTTCATCGAGGCCCTACGGAAGGACACGAAGTCCCCCGCAGTCCCTGCAGGCTTCTTCTCACCAGAAGAAACTGCTGCACTGGTCCGTTCGGGCTTCCTAGTCACAGCCTCATCTCATTCCAAGAGCGGCTACATCAACGTAGGCCGCTCGATAGCTTCAGGCTCCACGGATCGTAGTGTCAGCTCACGGGAAGAAAAAGGGTCAACGATGATCCTCTCTTTACCCAATATGGGACCGTACCTCCGACTGCTCGGCTCGGCACGCACTCAGATATTAGAAACGCTTCGAAAGTCTCGATATAGCGAGGCACCCCTCTACCTGATTCGTGATCGATGGGATGGGTCAGTGGAGATGAATTCCCGAGCCAGTATGGCGAAGCACGTCCGTGGAGAGTTTTCGGGTGTTTTACCCGGACGAACAAACAAGTGGAAGCAGCTGTATGGCTTGAACTTTTATTGGGCGCTAGAAGAAGCGTTGGGTGCAGGCCTGATCGAGGTTTTTAACACAGGAAGCGTTGGTCCCGGAGTGCGGAGTGTATAACGAGGGTTCGTCTCTGATACATATCTTTCTTTTCCCCTTTGCATAGCTTGAAGGAGCAGCGCTCAAGCAATTCTCTGTACAGTGATACCCCCTTATGGCTTTAAACAAAATACGACAATTGTTCGACTAAATACTGGCACAATAACACCTTCTTCGATACTTCAAATATATATAATGCGCCTTCCAAGGGAAATGCTCCGTTATTTATTTGATTTCCTGTTCCCCAGTGGCTCTTTCTTGCAATTTTGCTTTCGCCCCCGAGATCAAAGATATAAATGAAAACATCCTGCTCTTCCTCTTCTTCCTATCATCTCTTCTCTCCCTTTAATCAGTTCACGCTCGTTGACAAAGGTTGATACTTATATTCATATAGAATATATATCGACCATCCAGCCGCTCATTTCATCGTTTACGTCACTCGCTTCATTGTATCTCTGCATCTTTCCGTGCCACCAGTGGTTACTGCATAATACGCAAAAGGGCTCGAAACCGTTTAATGGACAAACTCATAATTTATCCGCCATCACCGAGCTCTGAAGACAGGAATAGCCAAAGAATGTCACAGCAAGGTGATAACGATGGGCCATCGCATCCAGCTTCATCTTCTGCCGATCAACCTCAACCTGGAGGAGGAGGGGGGCCAACAGAACCCTCAGCAGCACCTACAGAATCTTCATCAGGGCCTCCGGCACAGCCTACGGACATGACAGATGAGCCACCTACAGATCCGTCATCGGCAGGGCCATCTCAGCTTTCCCCAGAAGCAGAGACACAGCCTGCACCTGCACCTGCAAGACCATCAACTCAACCAGGCTCTACGTCCCCAGATGTGGCTTCTAGAGATACTCATGAAATGACAGGAGCCGTAGCTGGAGGCTCGTCACAAGATCCTAGGTCAAGGAGGCAACAGCCACAAGCTGGATCATCAAGGACACAAAGGGAGAGGCAGAATCGGGGAGATCCACCGCAGCCACGAGGAAATACTCCCCCCATAGATACAGACGTGATTGCCATAGCAGGAGATCGTGGTGGACTTATGCGTGCTCCTCGTGCTGGAGCAGAGCCACAGGTCTATAGGGGCATTTTACCGGACTATATACACCCAAGGCCAATTGAAGCCACTAAGCTTCCGCTCTGTAGCCTGTTCAGACAAACGATGAATTCATTATACCCTCATCTAGATGCTTTTCTTCAAAAATCGTTGGATAAAGCATTTGAAACCATTTACCAGAAGGTGCCCTCTGATCTCCCTGGAGCGCCATATCCCAGACCGCGACGCTCCCCTGGATGCAAGCCCAAGTGTTACTTTTCCCATCGTTCCCTCATTAGGGAGTTCGACCCAGGATGGGCGGAGGACCACCGCGAGCATGAGGGTATTATACCAGACGATGCCAATGAGGAGTGGTTCGGGAGGAAGTCCGTACATAAGGATAGCCAAGGGATGGGACGTGCTTCATTTGCAGACATGCGAAGTTACTGGAAAGATAGACATACTATACATCTCCCAGAGTATGTGAGTGGGATTAAAGTGACCAACGTACATAGATACAACTGCGAGGATATAAAATTGGTCAACTGGCGTGATGTCACTGCTGAAAGTAAGTACATTTATACGCATAATAATAACTCTTTTTGTAGCACTGTGCTGACTTAGGCTAAGTCTGTTGGATTGAACGTTCCGACGCTCTTCTATCCTCACACCGTGTATTTGCTGTGATGGTCATCACCGCTGCCAGAGCCTTTGACCCTGCAACCATGGGTCGGTTGGACGCCGAACTCCCGTCGTATGACGAGACTGCTGACTCTCGGCCAAAGCCAATTCCAAAGCCAGGGCAAAATTACGCAGATATTCCACCTGAAGGTGACCCTAGAAGCTCGAGAGATGCCGAACCTGCGCCAGAATCTAGGGGTGAAGCCGGAAGCTCAAGGGATGCCCAACGTTCACCTGAATCTGCACGGTGCGAGGCCGGAAGCTCAAGGGATGTCCAACCTGCGCCCGAATCTACACAGTGCGAAGCTGGAAGCTCAAGGGATGTCCAACCTGCGCCTGAATCTACACAGCGCGAAGCTGGAAGCTCGAGAGATGTCCAACCTGCGCCTGCAGAACCAGCACCTATCGGACCGGTTCCAGCTAGAGGGGTCCCAGAAGGTTGGCTGGACAGCCTGGTTGTTGTACATCTTCCTCTCGATCATCGATGTATTCCTCGCACACCAAAAGAGCATCCCATTAAGCGGACTATCTTCCCTACGTACGTCTCTGTTGGAATGGTGAGACAGTTGCCCAAAACCTCCGAGGAAGAAAAAGACAACAAGACTGGGAAATACGAATGGTTATTTGCACTCTCAGCAAAACCGCAGAGTAGAATGCCCTTGCGATGGCAGCAAGATTTGTACGTCGGCATTCCACATGTCATCAAGGATGAGCCTGGAGAATTTATGCGGATGATGGGCTGGCGTCGGTACAACGATCGCCCACGGCCAAAATCTTTAGTCCGGTTTATGTGAGGAATTTTATGGAGACACTGAGGCTCCATTGCAAGTCCGAACAAGCACGCTTATGGTTTCTTTTGTTCGAGTTCACGGATGCTGGTCTTTTCAGGCGCAAAGGGCGTATAGCTTTTTATGTATAATCAAACTCAGCAAAAGGGCAGCCACTCATTATCCTTCTTTTAGCAGCTCAACTCACATTCTTTAATGAAAATGGCAAATTATTGCATGCTTTTTCCATTTCTATGTTACGTACGGTGGCGTAGTATATCTATATAGTTCACTTCGTATAAGACGAGTCTATTGACTACCAAATAGAGAGGAAAGGGATGCCAACTCTCTTACCACTATAGAATTGAAGCGAGTGCGATTTAAGAAGCAAAAATAATGCAATTATTGATGCTGAAAATTGTCTCGATGTCAAGTTGTATATATAAGTGAGTAAACTGAGCGAACTGAATGTCTCCTTAACTATCCCATAAACTAGATATATAATTGGCGGAAGCCACATCCACAGGTCCAGACAAACCCGTCCAAGGAAACTATTCAAACAAATAATAAATATTAAATGAAGCCAGAAGTATGCTAAGCATCGGGAAAGGAAAGGATGCGGGAGGGGAGAGAGTAAAATAAGAATAATCATTTCAGTCATTCATTTAAGTTAACTGCTTTGTTTTCATAAAGTAGAAAGAGTAAGGCGGGTTGAAATGTATATATTATCGAAGGGTATATAATCATGGAGCCATGCGTAGTGGTAGCTAGTACAGCTGCAGAAGAGACGGAGGTATGACGGTGAAGGGACAAAGTACGTATGGATAAAAATATGATCTGAATGAAGCGAAATAGGGACAAAGATTAAAGCCGCAAGTAAATAGAAAGTAGGCTGGCAAGTCAAAAGTCATATACAGTTTTTTTTGAGGAGGTGAGGAATGTATTATTTTTTTTGTCATTCGAACCAGGGGGGTTTCATTATATTGTCGAGTGGATGTATAGGTTGAGTTTGGGGGGTATAATTGAGGGTATAGAAAGGGTTATTTTCCGTTATATCTCAAGAAGGCTCTGACGAATGCCCTGATGTGAATGACCGGCATGAAAAAAGCGAGCGATAGAGAGAACGATAGTGATTTCATGACTGCCGTCACCGTATTTTATCCACCTGCCCGGGTTAAATGCAGCCCAATAGATATTCAGACATACCAGAGAGAATGAATGCTGATTCCTGACCATCCTGTCCAATAATCAAGGGGTAATATTAAATGGGGTATAAAAAGTCGTTAGATAATCCAGAAAGATAATCTGCTATTCAAGCCAATTCAAATTCAGGCTTGTATCATGTAGGAATGAACCATTAGGAACCATTCGGGTTCGGGGTTTTAGCCATCTGTTCTCCACTTCCGACGCCACCGGTCGTCGCTTGTGCAGTTGCGGATGTGCTGGCCGGAACGGCAGTGGACACTGAGGTAGGGAGAGTAATAGGGTTAGAGGAAGGCGTTTCCGCTTTTCCACCACTCCCACTGGCAGCTTTATCCTGGTTTGCCTCACTGCTACCTGTTACACTGTTTAATTGACCGCGTAGCCGGACAACTTCGCTCTCTAGTCCGTTGACCCTATCCTCGAGTGCTCGCATATATCCCCATATCCGATCCGAGGACGGTAAATTTGGGTTGGGGCTAGGAATCGACAGCTGTCGAGTTGGTTGGTCGTTCGACCCACGTTGATGCGGTGAGTGAGTGAAATATGACCCCCCAGACATGTTAGCTAGGGAGCCGTTGGCATTGAAACCTTCACTCGACGGGACGCTTGTATAGCTGCTATTTCCACTACCAGTACCGGAACTCGGTGCTGTGTTACTGTCAATGCTAGATGATGGGGGCGGGGGATGATGGGAATGCTGGAGCGGCGGGTGGGAACCAGTACGGTTGGGGAGATGAGCACCCTGTTGCTGTTGCTGGGAGTGGAGTGTGAAGCGGGAGTCGGGCGGATTGAGCCCAATTGGTGGTGGAAGGTGTGGGGTGCCTGCTTGGGAGCTTGGATGGCTTAAAGTGCCTCCTGGTGATGAAACTGAGGAAAACGGTATACCTAAGCCGGCCGAGCCGTTGCGCATCTGAGATTGATATTGAGGCATACCGGGCTGGTGTGTTTGACGGAAGGCATTCTCGGGGCCATGGCCAAGTTGCCTTGACGCTGCGCTATTTGGAGAGAGCGGTTTGGGGGATTCGGTCATGCCTGATTGCGCAAACATTGACGGTGACGATGCGCCAGGTGGAAAGGAGAGGTGGGAAGGGGACTGGGAGATAGTGGATGTGGATGAATTCGACCGTTGGTGATTGCTAGCAGGAGGGAAAAGCCCACCCCCACCGGGGTTCTGTTGCGATCGAGTAGCTGCGAGTGGTGGATAGGTGCTTGATTGATGAGATTGCTGAAAGGAGACATGACGAGCAGAGCCGGGTTGAGACTGGTCTGAGGCGTTATCTTTTTTGATGGAAGGGAGATTGAGGCGCATCTCCTCTTCTTCATCCATCCGATCTGGCTCTGTGTACATGAGTCCCTCCATCCCGTCTTCCGCCACTGGGCCGCTACCGGCATTGTCACCAAAATCATCCTCACCAACAAAACTGCTCATGCTAGACCGTCTACCAGCACAGCCCCCAGGTCCTTTATTATGTCGGGCCAGAGCATCACCACGGGCAAACCGTCGGCCGCATTTGAGGCAGATATGCGGCCTCTCTCCGGTATGTAGTTTTGTATGACGTTTTAGATCGTGCAGTCGCCTAAATCGAGACTGGCATGTTTGGCAAACGTATGGCTTCTCTTGGCTGTGGGTTAGGAGGTGGCTTTTTAAATTATGATGTCGAGTAAATTCGGTAGCGCAATATGGACATCGATGCTTCTTCGAAGACGGGGAACGGGCGCCAGATTTGTTTAGGCCCGAATGTGGAAGACTCATTCCGCGCCGAGGGTCGTTCAGGTTGCCAGCGGTCGGCATGGGAACAGGGTAGGAGAAAGATTTATTGCCGCCTTCTTCCTCCATCTCGTCTCTCTGTTGAGATTTATCTTCTAGCGGATTTGGCTCTTCTATCGGCCCGGGGCTGGCGACTGTGGAACTATTCATGAGTGTAGGTGGATTATCTCCATTGGTAAAACTGTCCGGAGCGCTAGACGGACTCCTCCGAGACAGATTCTCTTGTGAAGGAGCGGGTTTGGAGGACCGTGTAGGGCGGGCGGGATTAGTGTCACGGCCTTCGTCCACAACCGTTATTTCCGGTGTTCTCCTAGCAGACTGCGGGTTACTACTCTGGCGCCGATTCCGTTCCTCCTCTGCGCGTTGACCGGTAGACGTCATCGGAGGCTGAGATAGCCGTTTGTTTCTTTCAGTTAAAGGCGTGGAGTTGACGTTTAGTCCCGCGTTCGCGATAGACGACAGGTTGCGCTCGTCTTTAAGGTCGTCGTGTTTCAAAAATAGCGAGATCGAACTTGGAGTTGGAGTCGCAGAGCTCGAGGCACGACCATTCAGGGACCTTGATGCTGGGCTTGGAGGGCAGGCCGGTTCAGGAGCCTGTGTGAGGGACTCAGCCATGCGAAAACTGCTGGTGCGGCCAGCTCGGTGTCTGTTTTTTCGGTCACACCACCTAATACTGATGATGGGAAGCCCCAGGTATTCCAGCTGTTGCGGTAGTTAGCCGGCTGGTAGCGGGTAGTTACTTGGTGCAGAAAAAAATTATAGAAAATAAAATAGGAATGAAAAAAAAAAAAGTTATAGCGAGCAGTCTTCCCAGAGAGAGGATTTTCAAAGTAAAAAATTGCTCCGGTTGGAGATGATCACGTTTACAGCCTGCAGTGCAATGTTGATGAACAGCACGCGAGAACCATGGAGTAGTAGCAGCAGCAAATGATACCAGAGGAAACGATGAAACGGATGGACTAACAAGCGCGAATAAAGCGACGGCGAAGAGGGCGAAGCAAGGAGGGAAGGGTGACACCTACTGTCTTGGTGGAGGTGGGCCTGGATGTATCGGCGTTGGAGGAATGAGTTGTGGCGCAAGCTGACGGGCTAAATTCCCTGAGGAAACGAACTGGTAGTGCCAGCCTCGGGTCTGATGGGATCGACAGCAACTCGATAGAGCCAATATCAAGCCAGTAATATATTTGTTGAAGTAGCCGGTAAGGTGTGGCATACGATTCGAGACAGAGCGTTCGGCTCCCGCACTGCCAGCGAAAGGGAGGCTACCTCGTCGTATGTATAGCGTTGGAGGACTTTTGTTCCGTGACGGTTTAGCCGTTCACAGTCAGGCGACCAGGGTTGGTCTTCCTGCACAAACTTGCGTAGTAATAATCGAAATTACTATGTATTTATGCAACGCCCTTGGGCAAAAGTTGAGCGCAAGCAGCTCGATCAGACAAGCAACGGATTTAGCTAACCCGAGGGCAATATGGCAATGGCGGGCGACAAATAAGGCTCTGTAGGACAGTCAATAATTCCTTCGATGGCAAAGCAAAAAGGAATCGACGTGAGGTGAGGCGGAGGACGGGGTGCAACGCCACGCTGAATAAGACGCCTCCGCGGTCCTTGGTACGGGTTGACAGGCAGTCTAAGTATATATAGAGAGCAGATCAGCTGAAAGGACAGGCGGCGGCTCAACGGCGCACTATCAGGAGATGTTGAAGAGCCAGCACTAGGGATGAAGTTTTATGGCTGGTATAAAATATCTCTTGATGGATGAAGAAGTCGAAGTTTGTCGTCGAGGCTGACTTTTCGTGTATTTTTTTTTGCCTGTAACAATGAAATACGACATGTGACCGTATGGTATCTTCTATACCGTCATGCAATACGACAATACGCGGCTCGTGGCCGAGCTGCGGCTCAGCAGCGTCGTTTGGGCGTCCATGGCAGATGGTCATTGGTCAAGATGATAAAATTGGCCCCACAGTGTGGAGAGACCCCTGTCGGAAGGCGCTGTTTCGTACTGTAAATACAGGTGGCTGAGTCAGCTTATAGTTTCTATTGAAAAAGAAAAAAAGGAGAGAAAAAACGTTTCAAGTGTCCATTGAAGCATTTACCATATTGTGTCGTTCTGGATATCCGTCAGCGCGACTCATGCAAGCGGAGAGACGGCTTGCATCCTGCATTCAGGCATGGTCGATCAAGCCTGAGACGTGTCTTCGTGAAGTTGCCACGGGGACGTGCCAAGTTTCGTGCTTCATGCAGGCCAGCAGTTTGACGAAGAGTCTGGTTTCTAGAAGGCTGTTCCTCCTTGCTTAAACCCTTGATGCTGAAGCTAATTTAAGGGCAGGGCGTTTTATCCTGGCTGGAGCTTGTCAAGGCGTTGTTTCATCGGCTGTGCTGTGGCAGGAGGTGTATAGACATGGTCCTTTGGGCAGATACGAGGACAGGAAGTATGAGTACCGCCGGCTTAACCGAAGACGCAGATGTCCCTGACGCCTGCAGAATCTGGCCAGCTCTGGCAAATTGGTCTGTCTGGGGTAAGTTGCCCTGTGCATTGCTCTGATTGGTAACTCTTCGTCTGTGTGGCTTTGCAGGGCTCCGACCAAGGCAGGCAGAGAGCTTACCTGTCCTTCCATACTCCATACATAGTCAGCATATCATGTGTTTATCCATCGCATCTGAGGAAGATGGCGCTGCGGGCGAGTGGAGATTGATATCAAGACGACAGGGATTGGTGCTGCTCTGCTTGACTTGCTCCATCTGGAAGCGTTATCGACGCAATGACGTTTTCTAGGTGCCTTCGAGGTTGGAGCTTCCAACTAATTGTATTAAGAGGGGCTCCTGTTTGCCACTGATCCCCCAATTATGAAAATTATGGGCTCAGATACGGATGGCGAGCTTTCAGCATACAAGTTACACTGAGGGGGGGGGGGGGGTGCTTTGGCCTAGGAAAACAAAAAACCAATAGGCATGCATGCACCCGAGACCCAAGAAGTTAACTATACTCTTTCAATAGCATTCATGTTTATGATAAATGGCCACAATGGAATGTGGAGGATATGGAACAGGAGGCTTATCTTTCACCAAATCACCAATGGAATGAACAAAAAGGATTAATCCAAACTAACCGTTCAAAGGGGGATAAGAAAACAGGGCCAACACGCTAGAGCGCTCAAAATTAAAATCAAAAAATGTGTATACAATGAATAGCAAAACAAGATGGTGGCGAAATATTTGTTGAAGGAACATGCATAAAAGGGGTATCATTGAGAATTTGTTCTCTAGCTCTCAGCCATCCTTTCAAGTGTGTCCTTTCTCTGCATTCCTCTTCTTTGCGTCCTCTAACGCCTTTCTCAACCTTTCTTGCTGCTGCTGCTCCGCACTTATTGTGTTCGTGTTTGGGGGAGTTGAGACACCAACGCCTAAAGCCGGAGGAGTAGTCGATGAGACTGTACCACCAGGAGAAGACGTGGCTTGAGGCCTGGAGTTGGAGCCTGAAGGCGGTGTCAAAGAAGCACCGGTGCCACTACCAACAGCCTCCTCCACTGATTCTAGGACCTCTTCGATGTTCATGATGATAGCGCGGTGACTAGTCCGAACACTAGACATTCTAGATTGCAAATCATCTTCGATCTTCTTATCCTCTTTTTTCTTCTCTTCTTCAAGGCGGCGGAATATATCTGCACTAGAGTCTGCGACCTTGGCTTCAGCCACAGAGATGTCGTAGTCAGCATTATTTAACAATCTATCCGCGACACCAAAGCTTTCCAGCACGGACTCTGAATTGGCGCCGAGAAATTTCACAAACTCCAAAGTGTTCTGTAACAATTTAACGCCACCAGTGGGGACAATGCTAGGGGTAGAACGAATAAGGTCCGTGTCAAATTTGTTGATTTTGGCTGATATGTCGTCGAGCAAGCGCTGGTTCTCACCAATTCCACGCATGCTTGCGTCATCAAACACGTCCATCAACTTGTTTGTTCGCTCGTCTCTGGCTTTAGCTGCATCTAGGAGCGTCTTTTGTTCCAGTGCTGTGAATTCCTTCTCCATTTGTTTTAATGCTGCAGTATCACCTAGGAAAACATAGTACCGGCGTTCAGCCTTCTTCCGGCGTCGTTCGCGCTCGAGAACTCCAGCCACACGCTTAGCATGGCGGAGCTCGAGCTTCTGGAAAATATCCACTGCATTACGCATTGCATAGGAGAGCTCGAATTTCCCTAACCCTGACGGTTTTCCTCCTTCTGGCTGCAAAAGTTCGGCTGTCTCATTATACAGATGCTGTAGCCGCTTGATCTCCGAAGCGAGTCTTTCATCAACGCGGGTAAACACAATCTCCACATATTTTTCAAACTCCTTTCGCTCTTCATTCAGTTGTATCTGAGCCTCGGTCTGTTTGAATTCATCCTCTAATACGTTGATGTCGGAGTACCCTATCTCTTTATCATTAAAGAGCGAGTCAATATGACTTTCCGATTCTTCCTGACGAGCTTGACGCTGGGCGTTGACCTGTACTTGACGAGCGGTAGCACTATTATCCCAAGCTTCGTGTGTTTTTTCAATAAAAGTAAAGTCTTGGGGGAAATGTTCGACTTCATCACCTATGATGGCAACTCGCGAGCTACTTTCAAGGCGGGGCGGCGGGCCAGGAACTAAAGTCTGTAACTCATCGAAGGTTACAGTTGGCGAGCCTTTCTTGGGCAAAGCTGGCCTATTTGACAGACTAGTTCCGGGCCGGTGGCTGCGGTAAGCCACACTCTTCTCTCTAATCAGCCCGAGGAACGTTTCATCGTGCTCAGCCCGTGACGCTGAGCGTTCTGAGGGAAATGCTGGAGGAGCTTGCAACGAGGGCTGAGCCATTACACGGCCACTTTCTACTGACGCCAGGCGCAGGGCTGAGTACCCCTGGTAAGCTGGACGACTTGGGGTTGTGGGTGAACCTTTCTGCGATCCCTCATTATAGCGGAATGGCGTGTAGACTGCATGTGGTGGCTCAACAGTGAATGGTGGGTTATTTGTTGGCCTTACGGCAGACTCCGGGGGAACGGAGACTGATCTAGACGGATTAGCGTGAGATATACCCAAATTTGAGCTGGGAACTTGATTGGCACCATCGGTTTTTGCTTGAGGACGAGTTGGATTTGATGCTGATCGATGCAACCCATCTGAGCCGGAGTTTTTTCGCGTCTGATTACTGAGTGCAGAAGCGAGCCGTGGCATCCCACCGGGGCTATAAGAGACTACATCGTCCAGTTCACTGGGCGTCGGAGGGTTAGGGATAACTATCTTTGACGGTGCCTCCCGTGATGGCACTAGAGCATCGTCTACCGTCGAGCTTGGCATTGGAGCAGAGGTAGAAGGAGCTGGTGCAGGCGCAGGAGTAGGCGCAGGTTCAGGTTTCGTTGCAGGCGGTTGTTCAAGGAAATTCTCCACATTATATAGAATCGCCCGCAATTTTGACTCCTTGTGCATAAAAGCCGAGAAGAGCTTATACTTTTCCTCCTCTGACTCTGTTTCCATCTCTTTACGAAGCATGGTGACGTAGCGCGTCAAGGATGATTTATACCATGGATCAAGATCTTCATATGGATCTGAAATGGTGACAATTGACTGTATTGGTTGACCGTCGGCTCTAGATACTGAACGCATTGGGCTTTGTAATGGAGATGCATGAATGCGAGAGATTGGAGTATTCACACGAGGGTATTCAAATGTTGAGATTGTATTTGAACGTTGGTGTGCCTTCGAGTCTGAATAACTAGATTGTTGATTACCAGTGGTAACTGGCTGTGACCATGCTTCAATGACGCCGTCGATTGCCTTGGAATCAGCAGGTGTACTAGAGCCCACAGAACTGATACTATCTAGACGACCAAATAGATCGCCGGCTTGACTGTGGGTAGGCTGGTTAGCCGCACCAATAGGAGAAATTTCATGCGAACCTAACCGCGGATGTTGTTCCGGCGACACTTGGCCTGAAGGTATATTGGTTGGTTGCTGAGAAGCTTCTTGGACATTGGATACCGCGACTGGAGGAGGTGGGTCGGACGGTAACTCGAATGTATTCTTCTTGCTGACAGAAGTATCAGTCCTAGCACGGAATTCGGCAGTATCGTCTACATCTTCTTCCATGGAGGTAAAATGTTCCCAATCAGAAGGGCCGCCAAATCCAAGAGCTGATGCACCAGTCCCCGCTGCGGTGGCCGTGCTAGGAGGCCCCACAGTAGTAGAAGGGGGTGGGGTGCTTGCAGCAATAGTTGCTTGAGAAGCAAGTGGAGAAATAGCTGGGGCTAGAGAAGCTGCTGGTGCATGTGTCTCTGGTGCTTGAGTTGCAGGAGGAAGTGGCTGTTGCAGGTTGCCATCGGGAGGGGGACTGTGAAGGTGATCACGCATCCCTCCCGCTGGTGGTTGGAAGTAGCTTTGATTCCCTGAACTGTCAACATTATGAGCTACAGGAGGTGCAGGAGGTGACACAACTGGGTGCTGCTCCGGCGGCGGAAATTGATATTGCTGCTGATCATGCTGATATGGCGTTTGTTGTTGCTGATGTGGTTGCTGCTGCTGGGGCGCTGGATCGTATTGATGAGTTGGAGGATGTTGACACAGACTGGGCCGGTTGGCCACGCAGACATAGGGCGCTGAATCTCTGCTTGATACGCCAATGGTAACGGCGGCGGTTGCGGCGGAACACCTTGGTTGGTGCCATAGCTATGATCAGCGGGGGGTGGCGGCTGCTGCCATGACGTCTGAGGAGGAGGTGGCTGAACTGGCGGATATTCGGGGGTGCTTATTCCTTGGTTTGGGGGATAATATGGTTGGCTGGTTTGGGGAGGCTGTTGCCATTGCTGTTGCTGCGGCTGTTGCTGCTGGTTTTGATTATGCCCTTGGGAGAACTCGAACGCACTGGCTGGACGCGGCTATGAGCAGTGTTAGCATTTTCCCTTGGTATACTGCTAAAGAATCAATCTCGCGTACCGGCAACGGCGGTGGTATGTTTTGCTGGTCGTGGGCGCTAGGCTGATGCTGGTGGCCGAACTGCTGGTTATATCGAACCCCCCACTGCGATGTGTCTTGCTGACCCTGTTCTAATGACGGGGTTCCGGGCATAGGACCATAAGTGTTCGGGTTATACATCGACTGCGGCTGTACGTTCTGTGTCTGGTCGCCTCCGTGCCATGGTTTAGAATGGTCACCGGCCGGGGGGAGCGGTGGTGGAGGAGGCAGAGGGGGCTGCTGCTGCCACGGAGGCTGCTGATAGTTCTGTGATCCATACATGGCTGCTCTAAAGACGTAAGATAGCTATATTAGTACTGTATATTGGCATCCCAGGGCATGGCTGTTTTTACCTATTTATTTTCTCACAGTGAAGGTCGTCAGCTTACCAACATTTAACTATATGTCCGTGAATACTTGGGTCAGGACAAGGGGTCAGCGTCGGTATATCCAGGGTTCATTTAACCTCCCGTCGCGGCACCAGAAACCAGGAGACGGTCGCTTATAGCCGTGGCGAAGAAATATCTGTCTCTCTTGAGAAGTCGTAGCCTGTTGTTGTCGCGGTCGTCCTTATCGCGGTGTATATATATGTCTGGTCAGGCGCAAACAAATGCGACGCCCATCACCAGATCAGAGTCACGCCGAGTTTTAGCTGCCAACTAGTTATCTTGACTAGCTACGGCTCGATATAACGGCGCTGGACCAGGAGCTTTCCGTCGTCGCTCTCCACCAGAGAGAGCTTGGGGTTGTCGAGTTGGTGATGTGGTGGGAAGAACAAGAAGCTCTTCCATTTTTAGTTTATGCGCCAGCACGGCTGAGTAAGAAGTTGTTGACTGCAGCGACTCAGCCATGATTTCGAGTCCAACCAAGCCAACAGCTATCAAAAACACTCTCTAACTTCACTAAACAAGCTGTCGTTGCACCACATAGGAGCCTCATTTTAGCGAGGAGGAGGCAAAACATGGCTTGTCGGTCTTCCGTGCTCCTCTTGGGCCTCCTTCGTCACCGTGTCAACGGCCTCGACAGAGCCGGATGAAGAGTGAAACCCAGCCAACAACAACCATTATTCCCTGGTATTCTTCTCATTATCGAGCTAGAGCTTTTCATAGTCTCCATCTCTGCTCGTATTTACGAAGAATTCCACCTGGAAAAAGGCTGGCAAGGTGAATGACCCTCATATGTACGAAAGCATGAGAAAGCGCCCTTTGTACCCTCAAAAAGGGCTGCTGTAAAGGAAAATACCTTTTACCGGAGGTCACCTTTGTTTGATACGTCTACGCTACTACAGGCAGTGGTAATTGTTTTATCGGCCTGACTCTTTGATCTCCTTGTTGGGGTCTATACACTCTAGCTATGTATGAATGGCCAATATACTCAGCAGTGTGAACTTCGGTCCCAACAAATTCTGGTCTTTAATATTCATATAATATGGCATTATCTCTGGATATGCCGGATAAACGCCTTTGTCACTGTCAGGGTTGTCATTGTCATCGTTTGGGGGGGACAAGGAGTAGCTGAACCCAGCATGCCCTGATATCTGAGATGGAGACATGAATATATGACTTCCCTTTACAATTCTGCTCTTTTGCCAATTTCTTTTCTTTTATGATCAGTCCCTACGTCCTCCATCCAAATTATCCTAATAATGTCCTTTGACCTCCCCTGGCATACAATAGACCCGGACTTCCGCCGCCCTAGGTTGCTTCCTAGAATTACTCCCACTCTTATCCCACCCTTCTATGAGTACCCCCTAAGGCTCCAGATGCCTAAGAATTCTTAAGAAGATACTACTGGCTCGCCACAAAAGATCACTTTCCATGTTCCACCGTCTAAACTGAGTTAGTTCAGTACAACTTCCACGGAGAGGGACTCCAAAGCCAGCCGTGGTTTATAAGTGCAAGATATAAAGTGGTTCTAAGCATGGCTGAGGGCGAATCCAATCCCCAAAAACGCGCATTTAAGGAGATAACTTGCCCAGTACCAGTTGGGTCCGATCTCGCTGCACCAGCTTATCCGAAACGACCAACCTTGTTCGACGAGGTTGAATGGGGCCCTTTCCCTTCAGATGAAGATATTAAAAAGGCATATAGAGTGTGGTCCCTACCAAACAACACTCTGACGGCCTCACACCCTTCAACTAATGGCCCATCCGGTTGTCTGGCACGGAAAGTATACGAGAGTATTTTGACTTCCTCACAGTTACCCATACATCAGAATGAGTTTGTCCGGCATTCTCCCAGGGGCAATAAAAATACCTCTGGTTGGACCTACAATGAGATTTTTGGTACAGAGGCAGAGGAACCACAGCAGTCGCCAGATAATGATCCACCAAACGTCCTAGTTCAAGGGCACAATCCTCTCATTGATACTAAATACTGGATAAAAGCAAGGTTGCAGCCTGAACTTCGTGCAAGAGGAATCAATGCAAACGGTCTTGTTGCAGACTTGAGGCAGAGGCTGTACGATGATGAACTGCAGCAATTGCAAACTAGCGTCCCGGACGAGGGTGAGGACAAAGGTAGCATCCTACCTGTTCAGAGTTTACCAGAATGGGGTATTGAACGAGCAGCTAATGACTATCTGGTGAAAATAACCTCCCGGGGGCGTTTGTCAGCTCTGGATATGTACACTTGGGCGATATCTCTCAGCCCATATAACCCTGCGTACTGGACCAGTCGCGCGTATCTACACTACCAGATGGGCCATTTTGACTTGGCCATTGGCGATGCATATCGCGCTCAGCTTTTGTGTGAAAAACTCGTCAATCCACTGAACCGTCATGTCCAGCCTGGCATCTACATCCACATCTGGGATGCTATCGAACGCCATATACTGCAGACTACTTCTGGTCAACCCGACTTGTCTAAAGAGGTAGAGCTCTTGCGGAAGGGAAACGGGATAAACAGCTTTATCCCAATAGTCCGCAAAGCAGTACATCATATTATAGTGCTCAGCTTGTTGGCAATGCAGTGCTGGGAGGATTATTCTGCAACCGAACCATACTTAAGGACAAGGCTTATCATGGCCGATCGTGATAAGATTGCCATGCAACAACGACAAGCAAATCTAGTGGAATTCATCTACGATGCAGGAAAAGAAAAAAGACATAATTATCTCGAATATCTTTTTGAGCGGCATTATGGCTTTATTGCGTGTCGCCAGTATCCGTATGATTCATGGGATAATGCCCCCGCAATTGACAAGATCGCTGAAAGGATGAATAAAGATATGATAAGCAAATCACAGGCCTTGGCCTATCGACCCCGAAAGATACAGGTAGAGGTCGATGATCACCGTTTGGCAGTTTACGCAGATGAGGATATACCCAAAGGAGCGGTCATTTATGTGGACGAACCATCAATCAGGGGCCATCTTCAGCAGCTGTCAAGAGCTACGGCACCTCGCTGTGAGAACTGTAGACGCCCGGTCACCGCTACTGCTCCTGTGCTGTGGTTTGAGAAAGGGAAGGAGAATACTGAATCTACTTCAGCAGAGAATGCAAGCTGTGAATGTGCCAATTGCTATAGAACACCTATGTACTGGTGTACAGCAAGCAATAAATCTAGTTCAAGAGACCCGTCCCCCGATCCGGAGGAATTCGCTAGGGTTTCACGAGCTTTAGAGACTCATCGTGGGAAAGATTACCGTGACCCAAGCGTAGATACAGATGATGAACAGGCAATAGCCAGAGGCAATCCTTCAAAGAAACAAAAGATTAGCGGTGCTGTTGGCAAGGAAAAGCTTTCCTGTCTGGATATTGCGAGATCTTTATATCACAACCGAGTCTGTGGGAAAAGCTGGAATTGGTTACATGATGCTATGCGGCCAAACAGATGGCCTCTGGGCTCCGTGCCTCATGAGCTGGGATCTCTCTCTCATACGAATGAGAAACATGGTACTCTATTGAGCTTGTTGCTTAGAGAGGTCTTTGACATTACACTTCTCAGACGCGAGACTGATAACAAGCCGAATTTGTTGGCATATGAAATTGACGAGCTAATGCCTGTAATGCAGTGGTCAGCTATCGGCAAGGACTTACCTTTCTCATTTGCGGCGAATATACAAGTTCCTTTCGATATTCTTTCGTGCCTCGGTGTGAATATATTTCGGGATCTCACATTTGATACCTGGGTGATTCAACTAGCACTTAGGAAACTGTTAATGTCGGCAATCCCCTGGCATCCGGAAGGCGATGAAAGGGACAAAGACGTTCCAGAGTCCCAAAATGAGAAATTGAAACGTACAAGAGATATCCGTCAGACCCCTGCAACAGATGTAGATGAAGTTACACCAACATTTCCCAACCTCTATGTCTTCCCTGTTGTGTCTGTGTTCAAACATGCTTGCCCCCCACATCACAATGTAGACTGGCATTGGGACACAGAAATTCCTAATCGGCTCATACTACATGCTAACAGAGCTATAAGGGGGGGTGAGGAGTTATTTTTACGTTACTCAAAGGTCTCTCTCCCGAAAAACACTGCAGTGCGATTATTTGGTAGAGGCTGTGATTGTCCCGGTTGTGGGAGGGATTATTCACCAGAAATTCCTATGGTTGATTATTATGGGTTTATGACCAGTGATGAAGAACCAGAAGTCCCTTCTTCACCTTCAGAGCCACAACTGCCTCCCCAAGGCCACAATCTAGTTCGACAGATGTCTCCAGAGCCAAGCATGGAGGGGACCTCTGGTGAAAATGACGGAACTGAAGGTTCAGGGGAACAAAAGAGCAATGATAGCAACCAAACGGAAGAACAGGAAGAACTAGAGGATTACCGGAGTAGCCCTCAGGAAGAGCTAGCTCCAAATCTGTATATTCAATCCTATCAGGGAAACACCGGCTATGAACAGTATCAAGCTCACGCAGAACAGTCAAGTCATCAACTCCCAGGAGATACCTATCTAAGTGCAGCGCAGCAGGCCTTAGACCTGATGCCGAGCTACAACCCGGCAGAAATATCCCCACGGCATCAGGGTCAGGAAAATCAACAGCAAGAGCAATCACAGGAACAAACTGGGCCCAGCATGATGCCGCATCCCGCTCAAAACCTCGGGTCTAGCCCTGATTACTCTAATGTGCGGTCTCTACATGTTCCACCGCCACCATTACGTCGTGGTGGAGCGCGAGTAAGGCATAATGGAGTTATGATGACCTCTCAAGAGTACAATCTCATCCGTATGAGGGAGGCGTTGGAAGTGCAGGCTCAAGAGCAAGGAGAACAACAGGAAGAAGACCAGCAAAGAAATACTGGCCACCAAGACAGCAATTAGTAACCGCGGTGTTTTGGCCAGTTTGCAATGTCTTTATTGAATTTATATGCTTTGATTAGTTATTTCCTTTTGGGGAAAATATTTTTAAGTATTTCATATTTATCTTCGTTTGGTCTCTAGGGAAAGCAGTATTAACATATCACCACTAGTTACTCTTAGCATACTTCCTACCAATAATTTAGTCATGGTTAGAATGTAATTTCCGTACTAGCATTAAAATAGATGGAGTTGACGCCACCAGGCCGCTGTTTTGTCTAGAGTTAGGTGAGTTGACTTAATACTGCCTCTAGCACCACCTGACCAGGAGATTCGGCTATACTCGTGGTGATGTCCTTCATCTTACAGAACCACCCGAGCTTATCAGAAGCCATAATGTTGGACTGCGGTTCAGTAGGTGTTTCAATGACTAATGTCGAGCGAAGTATTCAAAAGATGGGGCACAGTACCGTACATAATATTGAATGAAAGGACACTTGAGAAGGGTCTAACGCGAAAAAAACACTAAGAAGTACCTGTGTGCGGCCATGTTCCGTCTTTGAAACTTTGATATCGTTGTTGGTATGCTAATTTAGGTCAACCTACTCGTCCCAGGAAACAATGCTTGTCTGGATGTTGGAAGAAAGTTATATTTTGAGTCCGAAGCTTGCGCGCACGCCTCCCAGCGCCCCGTGAGTGATGCTTGACGCTGACACGGAGGTATGTGGCCGTGTATTGTTGCAGGTCGACAAAATAGAACTTCAACGCTGTTATTGGGTAACCAGGCTGCTGTGGCAAATCTAAAACTCCCTGTCCAAGTGGTAAATGATCATGCAGTCATCCTGGGTACAGATAAAACAGGCGAAGGCAGAATCACTTGATCATGGCTTCGGCTTGGGCAGAATGCGGATCCGCCGGGATAGCCGCTTATTACGATATAGTCAACCGCGTAAACGGGCATATAGGGCCCAGGCACTGTGCTAGAGCAGCCTAAGCGGCAGAAATACTCCTAGGCCAGCCTATCGGGCATCCGATGCTGATAATGCCTCAGCAGGGTATCAAAAATCACGAAACGATCGGCCGGTGCCCGTTCGAACATGTGATTGAAACTTTCTTGGATGAACGAATAGCCATGTGGATGTATAGTAACAGCCTAGTAGAATGGCCTGAGATGGAAGACATGCTGCGTGATGAAGGGTTGAAGCCGGAGCGGCCGCATGGGATAGCGTGCGGCACAGCAGAACAACATAGCCTCATCCTGAGAGGCAGCAGCCAATTAAGGCCCAAAGGTGCACTGTGTCAGAACAGCGGAAGACATGGTATGCATTATTTGGCGCATCTTTGCATCGCAATCCCCGAGATTATCAAGAGAGACGCCGTCAATATGAGGCTCTTTCGATAGAAAAAGAAGGTTAAAGTCAAGAAGAGGCTGCTTAGTCATCTGCCCCTTTTCGCTTTCTTTCTCCAGCTTCGAACTTTTTTTCAACGTTTCCACGAAACAACCCTGAGTCTACGCCGTAACTCCAGCCCCAATTGCACGGAGGAGTCAGGGCGTATCCCTTATTTTCCTGCTTGTATTTCATTTCTGTCAGCTTTTTCTATCTGTCTGTCTGCCTGTCATTTCCTCCCCCCTTTTTTTCTAGCCGGTGAGGCGATGAACTGCTGTAAGTACGCCGTTGCAGTTAGGATGCGACAAACTGCTTCCAGCAAATGGCTATGGAGAATAGTACAATCAATTGGACTGCATATATCAGAGAAATATACGCCAGGATGGTTGCTGCCTTGGGGTGGAACCCCAAAACCCTTTGGCAGCACTACGAGTGGGGTGACAAAACCGGAGATGCCTTTTGATATCATCATCAGACTAACATGTAGCATCCTCAAAATGTTGCGATGTTCTCGAACCTTCCCAGACTATCAGAGGCCTTCTTAAATGCACCCTAAGCGAAATATAGTATCAAGCAGCTACTATATTACTCCGTCTACCGTGTTATAGATTATATTGGATGGTTGCTCCATGTTACCTGCTTCCCCGTCCCTGCAATACATCGTATATACCCTACGAGAGCCATCTCTAAGATGGCTTAAAATAGTCGAGTATGCACGTCCTGCAGTTGGGCATGCAAGCTGTGCCGCAATCCGGGACCTTTTACAACCCTAGTCAGCTCTACCTGGCGAGGGACCTTGAAGAAACCTGGCCGTAACGCTGTTTTGACTAGCATACTAGTTTATGAAATGTTCAACAATCCAGGATCCCCACCGTTTAGAACACGGGGGAATATCGATTATCGATGGTCCTAGCTTCCAACCATTTACATGGTACATCCCCCTTTTTTTAACTCCGGCATATGGAAACACAGGCACATATGGGAAACACAGCCTTCTCGCGTCACTCTCAAGTATAAGCGCCGCTAGGTATATCCAGAGGCCAGTTTTAATTTGGCCGCTGGAATAACACTCTAACTTGTATATCCCTTGCTCAAGGGATATCCGGCTTACATCCACTCAGGCTGCGGAATTTTTCTACGCCCCCTACCACTCCGGCCTACTGCGGCCTCTGTAGATCTCGCCTTCATATATGACTCCTCTTCCGTGGGATTCAAAGTACAAAAGGAGCTCGATTATTCCAAAACAACCTGGAGGAGAAAAGACAGTTTCACTTCTTGTGCTTTCTAACGCTCCGGCTCTTCTAATAATATTCTTAATCGGGCTGATTAATCAGGTCAAACTTCTTTAATCATTTCTTCCTCTATAGTTGGATTTATTTTTCGGATCCTCCAGTTACTCCTCACATGTCTGCTCCTACGGAGGCACTAGGAAACCTATCACTCGGAAGTGACATGTCCTCTACTCGTGCAGGATCACAGAATCAAGGGCAGAAACCTCCATATGATACTGAAGAAGATTCCTCTGATAGTGAATCTGGCGAAGAGTCATCAAGTAGTGATGAGGAGGGCGACTCAACCCCATCAGCTACTGTCACGTTCTGTGGGAGATCTTCAATCGTCTACGACCTCCGGATGTTGTCTCAAAATGCAAGGGTAAAGGCCCGACATGGGCTGAGCGGAGAATTCTCTGTCGATAAATGCAGGCCAATTTATGGCGGAGGATATGATTTCCATGTTGTCGACCACGGTCGCGTCTATGTGGGCGAGGGGCCGATGACATGCTCGTGCCCAGATTTCCGAGGAAACAGCATTGCATGCCGACATATATATGTTAGTTCTTCCCATTCTTTGCATCTCACCTTGTATCTTTTCTTTTAGCGCACAACTGACAGTGAAATGGCCCTCGTAGTGGCTTGTCGATCAGCTTCATCGATGGGTTCTGCCTAGCAGGCCGTCTACGGGGCTCAAGCTGTCACCAAAAGGAGAATGCGTTACCTTTGCCCCAATGCTAGATCTAATTGGAGATGGTATGGAGGATATCTGCCAGAAAGTAAATTGGACATACACCCCAACCCCCGGTACTCCTCCTGATTTGACCCGGTGCAACCCAACATCTATGACTCGTCCCGAGAAAGCTAGAGATCTCCTTTCTGCTTTTAGCGCGGACACTATGCCTGAGGAATTCCGCCCTGAGCTCGTGGAAACTATTAGCCAACCCCGCACTCCCGAGCAGTGTGTTGTTCAAGGTGATTTTGAAGCGACCATGTTTCGTCTTGCTGTGCATGATGAAAATGTTTACGCTAGTCTTCGCAAGGTAATGCCTTCCGGAGCCCGTGCAGCTATATTCTTCGATAAAATACAACGAAGAATACGCGCGCTACTAGCTGATTTCAACCGATATCGACAAAAGGGAACACCCAGACAATCGGACCATACGGCCCTGGAGGTCGACGTGGTCGCTGAAGAAATACGGGCTCACCTACGACAAATACGGAAAAATATGTTTTCTCGCAGTCCCCACGGCTTCAAGGGTGCCGCAGAATCTCTACTCCTCCTCCTCCGTGTAGTCTGTCAATTCAACTATGATGCTTTTGAAACCAGCAGATGGGACCGCCCTTCCGAATCCGACGAAACCGCCGAAGACCGAAATTTATATTTCCAGCTTATTTATAATCCTGTTGACACTGACGATTTTTTTGTCCTCTCATGCCTGGAGCTGTTACCAGAGGACGTTTTACAACATATAACCCCCCAGCTCGATGCTATATTTACTGAAATGCAGATGAACTCGGCACCGGTGCCGTATCTCCGCAAACTCCACAGCATAATAGCTGGTGACATTCCGGCAAAGGCAGCTGTAGGTGTTACCCATATACCTGGCGCAGGCGGCCAAAAGCGCCCTTCAACTGCCGCATCTGTTAGTGACCGAAAGAGAACGAAGTAAGGAGAAGCGAATAATCTGTGATTATTTGCTCTTGGACTGTTTTCTCTAATAACAATTGGCTGGGCCATTTTTTACCTTTCAGTCTGCACTCTCGACTTTTGTCTCAATATTTAATTTTACAAATACCCCTGGTGGCTGATATATTAGCCTGGGCTTATATAAATAAATAACTTATAGTTCGGTTTGATTATATATGGAGTTGACCCTCAGGAATATAATCCTACAGTAGCATGAAATCATTGATAGTTTAGCAGGCAGAGACACTATCAAGATAGATCTATAACGACCCTCCCCTGAATTTCATCCCGACCCATCTGCTCAAAAATCTCCGCAAGCTTATCCATTTTCTCGACACGCAAATGGGACTTGATGATCCCTCTAGCAGCAAAGTCCAGTACTTCCACAGCATCCTTTCTATTCCCCACAATAGAGCCAACAACGTTGAGAGCACGACCAGCCAGGAGCGCTGGCGAACAGGACGCGATCGGTTCCCTGTTGTGATGTGGGATTCCAACGCAGACCAGCGTGCCGTTTGGACGCAGCATGCGTAATGCTTGTGCATATGCGGCATTGGATCCGGTACATACAATTGCTGCATGGGCACCAAGGCCCCCTGTCATGGAGTTGACCTTTTTGACAATCTCTTCAGCTCCCTTCTCGTCCGGGGTATACTGAGTAATATCGATGAAGTGCTCCGCACCAGAATCACGAGTGATGCTCTCTTTGCTTCCGTGGTCGATGCCTATGACTCGGTGACCTAGACCACGACTGGCTAGTTGGGTGGCTAGATGTCCTAATCCACCGCCGGAACCAGAAATAATCACCCATTGACCTGGTTGGGCTTTAGAGCGCTTGAGAGCAGAGTATACCGTTATACCAGCACAGAGCATGGGTGCCGCTTCTTCAGAGGGCAAGCCATCTGGAATAGGGGTAACATAGTTTGCTGACGCGAGAACGAACTGTTGGAACGTTCCAGGGTTATAATACCCGGAGATTTTTTGCTTAAGGCAACATCCATCAGTACCTTCAAGGCAGAAGTCTAGTTATTCATTATTAGTCACTGCGCTTGTGTGTTCGTGACTGAAGAAGGTACATACCACATTTACCACAGGCATAAGCAAGCCATTTGATTCCAACACGATCACCGATCTTGAGGCCTGAATTCTCGGCTCCAGGACCAAGTTTTACGACCTTTCCGACCCCCTCATGGCCCCCAACCTGGCCTTCTTTAGTCGGATATGGAAGAGCAGGCCACTATCATATCGAGTCAGCACGCTATATCTAATTGAGGAACGATAGTGCCTACGCTATTGGTCATGATAGAATAGTCTGAGTGACAGACTCCGGAGTGTGTCCTATAAGTGAAAAGTTAGCATATCCTTATATTGCTCCATTGAACTGTGTAAATACGTACAAGTTGACCAGCACTTCGTCGGTTCCAGGCTCAGGTACATCGACCATGACCACTTTGGTCGAGACAGTGCCTGGCTTATCATAGATAGCAGCCTTTGCCTGCGAAGGGATATTTGCGATTGTCATCTTGCCGTCTGTATCTGCTTGGATTGTGTGTGAGAAATCAATCTGTCCCAGGGAAATGCTATATTTATGTATGCTTGAGGTATATAGTGTAGATGAAAGGAGACAAAAAAGGGGCGCCCCACGATAATACTCTGGAGGGGATCCTTGCTGATATATCAAATAGTTTCATGGTTGGCTCATCACCCGCATTCTGTATTGGCGATCGTTCTCCTGTTCGCCGGATGAAGGGATAGACTATGCAGAGAACAAGGAAAGGCGATTTACTGTCCAACCTCGGCTGCAGCATGAACCGCTAGTTATGCGATATCTAGTCGACTAATGCGAGAGACCACTTTCAATAAAGAGAGTATGATATCTCAAGGCGTAGTAGAGATGCCATAGGCCCTCTGAGCGGTTAGATACCAAACATCCTTCTTACAATCGTCGTTGATGCCTCTCTTCTGCAGCAGAAGCTCAACCGCTTTCATCCATCTCGTCCAGGTTGCCATATTACCGCCGCCCCCGATATTACACACCGGCCAGTCACTTCCAAACATCACTCTTGCAGTGCCAAAGGTGTCAAAGATGACATCTGTCCATGGCTGGATAGTATCTACAGTAGATGATATCAGATCCGTCTCTTCCGCTACCTGTGCTGGAAGAGGTGGAAGTTCAGAAAACAGGCCAGACAGCTTCATATAAATGTTTGGATAGGCTGACAGAGAAACAATGTGCCCTTTCCACTCCATGAATTCGGGGTGGCTACAAGTTTCAGACGGCGATATGCGTAGGTTCGGCTTACACATATGATCTATTCGTCGTTTTAGCCAGCCGTGACATTGTAGGGTAGTAGTTAGCGTAGGGGCAAATGCCGATGACTTACTCAGTATCAGCTTCACCTGGTCCCCTTGTTGGTACAATATCTTTGCCAGCTCTGCTGTTTCTTCAAGCTGCCGTAACCCGCCTCTCCTGGCATCGACTCCAAGATCAAAGGTTAATCCTCGTCGACCAAGCCATCGTAGGCCCTGGATGAAGTCCTCTCCCAGCATCGTGCCATTTGGTTTGTCCTGAAGTAGGTATCTCACTCCCTTGATCTTCTCCCATACGGGCTCTCCACCCTTGCCTACCCGCTCCTTTATCTTGTTCATGTATAGTTCAAGCCCACCTGGCCCTAGAGGAACCGGTGCCCAAGGAACAATTGCTAGGCATAACTCCTTATCCGAATAGACATGTCCTTCTCTCTCCAACGGAGTTCCACTGGCTATACGTGTGAGAAAGGAGACCTCCTCTAGGACGTGAGTCCAACCTTTTGAGGCAAGAGATGTTATTCGGTCTGTTTCGATATATATAAAGCCTTTCAAGCGGTATTGAGCTGGTGATGGCGATACAGGTGCTGTAATGGACGCAGGCACTGCATCGAGGTACTCTTCAACGGAATGCTGAGAGCCCAGCGGGTTAGAAGGCGAGTGCCATGCAAGAGTGTCTATATGCGAGGCTGCCCAGAGATGGACGTGTGAATCAATAATCGGAATGGCCATGTTAAAGCCATGCGTATACGTTGATTCTTCACTCTGCGGTTGTTTTTGGTGATAGCTAGTTAAACAACCTAGATCCTTACAACCGATAATCAACATCATACAACCGACGACTTCACGGCAAGTGATTATACCCACTCACCACTTGTTTCTACAATGGAATGGCCTGTCGAGATTCCATATTTTGCTTCAGACTTGCCCTGCCCTCTCCCAAGCAATGCAGAAATCGAGGAAGCACCCGAGTCTGTGGACCACAACGGATACAAGGTGGTGAGAGTGGGAGACAGCTATGTTGTGAAATATGGCCACAGCGTCCAGCTCGATCTCATCGAGGGAGAGAACATGATCTTCATAAGACACGCGACGAGAATCAGAGTCCCAAAGGTCTACGCCCTTTATACCGTGCCTGAAACCTCCATGAACTATATCGTGATGGAATACATCGAGGGCAAACCCTTAGACACACAATGGAAATCACTCTCGGATAGAGAAAAAGAGGGGATAATGTCAACTCTCAAGCAGTATTTTACAGAGATACGCAAACTTCCCTCGCCAGGTTACTTTGGCTCCTTGTGTCGACGCCGTATGCCGGGTGGAATGTTTTGGACTTCAAAGCCAAACCCGGCCATTAACGGACCATTCAAGACCGAGGCTGACTTGAATGAAGCGATGGCACTCAAATATGTCGCTGAATCTGAATACCGGTCAGTGTATCGGGCAGAGTTCTACCGCCGCTCTCTCTCAAACGTGTTTCGAGGCCACGAATCGACATTCACACATGGGGATTTTCAACGGAAAAATGTGATTATCAGGAGTCAACCTTGCAACCCTTCTAGTGATGGCACCGACTCTGGAGAGAAGACGCATGAGGTCACGCTCATTGATTGGGAGACATCGGGATGGTACCCAAGTTACTGGGAGTATTCTATGGCGGCATTAGCTACAAGATGGGATGATGATTGGGGCGACTGGTTGGTTCGTACGATAGAACCATTCGATGCTGAGTTTCCATGGCTACGGATGTTATATCTAGAGCTGTGGTCATAACTTTGATGGTTGCCCCGAATTAAACATCAATTTATTGATCGCCCGGATCCATTATATGCTAAATTGTCTAAACTGGTTATTGAATACTATAAAGAGTAGGTGAGTAGTAAACTCGATTATTATTATTATTCAATTAACTGATTGTCTAACAAACTCGCTTTCATCGCTAAAGTTTCGCTTCACAATATTTTGGGCCAACATCATCAAGGCCAGGGACATAAAGAGCGTAATTGGTCATCAGGCGCTGAGGGCGCGGAACCAGTGGTCGGTCCATCCATCATCCATCCATCTTGTTTTGTTTTTTGTTTTTTAGTTTCTCTTTTTCTGTTTTATCAATCGGTAACGGTATACATTTAGGCCTGAACAGAGAAGAACAAGGTTAGTCAGTGATCAGCTGTTTGATTGTTGACTAGGAATATGTTCTGTTTACCTTGGTGACCTGGACGGTGTTGGAGTTGAAGGCACCAGAGTAAGCTCCAGAAAGCTCCTGCAAGTGAGTTGCGATAACCTTCTCCTTGTTCTCGTCCCAGTTGGCCTGCCACCAGCCGGTAGCAGTGACGGAGTACTTGCTTCCAGCTGGGAGTTCGGCGTTGGATAGAGTCTGGAGAGCAACCTTGACCTTGATGGATCCGCTGGGCTTGATCTCAACGAGTTCAGATGGTGGAGGGGGAGTGATGCGGCGGACCATGATGTAGTCGAGAGGAACAACGTTGCCGGTGCTGTCGCGGACCTCGAAGACACCGAGCTGCTCAGCCAGGCTGTCGAGAGGGTTGTTCCAGGCCAAAACGGTGACGGGCTTCTTGGAGTTGTTGTTGCGGACGGTGACCTCAATTTCGCATGGCTTGCTGGCACGGCAGACACCGTTGGTGGTCTTCACGGAGACACCGAGGGAGGGAGCAGAGATGGGCTGGGCGGAGACCAGGTTGGAGAAGCAGAGGCAGAGGCCAAATGCGATGAACGCAAGCTGGATGGCTCGGGAGAGGACAGACATCTTGAAAGAGTTGGGAGATGGTGTTTTTTCCTTTCTTTGTTATCGAGGGAAGATGTGCTTTGGCTTATTGGCTCTGGAGTTCTGGTTGTTTGCTCTGGCTGAAATCTCAAGCCGACGGGCAGTCCTGACCTCCTTTATATATTCCTCTGATCTTCAGCCAGCGGATGAATCCGTTGCCCTCAAGACTACAACGACATGGATCATGGTGGACCGCAAGAAGGAAATTTCTCTCTGCATCCGACATCATTACTTCTGCTTATCCTATGACTGACGGGATCCTCGATGAAGCAAATCACTGGTCGATTGTCAGCCACTGCTTGGCTCAATACTCATATTCAGCATAAGAAAAGCTTCATATATTGAATACACTATAGCCTGCACATCCCTGTCCATATCCACTCTGCCCTTGGCCTGCATATTTCCGGACCCCTTGCTGTCCTCGCCGTTAAAATCTTGATTTTGATGGCTCCATCCCTCCACTGGGACCTGGCCCTTGGAAAGCTATCCATCAAAGCTCAACTACGATAAATCGCCGGGTGATTTTGAGAGCTAACCCCTGGAACTTCATCCTTAGAACAAATGTATCAATCGAACTCGGGGCTCGGAACCGAGAACCGCTCCCACCAGTGGAGAAACTGTCGGAATATATTTTGTCTAGGGCCCACTACACGGCATACACATGAAGAGAGGAAGAAAAAAATCTGCATACACATTGAAAGTACAGTGTTGATTTCCCGTGGTAAGACCGTAAGGTGACTTTTGCTAAACGAGGTAGCGGCTCGAATGCTTGCTAGACGCCCAGAGACAGACGCAAGGGTAGAATGCCCAGCCGTGGAATAATCGCTAAGATGTTTGGAAATTATTACTTGCAGCAAGCCCTATGCATCACAACATGCCCTTGAGAGCGAATATTTCATACGGGGAATTACGGGACATTTCCTAAATCCAATCTTATCCCAGCATGGATTCAAGAATCACCCAGCAATGTCGTGCTTTGATATACATTTATGCAGTAAGTTTTCTCCCTATTCCCAACTAGGCTAATTCTGACTTTTCTTCGCTGATGTTTCTGGCCAGAGCTTTCATCCTTAACCTTTTGCAAGGTAGCCAGCCAACGAACGGCCCATATAGGCTGGCCCCTCCATATATCACCTCTCCAGTATAGTCTTTTCCTGCTCAATGAGAAGACAATAGGACCTCTTGGCTGTCTTACTATGTACCCTCCAATCTGAAGTCGTATCTTCACCATGGCGAGAGATATGGCAACAATGGCGAAATGATGCTCCATCCCTCTGTGCAGCTTCGACCTTTGAGCTGATGTGGATATATACGTTATAAATAAGCATTAACTTCCGGTAGATCCTTGGAGGCCTCGGAACAGTCAGTGGTCCGTGAGGAAATGTGAAAATCCGGATACTGGCGGTTGGCTGCTGTTCGGACATATGTTACTGCAGAGTAGAGACTCTTCGCAGCCAATTGGGTGAGTTTCTGGCTAACTTCCCGGATCCTCGATTTAGCTGCTGCATGAGGACGCCCTAGTTACCTAAAACGAGTTGTCTCAAACGCTTTGCTAAACAGAATTGGAGCCATTAGCGCTTCACGGCCAGCGAAGAACGGGGCAAGCCAGACCCGGAAATATGATATTGAAGTCCACCACTCATTTTGGCTTAAGAATAAGACATATTAGCCATGCAAAGAAGCGAGATGCACACAGATAACCGCCCCCGGCTCTAGATCCTGGATTTCTGAGTACGGAGTACGCTGGGCACGGAATATACCTATAAGCGTGATGAGGTATTTTGTGCATTCGTCTCCGCGGATGCCGATTTTAATTGTCTCCCAGTGAGCTATTTTCTTTCGTCCAGCTGAAGTACCGTCTTCAAAAGTGGATGAAGAACTCGAGCCCATCATATGATCCATGCTCAAGAACCTTTTCCATTACCAGGAATTTCGGGTAATTCAGAGCCGATATGCAATAGCAAAAGTGGTACGAGAAATAATCCGATTAGTTTTTCCTGGTAACTTTTAGGTGGTTTTGTTGGTCGTAGGATCCGATGCAGATGTATGTATATTCGCCTAGGCTTGAGAGCCAATGCTATCAACCCATGGATAACTGCATTCTGCTGGCTTTACACTGGATTATCATTCCGGCGACCACCAGTTGTCAAGTATCCTGCATGAAAAACCAGAATTGAGTCATGAACATATGCAGATTCCTTCACCACTTCATGGTTTTCTACCGGCATGGGAACCACCATATGCCGTGTCGTTAACACTATATGGATTTTCTTTAGTTGATACCCAGACGTGGTATAGCCGGCTTTACTTTAACAGGAAGCCTTGTTTTCCTAGTGTTATCAGATATTTTCGGTACAGGTGTACTATAGCTACTAACGGAACAGCTTCCGAAGCTCTGACAGTGTGCTGAAACCTTCTATTAGCACCGCTATATACTGAATGAGCGCCGGGATAATACTCCACCAGAGAGCGAAGTTAACAAAAGAACGCCTACGGAGTGCAGTTTCGAGACATACCGTCCTGTTTTCATTTCTCCAGACAGATATTGACTGAAATCTCTTCCTTTGGGGTCCATTCTAGACTCTCTCCTTTATGCTGGCTGGCATTATTCCTTACACAACTAATGTAAGGATGTTCCTGCGAGACAACTAGGAACCATGATCTTTGGCAGCATACTCGGATATCGGGCACCCCTCATTACCGGAATGATGAAAATTTCGTGCGAAGAATATGGGATATACCCTGAAAATCGTCAATAAGTTACACCCGTAAGCTTAACTGAATAAGCTAAACAATACATTGCAGGCCTCGAGGAGAAGGAAATATCTTTAGAAACCACCGATACCATGGAGACTCTCTCAACGCAGACCTTCCCGGGATCAATCACAAGCAAAAGCGATACTGTCAGGGAATAACTTCTCAGCAAACCAAGAAACATAAGCCCCTTAGAAACTTCATGGGACCATCGAGAAAGATGTTCTGTTGTCCCATATCAATTTCCGTGGTATCTTATATAAAGAGGGGGAGACGTCTAAAATCTTCAGTATGGAAGAGATACACCCAAGAATTTATTAACAGATCCTCATTCAGGCCTTTTTTTCTTAGAATTATGTTATTCTCTCAAAATGTTGCTAACACTACCAGTTCGTGGGGGAGCGATGCCCATCCTTTCCGGCAAACAATGTCCCATTGTTATCATACCCAAAGATGGATAGCGGAGTTCCCTGCTATCAGCAAGCAATCACCATCTGACTCGGTTGGAATAAATGAGCTATTCATTCCTCTCTCACACATATTCGACCGGCAAGAAGTTCCTACTCTAGCACAAGCATTCCTCATCAACACTGGTCACTCTGTACCAATATCCTGAACTATCCTGAAGACTTTAGAGCCCAGCTGTGAAAATAAGACGGATGCTGATAAGACCATCCATGAATTGTGCTTAGATCTGTGTTCTACACAGGAACCTCTAATTCTACAAACATTACTCTGCTGTAACAACCTCTTGACGGGCTGGGCTTCCTTATTTTATTTGTCCATTATCACTGACTAACATCCAAATGCTGCAGATATCTGGTCGCATACCAAGTACTTTCAAAGCTGAGAGTCTCAGAATCAAATGTCACTCAGGAATTTTCAGTCGTAGGATATTTTCCGATGGGTTTGTTAGACCAGAGGCCTTCAACACAGTTGAAAATGGCAGGAATGAAGGCTAAGTTCGAAATGATTGTCATTAGTGAGAAGTATGGAGTAGAGCTTGCCCTACCATGAACGATATATACGGTGTGAGGATGAACCCGAGATCTGAAACAACAGCTGGAAACACCGGCTTTTGAAGGATGCAATGCCCATTCATTTACGGAGCAACGATAAGCGTCAAACCTCAACTTGTGTTAACCAAAGCGGTGGTAACGAGCGAAACCCCAGATCGGGCATCTAGGAAAGACTGGAAATGTTGTTCCTTTACTCTGTACATGTTCATTGCACAGTTTTAAAGCGGCATCGGATTACTTACCATACTGGGAGCGAATATATACAGGGGAATAACACGAGCTGAGCGGAGTAATTGGCCAGAATGTCTCGATTGGAGCCTCTGGAGCCTGAGATCACCCTGGTACCTACTTACGCAATGCGCAGCTAATAGGGGCGGAGCACACTTATATTCCTCCCGTCTAGGATAAACACTGTTATTAAAACGAATCCTGCATTCCACTCAGTCGATGGAGATGGGAGATAAAAGGAATAAACGGATGCGAGGCTGGATGAGATGGGAAACATGCCAGAAGCCTCCAGATGAAAAATTCCATTCTTTTCTTGATTACCTAGGTACACGGCATTGCGATGAAATGGTCACTGTCGCTTCGTCGGTGGCAGAGCCTGACATGCCTCGCTCTTTTTAGCTTCCTAGCCATCTACGCCTCTGGATATTATCTCACAAGCATTGCACGCCACAAAACAGACGCTGTGCATGCACTGGGATCACATCGGCACCGGATCACAAAGCCAACTGGCGCAATTGTTCCAGGCGTGGTAGAGGCGGGAAAGAAGTATACTCGTACCCTCGTTGTAGCGAGTCTCCAAAAAGAGAATACCACCTGGGTCGACGAACTAGAGCACGATGACCCAAATCTGAAGGCCGCAGTTTATATTGTTGATAATTCCACTGCTCCTCTCACGGTGACGAAAAACAAGGGTCATGAAGTGATGGTTTATCTGACACATATCATTGATCAATACGATACCCTCACCGATATCTCTATATTTATGCATGCTCACTTGGTAACGTGGCATAATAACGACATACTGGATTCGAACTCTGCAAATATGGTCAAACGCCTACGGAGCGAGAAAATTATTCGTGATGGCTATATGAATCTTCGCTGCCATTCGGAGCCCGGTTGTCCAGATCATATCCATCCAACAACCGGAGGAGATGACCTTGGGAGCATACCTGAGGCAGCTGTGATAGGGAAATCCTGGCTAGAGTTATTTCCAGGTACCAGCCTACCCAAAGTGCTCTCACAACCATGCTGCGCACAATTTGCAGTGAGTGCCGATCGGATACGCAGAATACCACGGGAGACCTATATATTTTACCGAGACTGGCTCCTCGAGACTCCGTTGTCAGACAGTTTATCAGGCCGAGTGTGGGAGTATATATGGCAGTACATCTTTGCAGGGGCGGAAGAACTATGTCCGGAGGACCATGTCTGTTACTGCGAGGGATACGGGGTATGCTTTAAAGGGAAATCTGAGTTTGATTATTATTATGAAATGTGGTCACTGGGAACCGACATCCAGGATCAGGTTAATGCGCTCAAGACAGAGAATGGGACCGTGGTCAAAGGATCGGAGAAGAAAGTTCAGGCTATGCAAGCAAAAATATCGAGACTGATGGCCGAGATGGACAAAATAAAGTCAAGAGTTCTTGGAAATTGAAAAGTAGCGCAGTTATGGATAAATAATTGGTATTGGAGTTAGGATATGTTTAACTACTATTTATGCTTAATTTCAGCTTTTATAAATAGATCAGCCTCCTTACATAGTACAACTCCCCGTTCTACACATTTATGTGGCAGCCTTGAATAGCAGCCTGCTCCCAACGATATAATATATTACTCATATGTTTCATATTGTCCTGTGATAAGATTCCACCTTCATACCAGAATCGTGTCCCTAGCCTTTACTCATTGCATAAGATGAGTATCAAAACGACTTGAATCGCAGCTTGAAGGTATTAGGCAGATGGCGGATAGGCTACTGGAGATTTACAAACATTCCCCCGTCAACTAGAAGCTGTGCACCGGTCTACATCCCTAGTTAGCTTGCAGGAATAACGGAAAAAAGAAAAGCGATTGAACTCACCACATAGCCACTTAACTCGTTGCAGGCCAGAAAAACAGCAGGCCCGGCTAAGTCTTTGGGCTCTCCTAGTCGGCCTAGCGGCACTCTCCCTTCCATATATGCTCTCTTCTCATCGTCTTTCAGGTCTTCTTCATTTAACCCTGTGCGTATTGTTCCAGGCAGCAAGGCATTGCATCTGATGCCGTACTTCCCCAGTGAAATAGCACAAGACTGCATGAGGGACGATATCCCAGCTTTGGTCGGAGTGTAATGCGCCTGTAAGCCTCCGCCAACAAGGGCTGAGATGGATGAAATCCCAATTATTGACCCTCCTGGCGGGGACTGCGAGAGTGCCATCTGACGGGCGGCTGCTTGGGTGACATAGAATGCACCGCCCAAGTTGACGGCCACCGTCTGGCTGAAGAGCGTAGGCGAGGTCCTGTTTCACGTTAGAGTAATATCCAGAAATCAGGCATGTGAGATACGCCGCACTCTAGGAATTCCTTAAATTCACATATTCCAGCGTTGCTGACGAATATGTCCAATCGACCAAATGCGGAGGCTGTTTCTTTAATAAAATAACTTCCTGTCTCCGGCAGAGAGACATCTCCTGCGACTGTGATGAGTCTCGGTTTGGACAAAATCTCTTCGCCATCTGATGAAGCAATAATATCGGTGACCTCTTGCTTCAGAGATGAGATCAAAGTCTCTTCATAGTCTAATCCGAGGTGGTTAACAGCTACACAGGCCCCTTGTCTGATATATTCGATAGCAATGGCCTATATATTGATCGAATAGACGGCAGAGCATGAGATATTTCACTGGTCAGCCGCAGGATTTCTCAAGGAAAAGACGAAGCAGAAAGACTACCGTACACGGCCGATGCCTGTCAATCCTCCAGTTATCGCGGCCACTTTACCGAGCAGAAGCCTTGAAGAAGGCATCGTTCGTCTTGTTGCTTGTCAAGAGGTTGATCAAGAAGAAATACGGACTCGTAGCAACGCTAAATAAGTGGAAATGCCTGGATACGAGAAGCGAGTTTTCCTGGCAATGATAGACATCACATTTCTCCATCTTCCTTCGATTATCATGGCCGAAGATGGAAAACTGGGCCTCGACGGCTACAGTAAACAATGAATTCCTATCTTTGGATCTGGCTGACGAGTGTGGACGTGAGATATAAAGGCTGAATTACAGCCTGTTGAGCACGATGCGTGGATAACTTCTTCGTCTCAACCCAAGTTGCACTTATAGAGACTCTTCATTATGCTATACCCGCAGTTCTGTAAGTTTCTGTCTTATTAGTATGGTTTTTATCGCTGATTACGTCCTATCAACTGGCTTCAGCCGCGACTACATCAGGTTGGGATATCGTCAATATATCATTCTCAATTGCGCTTATATCTCCTAACGGCGGAGACTGAAAGACTGGCATCCTCTGGGAATACCATTACCCTGGGGGGGAAATGCCAATAGCATCAAGAACCTTGGCGGTGACTCGCAGTATCTGGTTGGATTGGTATCAAAAGTGTTCTCTGACCGGTGCTTCTTGAAGTCGGACATGGACCTCCAGGATACCTACAACTCACGAAGAATGAATACTCTCCGGTAGAATGGATAAAATCTCTCTGCTTTCACTGTCAAAGCATCTCCCAGGGATTATAGCTAGTACTAGTACGGATGTGACAGGGAACGTAAATATATAGACTTATTATTATCACTATTTACGATGAACGAATCTAGACATGTATCGCAACCGCTCAAATCGAAAGGAGCTACCTCTTCTAGATCCAGGTTTGTCAAATATCAAACATAGGATCATAGTGCTTTTGTTACAGGAAAGCCACATATTTGTCTAAATTCATAGGTACAAAGTAGCTAGGAAGAAAAAGAAAGAGAACAACGATTGCTCAGTCCACATCCCCGAAGGGGCTTCGGTTAGTGTTGTATAATGCCATTCGCTATCGGGCGAGCGTTTTCGCTGTTGTGTTTCTCACGCTTGTTACGGTGAACAATGCCGTTATCTCTAAGCGATTTCTGCGGGTTTGGAGTGAGGATATATCGAGCTGGTATGAGCTTTGCAGAGGGGTTCACCTTGAGTCCAAAGCCAGGTTCGTCCAACACGCTAACATCGAGATAGCCTTTGGTTGGAATTGGCTCATTTAAGAACAAGTCTCCAAACACGGGTTGGACAGTTTTTCCATCCGGGGAATTAGCCAGGTACTCCTGAAAAGGCGAGTTTGGTTGAGACACGACAAAATGGTATGAGTAAGGGCCAGAGGCGTGTGGAACAACCGGGATATCATAAGCTGCTGCCATTGCAGATATCTTTAACAGTTCGGTCATACCTCCAACCCACATAACGTCAGGCTGGATGATATCTAAATTGCGCGACTCTATCAACTTCCGAAAGCCGTACCTAGAATACTCGTGCTCGCCGGTGGTGAATTTGATCGTTGGGTGAGCTCTTTTCAGTAGAGCTTGACCATCAACATCATCGGGCGATAAGCATTCCTCCCACCAGTCGATGTTGATCTTTTCCGCCTCGCAAGCTTTGACTAACTCAATTGTGTAGGGAACATTTAGGGACATGTAACAGTCAACCCTTAGCGGAAAGTTTGAGCCGACCTTTTCTCGTTGTTGTTTTAGGTATTCCACATTTTTGGCCAGGCCACCTGCACCTTCATCAGGCCCGTATGGTAGCGCTACTTTGGCACCTGAGAAGCCCATCGCCTTTGAAAAGCCTGGTTCCGGACCAGTGCAATAAAAATCCAGGCGAGAACGAGTTGCACCACCAATGAGTTTGTAGACTGGTTCATTGCGGATCTTACCAAGTAAGTCCCATATAGCCAAGTCTATAACTGAGATGACAGCAACGGGAAGGCCTTTTCGTCCGTAAAACATGGAGGACCTATACATCTTTTCAAAGAGGTTGTTTGTGTCCCTAGGGTCTTGCATGGGGAAACTTGTTAGAACACAGGTTCATACCATCGAATTTGTTGCAATGAGCTGATCAATCCTTACCAGCGCCGATTAGAAATCTTTCGAAATGCTGTGCCACCAGCCAACATGCTGGAGGGCCTCCGAATCCGGTTGCAAACCCTTTGGTGCCATCTGCTGCTTCTATTTCAATGCAAAAGGAGCCAAGCACATTTATCCCCCAACTAGTTCGAGAGCCTCTGTACTGTTCCCATCTAGCCATTGGGGTTGCAATGGGAGAATCAATGAGCCAATGCCCTCCTTTCACCTGATACAAGAAAGTAAACACGTTAGTATCTAGGTATTGACGCTGGGGGTAATAACTTACATTGTGATAATCGCCCCCGGAACCAACTCCATCAATAATAAAGGCATTGACCGCCTTGATAGTAGGGAATACAACGGCCATGGTAACGAAATAATGGGGTATAAGCAATCAGGGTTGGATTTCTATGGGTTATAACCCTTGTCTTGCCTGGTCCTTTAAATGATGGAATTTTGGAACGGTATTTATATCTATATAGCTACTCGAGATTTGGCCAGATAAATGATTTATCCACCAAGAGAGATCATGGGGTACCTGGGTCCGCCTTCGGTGGGTTATAGCGAAATGGCGCAATGACCAGGTATATCCAACCCCCATATCGATTGATGTGTATCTACTAGACAGCCGTAACCATTTCTTTAGCGAACTTTGGCGGTGGAAGGTAACAATTGTAGCGACAATTTAGCCGCCTCGGAAGTTTGAGCGTGTGAACGTGTTGGCCGTGGTGAATTAGTGGTTCCATTCTCCACATGGCTCCGGAGTTTCTCGGGTGAAGATACACCGAGGAGATATGGTACCGAGGAGAGGTTTAAGCTAACCCGAGGAGAGTTTTTCCAAAATATTTGGGCTGGAAAGCATAATTAAGGTGCTCGGGCTCGAGATGATATAACGTGTTTCCTGGATACGGCAAAAATGTTTCCTCATGGCTTGTACTATGTAAAGCACATCTAAGGTTGTTTCCCGCCCAATTCTCCAGAACACGTTTTTTGGATCCAAGCTGGAGGCCTTGATTCGCTAGTCGGGCTGGCCTGATGGGCTTGAGAAACACAATCGTATCATCATCTCGCCAAAGCACTCGTGATATGGCCGCCAAGGCCCGAGAAGTAAATGACTGGGTATTTTGCATGCTTGAAAGAAGAAATATATGATACACATAGATATCAGTGCAATCCTTCAGTTGCTATGAAGATTTTATCCGGTCACGATGAGGGACCAACCAGCATGCCATCGTCAACAATGGCATATACCATCCTTGCAGAGCGCATCATCTCGCCAACTCCCAGCCGGATCTCTCTAGATCCCAGGCTATTTGCAACTCCAAAGAACAGTACCAGCCAGAGCCGGAAGGGAAGTTTTGTCTCTGTTCAATATAAAAGAAAATGATTGAGGTTGAAAAAAAGTTGGTTCTTTTTTTGTATTTATTACGTAATCATCCGTAAACAGCAACTTTTTTTCTCTCTTCAACTTCAATTTCAACTTCAACTTTCAACTTCACGAGATGAAAAAGCGAAATGTGATACATTTTGTTTTTATTTCTATATCTCATTCAGGATAGTCGATAACTAGACTCAATGCATGCGTCTGAGATGCAAGAAACCTCCGTTCCCTGCGTCTTGGTTATATCTAAGTGGAGGAATCGCCTGAAGGCCAGGTTTATCGACAGCACTGGTTTGGGAGACAGGCTAATATGATAAGTTGTTTCGACCGGATTTATACGTCAATTGGCCAGACGCTAGATTCAGGCCAGGGAGCTGCATCACAACAGTCTTCCACAAGCGAGAGAGCAAAAGCCACGCGGAGAGTTGAAGCATGCCAGATTGTAATTGTGATGCCAGGATCCAGGACAGCTCACATCATTCCGGAGTAGAATTGACACGAGCGGCAAGGATATAGAGCGAGGCTGTCCAACGGACGGGAGAATTTGACACGCCGAATATTTTCTTTAGCACAGCGGGTATTCTCCCATGCTGCCAAGGACGAACCATGGCGGACTCAAAGAAACATGACCTTTTTCACCCTAGATCCCGGGGTCTGATAAACCATTAATTACAAATGTGTCCCAAGTCCACAGGCTGCATAAAATGGGGCAACGAACGGAAAATTCGCTAATATTTCCCATTAATGACACATCCACTCCGAGCTTTACTAAGACATGCGCGCCGCCAGATAACAGATTACGGTGTAATAATCTCAAAGTTCTTCTATATTTCGATTTATAGGGAAGCATCTAGCTTTAAAAAAATTCAGTGCTGATTGGCTAAGTTTTGAGCATCCGGCATAGCCAAAATCCCAAGCCTTCTACGGATTCCTTCAACTCGCCTGGATAGTATAGTTATATTCTACTCTGTACGCCATTCAGCACTTGAATAGGTCGAGTTTAGGAGTCTAGAAGGCTTTGTCGTGCATTCCTTACTGGTATTTTCCAAGACGGAAGGGCATGTGCATCCAGGATCCTTGAAAACGCCGTGTCGGGTGGAATCAGCCACCAGGCATGCACTAGAGACGCCGCTGGCCTGTTGAGGGCTCAACTCCCGAAGGGCCCAGGGCCAGGGCTGAAGCCGCCAAACTTCAGTTCAACCAGTCGGCGGGCTGCTTCTTTCCCCGGCCATATTCCCTCACATGGCTTGGGGTTGTCGCCTTGGCGAGAAGCGGCTGCACTCGATCGCAAACTGGCGCTGTAAAGTGAGCCAGATCTCATTACCACCAGTTTTCATCCCCTAGCGTTTTCCTGTCTGGCCCAGGACTCGGTCTTAACGACAGCTGTTCAACTGCGCATAACTCGTACAGCGACTTCGTACTCCGTACAGCTATCAGAGTGTTAGTTAATGTGCGCCGATGGAGCATCCATTTCCTTCTCCACACGGCTACAGAAATGCCAACACCTTGCCTTCCGCTGGTCAGGTTAAAACTGGTAGACGAGCAGACGATCGCGATGAAGCCGAAAGCCCAGAAGACGTCTGGTCGGCACAGGAGAGCGGCAATGACGTCGGCGCAGTGGATCGAAAAGCCTCCCAATCATCAGATAGGTCATTGAAAAGGAAACGTCCAGTGATGGTCTCGTATATCACCCCACCCTTCTTCCTCTCAATCCGTCGAAGGTGCCAGACCGTGATGCTGTCGCTAACCAGTTCAGATGCGAACTTTGCAAGCAGCGGAAAGTGAAGTGTGGTGCGTATAGCTTGATTTCGAGTTGAAGGCTGAAGAGGACTCACCCGCCTGGTAGATCGCACGCAACCCAGCTGTGGTTGGTGTGCTCGGAACGGCCATCCATGCGAATACAAAGAACGAAAGAAGCCAGGGTTGAGGGCTGGGTATGGAAGGGAACTTGAACAACGGCTAGGTATTATGACCTGGCATTACACGAACCTGCATTTATTCTTAAAGGCATAGCACTAATTGTTCTTCTCCTGATAGATCGTTTGGAGGAAGTCATCCAAGCGCAAGCACGGCTTATCGAAACGCATATAATACAAAGTCAACGTCGTCCAGGGAATGAAAATCAGTTGAACTTATGCCCGCCAGCAGTCCCTTCCTACAGCTCTCCATCAGACCGCTCCGCCGCCCCCGAATCGAGCCCAAGAGATGGATTATATCCGCATACATCAACCTCGGGTCTTCCGACACAGCACCGCCGTATCTCGGTTGTTGGAAGCTATACTCAAGAACAAAGCACATCCACGCCTTCAGATAAATCGATGAATAATACCTCTCCAATCCAGCTTCAAAATGGCCTGTCGACACAAGGCCTACCACAGCAACCAGTGGAAACACATCGACATATCTTTACTCCTAAAGACTCGTCATCCTTAAGGATTCCTACTGTGCCTATCTACTCTCCAAGTCATGATAGCCCATCCCTCGCCGATCCCAACGCCGATCTCCCGCCTTACGATCTATTATATTCATTGGTTGACTTGTACTTTGAGCATATCAATGCGTGGTGCCCTATACTTCACCGGAGAACAACATTAGATACTCTTTTTGGGCCATCTCCATTAAGTGAAGAGGATCGGATGCTTTTATACGCAATAGTTGCCACGACTCTGCGGTTTTCAAAAGATACGCGGTTGAATGAAGACAACCGAAAACGGTACCACGACGCTTGTAAACAGAAAGTTATACTATACGGCCTCGACAATTCATCAGTAACGTCTTTACAAGCTCTGGTTATCTTGGCGTTAGACGTTGTTGGCTCATCAAATGGCCCTCCAGGGTGGAAATTACTTGCACTCATTGCTAGATCTGTGGTCCAGCTTGGCCTAGCTGTAGAAGCCACCTCCTCTCTGGTCGCTACGATGTTCCCATCCATATATACTCTTAGAGCCAACATACTTCCCGACTCTAGAACGTGGGTAGAGGACGAAGGCAGACGGCGACTATTCTGGGCAGCCTATCTATTAGATAGATATTCCACAATAGCTACTGCCTTCGACTTTGCACTGGATATAAAGGAAATAGACCGAAAACTCCCATGCAAAGATGAATATTTTGTCAAAAATCAACCTGTTGAGACAAGGTTTTTCAATACCCACGAGCAGATGGAGCACGTTGGTCAAAGCCAATATATGGGCTCTTTTGGATTTTATATGGAGGTTTTAGGCATATTATCGAAAATACACCTGTTCCTTAAACGGCCGGTTGATATTAGTGCAATCGCTGATGTTGAACAGTGGCAGTCTACCTATCGAAAACTTGATAATGAGCTGACAGCATGGGAGTATCATTTACCGAAGGAGTATTCCTTTGCCATGTCCGGCCGATACTTAACACCTTCAAAGTCCAGGTCCGTTCATTGTGGTTGGATTATGTTACATGCGGCATACCAAACGTATGTAAAACTCCCAATACTGTATTACTTTAATAGCTAACATTCCCGAAGTACTATCATTCGATTGCATTCATCAGCTGCCTATCCTACCACCCGTTCACCTATTTTCACCCCGTCGTACGGTGCCATCCAACGCTGCTTAGCTGCCACTGAAAGAATCCGGGCGATTGCTGGGTTCGTCGTGGACAACAATGTCCTAGACAAGTTTGGTCCCCCGTTTGCATTTACGCTCTGGGTATCTGCTCGACTACTCCTAGTAAACGGGTCAACAGTAGCCCATACACTAGATCCTGCCATTACTTTCTTCGTCGATACTCTTCGTCGCATGGGACAATATTGGAAAGTTGCGAAGCGATACAGCGAGATATTACAGCGAGTCTTGGACGAATACAATGAATTCGAACAATCCGGTTCTGCAGCTGCGGATCGCACAGCGCCCTCTTCCGTAAAGATTCTAGCTGATATGAGACGGTGCGCGTTTGATCTCGACTTTTTAATTTCCCATCAACCTCCGAAGGGCAGCAGCAATAGCCACACACCAATTCGGGGAGGATCCACGGCATCAGTAGGCGGGTTAATTACTCCAAAAGCCACCAATGCCACTTCACTTGCGCCACCACGCAACCTAAGCCCTCATGATCTCGAGTACTTGGATATCTTTGACTTCTTCAATGTACCGCGTGTGCCTCTTCCGGGAGGAAACTTACATGCTCCACCGCAAATCAATGGCTTAGGGGTAATAGATCAAACACAGCAAATGACAGCCTCGCCTTCTCAACCACAAGCAAATCCCCCTGCTGTAGCAGCAACAGTAGGAGGAATTACAGTTGCCGATCTAGCTAATGCTGCGGCCGTTGGTGCTGCGGCTGCAGTACAGGCCTCGAATGAGTTTAATATTACCAATTATATGGTGCCAACACCAGAGACGGATTGGTTATTCAGAGCCACCACATAATTATATGGAGTAGCCTTAACTGTGTTTAATTTTTGGCTCAGGAATATGCATCTAATTCTAAGGCCTTATTGTTCGAGCATGTGTATTTTTCTTATCGAAACATACTTTAATATTAACGATAAACATAAACAAATCGGACATGCATGGCATTGCCTTTCTCAAATTAGTTTTAATTTTTGGGATTCTTGATAATATTGAGTAAAGTTTGGCAAATTCACTTCTCAAGGATCGGTTTTGAGCTCAAATCTAAGCTTAACAATATCCATCATGTGAGACTATGCACGGTAAGGTATCCGGGCGGGTTGATGGCCAGGCGAAAGAAGTGAGGAATTCTTGTCATGATCGTAGAGAAATTGATCCGAACGTAGCTAGGAAATCTCACTGCTATTTTGGTATTCGAGTTAAGGCAGTTTCCGTCAAATGCTGTATTTGCTGCAATGGCCCCTATAGCTTTACGGGATCTTCCTTATCCAGAAGTATCATTGGTTCATCTGATACTATCTATATCAACAAAGGGAGAGAAACTGATACCAGGTCTGAAGAAGTGGCCTCCGGTCTCTGTTGATACACCAATTATCAGGCGACGATTTGCTGCTTTGAGAATATCCGGGGAGCAGCCTATAGGGCCACCCATAGGACGTTGGTCGTAGAGGCTACTGTTATATATTGCAACAGTAAGGTCGGAGAAAGTGAAGTTGCTATACGTATGTTTGTGGATTGCATATCTTACGTTAACGAGGGGGAATTTTGGCGATATTGGACGGTGTTTCGCCCAGTGCCAGAAGGACAAATAAAGCCAGAAGCCTGATATTTGATAGAATCATATCTAGAATAATGATTACTATTTGTATAAGTTTGGAACAGCGCATAGGATACTGTTTGCAGGGTACTATTCCAGGAGCTGTCCTTAAGGAGAGCTAGCCTGTATTTAACCTGCACCATGGGAGGCTCTCTTCGAGGGTTAGCATGATAGAGCTGTATCATCGGCGATGAGCCACTGCGACGCGGAAATGATTCCTTCTAGTCTGGCCAGTTGAAAAGAACGATACTCTGCATGTGCCCGGATACCTTCTCTGCGAAGGTATGCCTTTTCAGAAGATGGCTCGTATATTTTCCGCCAGTCAAAATCAAGATAATGCTCCACTAAATCGTGCATTAGCTCCCGCTAGTAGGTAAGGATCAGGCTTGTTGGTGGCTCGTATTTTGACCAATTCGATCAATGCGATTCATGTCCAAAAGCGATGTAGGTTGATAACGTCTGTACTTCGCATTACATGGAAAGATAAAAGCATATGGGAGAGAGGATACATTTCATGCTTCGTTTATCATTGAACATTCACCCGACCCATAGGTGTCGGCATCATAAACATAACTAAAAACATAAACACATATCGGGATCAGGCATCTCATGCTTGTATAAAGCAGTAAAGAAGAGGCGGGAAAAAGGAGATCAAAATACGCAAGAAACAACATGATAGAGTTAAGCGGCCAAAAATAACCAAACCCAAGCAGTTGTAAATAAAACACCTCACGCCAAAAGCAAATGGGGTTAGAAATTGGACGCAGGGGATCACTCTCCTGGGTCTTCCTCGGGCTCGACACGAACGAGAACTTCTTCCAGAAATCCTTCAAGGAAAGCATTTATATCCCCGCCCATAGCTAGAGGCGCTTCAGTGTCCCATCGTTCGATCTCTTTGAATATGCCGGCAGCCTTTACTACAAGCCTCTTGAGCTTTTCATGCGCGTATGCTTGGCGTTGTATTTGCTCTGTCGATGGGCGCTGGCTAGCTGGGGTGCCCGGTTGAACTCGACACATGGAGTTGAGAGCGTATGTGCGGCGGTGGAGAGCAGCTTCAAGAGCGGGAAGTATCACTCCATTGAGCGCGGTAATAGGTTCGTCAGGGTTGGGCTGGTCCTGTGAGGAGAAATGAACGGTTGACTGGGAAGAGATGGAGTCCAGAGAATCGCGGGATTTGCGATGTGTTGAGGTACGTTCTGGGGCTGGCGGAAGAGGTTGAGGGCGAGTAGCCGGATATTGCTGTGGTTGTGGCTGATGATGGAGGTGGGACGAAGGAGTGGATGACGGATGGGCTGAGAGAGGAGGGAGAGGGTATTGTCCCGGGGGCTTGGAAGGCGTTGACGATCTAGATTGCCCCTTGAATGGTGGTATTTCAGGTATTTGCATCGGAGCTGGCTTCCTATGTATTGGTTCGGGGGCAGGTGGCTTTGGGCGAGGCTGCGTAGGTGTGCTGTTAGGAGACTCTGCCAACTTCAGGAAGTTAAGGTCCTGGGCCAGCGACCGTTGTAGGGCTTTGTCATAATCATGGGTATTCGGGCTTTCCTCTTCCTGTTGTGGTAAAACAGGATGAGGTTTCCCGAGAGCTGTAGGCGTCTTCACCTGGTCGTGGTAGGCTGGTTGCCGCGGCGTCTGTGTCTGAGGGTGCTGGGGCGTTGGCAGAGGGGCTCGTGGTACATGACTGCCCGGAGTCGCCGGGGGTGTTGCTGATGGAAAATTCCGTCTCTGCGGTGATGGCGGGCTCTTGACAGTCTCTTTCGATGATTTCCTGGGGATATTCTCCTGGAGATTCGGAAGACAGCTGCTATTTGACTGGGTTCTGCTGTGCACATTGGGAGCTTGTGCTCTTGAATTTGCTGCAGCCTCATTCATAGCACGCAATCCAGCAGCCCTATTTCCTCCAGCAGGACGTACGGTGCCAAAATCCCATAGGTCATCATCTCCTGCAGCTACGGGAGGCTGATACTGCTCCTGCTGGCGGTACACATCATCTTCTTCATCGTCCGGTAGCCGGTTTCCATTTTTTGCGAACCATCGTTCGTACCGCTCTATGAGCTCAGTCAGATACGTCGTTTTCTTCGCACGTTTAACAAATGGGTGTCTCAATAGCTCCTTTGCAGTGGGCCGCTCTCTGGGGTCACGCCGTAGACAGAGGTCGACAAAGTCCTTGAACGGTTTGCTAAAGGCGCCCTGGAGAGTAGGTGGTGCGTTCTTTGGAATGAGAAATAGGACTTTCATGGGATGGATGTCTGAAAGCGGCGGCTCGCCCATGGCTAGTTCTATTGCCGTGATGCCCAATGACCATATGTCAGCTTTGTGGTCGTAACCCGACTGTTTGATAACCTCCGGGGCCATCCAGAAGGGTGTTCCAACAAAGGTATTCTTCTTGGTCATCGTAGCTGATAGCTGACCGGACACACCAAAGTCAGCCAGCTTGACCTGTCCACTGGCCGTAAGTAATACGTTTGCCGCTACATACGTCAATTTAGCAAAAGGTGCCAAACACAAGCAAGGACTTTTCCCTCGAACATACCTTTGACATCGCGGTGTAGTTTATTATCGTTATGCAGATAATCCAGCCCTAAAAGCAGTTCTCTAAGAATAATCATGATATATTCCTCCGATATGCGGCCAGCACGCATGAGATCTGAACAGCTGCCCCCTGAACAAAACTCCATTATGATCCATAGATCGGATCCCTTGAGGAACGAGCCATGATACTTGGTGACGTAGGGCGAATTGAGCTCCGATAAGATTGATATCTCCTGTATGATATCTTCGACTTCGTCGTCTGCATTTTCAACGTCGATGATCTTGATCGCGACCGACTGACCGGTCCGCTTGTCGACTCTAAGAGTATCAATGTCAGCATCAACGCTCGTCAAAACCTGGACAAGCAGAGCGCGTTACCCCTTGTATACCCTCCCAAAACTGCCTCCACCTGTTGATAAGGGCAATGCGTTAGATGACGGTCTTGCAAACGGATTCTTCTCGTTGTCTGAGAGGGAGTGGTACCGATGCAATTCTGCTTTGTGTAGAGTGTTTCGGGGTCGAGCGCGCCCTCCATCGTGAACGTCCCGCTCTCACTCTACGCGAGATGATATCGTAAATCTGCCGACAGCTGTCACAGTAGCGTGCATGGAAATATATATCGTGTTTCCCCCTTCGTCTATCTCTCTCTTTTCTTTTTCCCGTTTGTTGGGTTTATTTTGGTTGTATTTTTATACTATCGTGCAGCGAGTGGAGCGCGGGGAGAGAGGACCGTCCAAACAGCGGTAAACAAGTAGAAAAACGACTGTCAAGACGGCCTTTAGACGGCGAGAGAGAGATGAGAAGGTCGTCTAAAAGGCCAATTCTCCTACTGAAGAGAAGAGGTGGAAAGAGAAGAGCAGAGGCGAAGCTGGTTGTCTTTTGAGGCCGAAAGCTGGATGTTTTTTTTTTGTTGTTGTTTTTGTCTTCGAGCCTCAAGAAGCGCTGGACGGCCCAGCAACAAGACAAGCCAATCAGTCGGCAGAAGCCAGGATTATATAGAGAGCTGCTTGCTGTGTAGAAGATGTTGGGCATTGGACTGTTTATGAGCTGAGGTTGAAGTTGATATAAAGTTGATACTGAGTGTGAAGTCGGCAAATACAATAATAAACACGATAGAAACATCGGCAGCTTCTCATCTGCTTAACCATCTTCATCTTCCCTTTGGCAACTCTGACAATGCGTATCCTCCATAAGTATATAGACATTTTGACCTCTGATACCATCTTAGCCATCCTCCATGCAATAAAGACGCCTTAAAGACACCCATAGCCACCCAGAAGTGATATCTAATCACAGGTCACTCCACTGGCTGGAAACCACCAGGCGACGTCCAAGAGTGCTAGCATACCAGGCAAACTGATAGGCCTCCTGCTCGATACCCCTAGCCTTATTCCAGTTCGGATACAGCCTGGTGAAGCCGCCGTTTCCGAGCTCGTAGGTAGCAGCTAGGGCAAAGGTACGACAGGTGACAGCCCCCATGGTGGTTCTGGGGACGTTAGCGGTGGTGATGCACTGCTGGATGGCTTCAATCCACTGGGGAGTGACTTCAGGCACATCTCCAACCTTCAGGATAAGAAGGACAGCCTTGTCTGCCGTTATATCTTTGTGTTCTTCAATCTCTAATGTCCACTGGCTGCCATCAAAGACACGGTGGTAAAGGAGGCCTTCTCTCTGGCTGCGAGCAACAATGATACCCCAGTGGAACTTCTCACTTATGTTTCTGCGTTCTGAGATGACAATATAGACACTCCTAGGATGCATGAAGAACCTTTCAGCACCATAGGAGCTTTCTGATGCCCTTGCTTGTTCTTCTTCAGCTGGCCTGGGTTTAGATACTGCCTCTGATGATGTCTCTAGAGATGGGCTCTTTGCTGGAGCAGCCAGGGCTGGTGTTGGTGCTGGCCCTGATAGATCCGATGGCCCTGACGGTCCAACTGAGTGGATACTGATAGAAGACGCGGACCTGCTCATGCCCGGACATTCATCTTCAAGCATGGCTGCTGGATGGATTGCCTGGAGATATATATATGCTTGGTGGACTGATTCACAGAGACTATTTTTATAGACGCGTTAGAAGGCTAAGGCTGTTTAGTGCATCTGGCTGCAACCCAGCATAATACCATATAAAATCACAGTGGTGATGGGCTATACTCACTTCTATACAGCACTACTTCAACAGGTTCAGTGACGGTGATATCTCGCGTTGGGTGGTGAGAAGTGCAGAGAAGAAGAACAAGAGGTGGAGAGAGAGGGAGAAAAGGGAGGCTCTGTTGTTTACTCCAACAAGGCAAGCTCGAAGACTCACACATATACACACACTTTGCAATGCAGGAGAAGACGGCTAAACTCGAATGAACGTCTTTTATTGCTTCCCTATTTTTTCTACCTATTATTATCATATCCCTTAGACGGAAGAAAAGATTGTAAAAGAGAGTAAACGAGCAATCCAAGTGGTACATATCGACAGTAGGTTCTGGGGTGGAGGGAAAAACCATAAGACACAAGGAATGATATGCCTCTGGGTTAGATAGGTATTCAAGCGGATAGTATCAGTGTCAGCCTTTGTGGTATCATGATGTTGTACTAGATATCAAAAAAAGAAAAAATAAGGACAAGAGACATCCTATCTAATCTTCAATAAATCCAACCATGACCGTTCCATTCTTCAGCCCGGCCTCCTCGACAGTCTGGTCAAGTAGGGATATCAGATTCTGGCCCATAGACACCAGCTCAAACTCCACGCCCTGCTTGTTTTCCAGAGGTGATGCCTTGAGCCATTCGTACAGCCGCTGGACAGGGTCTGACAATGCAAATCGTCGGATTATACGACCTGACGAATGGCGGAACTGAATTCTGGTTGTCGTGGCCGGGTCCGCGGCCGGTTCAGTGTGCGGCTTGTCAGAGGGTATTTTGAAGAAAGCGGAGTCCAAGGCTGACGGTTCCTCATCTTCATGTCCATTCGACATGTCTGCGTCTCCGCCATCCCCAACAGCAGCAGCAGCCTTGCTTTTGCCCTTGATATCTCCAATACTCCGCGTCAGGTCGTCTGGATCTTCGGCCTTTGTCGGTTCCTGGCCCACCAGGCTGTTTTTTAACGCCATATCTAACATCTCTTCCTCTGTCATTGTGTCTATCTTCGACTGAGGTTTGACTTCTGGCTTCCGCTTGGCTACCGGGTTGCGGACGTTGGCATCAAGACTGTACCGATCAAGGAACTCGTGCAGCTGCATTAAAAACTCGGGGGCTTTGACGACCGGCGGACCGCTCCAGGTCTTTACCTGCTCACCAGTCCGTGGGTCGACTATGGCAATATGTGGGTAGTTATCTGACACATCATGGCCATGGAAGTAGTATTGGATATATTGGGCTCCGCGAGGGTCGTCCTTTGAGTACTGCATAAATAGGAAATGCTCTCGTATTGTCTCCTTGACGCCATCGTTCTTCCATAGGTCTCGATTTAATAGTTGGCAGTCGAAGATGGAGGAGTCCTGGATGTTAACCAGCAGCCATTTCATCTTCTCTCGGCCTTCGTCTCGTGCCAGGTCCCAGGGAAGTCGACACATGATCTCGAACGGAGGCCGGTACATCTCGGCCAGCATATTGGCTTTGGAGGAGGACTCAGAGGCTCCCCCCGTTGCGCGTGAGAGAACATTTGAACTTGACGGCTCGTCTTCGTTCCAGATGGAGCGGTCGACGTCTCTCTGGTTGAAGATCCCGGGTCGGTTTGCTTTTCCATGGTTAGTCGCCATTAACCAAAAATATTCCCTGATTCGCCGTGTCAACCATACCTCTACGAGCAGCTCTCGCCTGCATCTGGCTCATTATATCCGGTTGAAACCCATCATCCATATCCGGGCCCACGAGTGTTTCTGTCCTTCTCTCTATCGGCGCCCGAACTTCGTCTAAACCACCCCCTATTGAATCTCCACCAGTATAAAACTCCTGCTGCAGCCTCCTCGCCATCTCCAGGTCTGCATCAAACGTATCATTAGCTGCTCGAGGGGCACAGCTCTGACCCGCAGTAGTGTTTTCATTATCCTCATCATCATCAGAGTCCAAGTGTACCACCCCGTCCTCATCTTCATAACCGGCTGTACGTCGAGGCTGAGTCGACGGCTGTGGAGCAGAGGGTGCCGCAGCAGGCTGGATGGGGTTCCCGCCGTTTTCAAAATAAAGCTGCATAGCAGTCTCGATATTGCTGTCCGTCAACTGTAGATACTGGGCAGCAACCTCCGGAGACGATCCAGTGATCTCTATGAACTGGGCCACAGTCGTGTCGGCCATGGTGACGTCGGTGGCCCGTTCCGGGCAGGGCACAACAGGTGAGGCGTAGTTGAGGTTGCGTAGAACGAGGTTGTCCGGTTCCCTCTATCGGTTGCTTAAGTGTAGGTAGGCTTAAAATAGAGGTTTTATGCGTGGGGTAGTGTATGTAGCTTCTAGAGAGAAATCCGCAATTTAAAGGACGTAAAAAACAAGTTATCAGATTACTCGAGGACAGTCTGGAAGTCTCTGCTTTATTCTCCGTAAAGAGATCTTACCGTCAGGCATCAACTTGTTTGCGTGTTTAACAACTTGAATGTTCACAGCAACGAAAAAACAAGCATCGAATGGAAAATCCGCCAAGAGCCGGAACGTCAACGGGCCGCCCTTATGATGTTCCGCTCCGGTACCGCCGAGGGGCAGCTTAGTCAGTAACCTTAGTCAGTCACTTGCCAAGCCTAACATAAAATTGTGCAAAGAAGGTGCGTCTCTGGTCTCTATGGGCAACTGTAGGCCTTCCGGATGTCCCGATTAGGCTCGGAGTGGAAGAATGATTTTCCCGAACGCGAGCTTCCCGAAGTCGCGACTTTTCCTCTTCAGGCGTGTCCCTGCCAAGACTTCACTCGGCTAACCTTCTCTTTTCATTTTCTCTCGCGTCGCGCCCGCAAACAACGCGGCTCTTTCCACTTAGGACCCCGACGCGCCCGCGCTTCCCTTAACGCGTCGAGAAAAAAAAGTGACTTCCGCCTTGAAGAAAAGGTACTTGTGCAGGTACTTTCTCTGCGCTCCACCTGTACTTCTTCACAACCACACCCTCTCTTGCTGCTTTGCCAATACAGAAACCAGACCTCTCTCTCCACGCACTTTTACTTCCTCAATAACCAACTCGCACTCATGGCTTCCGCAGTTCTGGGGAAACGACAGAGATCTGCTCTCGAGTCTACAGGTAAATTGCACTCTGTGTTATAGACTTGCCTCCAGAATTAACAGGTTGACTGCAGATACACCTTCTTTACGATCTCCGAGCAAACGTTTGGCAAGGGCAAGCAAGAAGATCTATACAGATGAGGAGGACCCCTTTATATCGTCGACAAGCCAAAAACGCTCCAGCTCCCGGTCGACCATCACCCGCAAGCGCCCCAGTGATGCAAACACACCAAGCCGTAACGTACGAACGAAACGTATCGACCATGACAAGACCAACAAGACGACAGCCGGAGACGATAATGGTAAGTTAATTCTCTAGCATTCACTTTTCTGCAGTGAATGATCTAACCTGGTATTAGATGAAAATGTTGAGCCCGTTGAGTTCAGCACGCCAAAAGCACAGAGATATACAAATGCTTTCCTCCCAGTTACCCCAAAGCACCGAGTACAGATCGGTGGGAAGCCCTTGACTCCTCGAACTCCACGTACTCCATCTACGCCAAAGACTACTCGCTCGGTATTCACGGCTGCCAAACAGCTCTTCACCAGGAGTGTAAACCCAGGCCAGCTGGTCGGTCGAGATGACGAGGCCAGGGAGATGAAGAGCTTCATCCAACGATCGGTGGAGTCGGGGAAAGGCGGATGCATCTACGTGAGTGGGCCACCAGGGACTGGGAAAACGGCACTCGTCGATGAGGTGTCGCGTGAGCTTGGAAAGTTTCCCGAGACTATCAAATTGGCCAACGTCAATTGTGCTAGCTTAACGAATGCACGAGATATCTACAGCAATATCCTCGAAGGCTTGTGTGAGAGCACCAGTGTATTCCGGAAGAGTGAATCTGAGCGACTAGAGGCCATGTTCCTACCCAAGAAGTCGTCTAGCCCTCTCTACCTTGTCATTCTGGATGAAATCGACCATCTCCTATCCGGCGATATTGAGATCCTATACAAACTGTTCGAGTGGTCCCTACACAAATTATCTCATCTCATCTTGGTTGGAATTGCAAACGCACTAGACTTGACAGATCGACTCTTGCCTCGACTAAAGGCGAAGAACTTAAAGCCTCATCTTCTCCCATTCCTTCCGTATACACCTACACAGATTACCGATGTTATCACCACCCGTCTTCGTTCTTTACTGCCCGCGGAGTGCCAGAGTGCTGCAAGCCAGGTCCCTTTCCTTCATCCAGCTGCCATTCAACTCTGCTCTCGAAAGGTAGCCTCTCAGTCAGGCGACTTAAGAAAGGCGTTTGATATAGTTTACCGAACTATCTCTCTTTTGGAGCGTGAGACCCAACTGAAGGCTTCCGTCGCTACAACCAGCCCTTCCAAGCTACCCCTGCTTGAAAACAAGAATCTGGCGTCATCCTTACCTGCCCCTCAGCCTACAGAATATACCGCTGCCACCGCTCCCCGCGCAACAATCGCGCACGTCGCTCGCGTCACGTCATCTACTTTCGGTAACGGTACAATCGAGAGGCTTCAGGATCTGAACCTGCAACAAAAGGCTGCCCTCTGCGCTTTGATTTCATTTGGCAAGAAGCAGCAAACCGCAAATGTCGTCTATAAGACACCCTCCAAATCACCACGTTCCACCGCCCCATCAAGCAGGGAGCTGTTCGAAACATACTCTGGGCTTTGTCGCCGAGATAATATCCTCCAACCACTTACCGCCACTGAGTTCAGAGATGTGATCAGCAGTCTAGAAACCATGGGCCTGGTTGGGGAGGTTGATGCTCGTAGCCGCGGAGCTGGTTCTCCTGCTGCATCAGGCCTCTTCTCTACCCCCTCCAGGTCTGGACGTGGAAGACCGTCCGTCGTCAAAGGCATGGTTCGATCCGATGATAGTGGTCTTGTGTGCCTTGTCGGTGAGAAGGAGGTACAAAGCCAGATCTCCGGCCCTGGGGAGGGCATTCTCAAAGCATTGCTTGCCGCTGATGATTACTAAAAAAGGTTTATTATTTTTAATGTATAATTAGCTAAGTTCATGTTTATTTTATGGCGTTGCATGTGTTATTATATCTAGCATTGGTGGGAGTTTTGGGTCTTTTTGTTTATCCTACATATTCTTTCTCGTCACTTTCGGCTTGGCATAGTTAGCGCTTGGCGTGAGAGTATGTAAACCAACATTGTACTGTGACCCTATCCTTAATTGACGTTGCCTAAGCCACTTCATTATATTCGCTCCTTTAAGTAATTCACACACATGCTCCATAGACCAGTGCATAAACAAGCGCCAGAGAAAAATAGCCTTGCTTTCTGATCCATATCACGTGATATTATTTAGAGTTAAGCTCCCGCAAAATATCCCGTTTAGGAAGTTTCGCTGGCCAAGGCTTTCAAACAAGGTTCTGTAGCCCCATTTTTATCCGCGGCTCTGAATAAAGTGTGTCCAGCCATCTATACAATTACCCATCTTCAGTTTCTTGGGTTCAGCTATGAGTGTTGAGGCGCAGGTCAATAACCGAATTCAGGGGTCGATATCGTGCACAGACTAGATGTATATATATTCCGTAGATGGTATATAAGTCGGCATCACCTAGCGATACCTCTATCAATTCCAATACACTTCTCACATCATTTCTCAGATTATTTACTACTCTCCCAAATATACACATTGATAGGAAAGAAAGATAGGGGGTACCAGCATGTCTTCCAAAGAGGATATAACCACAGAGTTATACCACTATTTCCCAAACAAACCAGCAGCCATCATATTCGCTATTCTATACATTGCATCGTCCTTCCTTCATGAATATCAGTATAAGTATGTCCACTACCATAACATATCTGAGAAACGCCATGAAACAAACACTCACTCCATTATTGCACAGTGCTACCCGACCGCAAAAGTTCACTATGCCATTTGTCCTCGGCACAACATTCTCTAGTGTTGGTTTCGTTACTCGGTCACTGAGTGCTCTCAAGATAGGAGACCCACGCACAGTATGGCGAATATCGTCCATGTTCACTCTCGGCGCTGGTCCAACATACGCAGGCGCAGACTATTTCGTCTGTGGCCGCATATTCAGTTATGTCCGATCAGCAGCACCAATATCTCCGCTCAGGACAGTTCGAACATTCATTTTTTTCGACTTCCTAGCAGAAATTGGCATCTGGATTGGAACGGGTATTATGGATAGTAGAGGGGATCCCAACAGTGCCAAAGCAAAGCTGGGCTTGAATCTCATCAGAGCGGCAGTGATTATACAACTTGCATTGTTTGCATGCTTTGTTGTCGTTGTGTTAGTATTTCAGATACGGGCCACTAGCCGAGGATTCTGGAGGGCAAGTCATCAACAAATCGGCGGAACTCCCGGATGGGTCAAGGTCACATACACTCTATATGCTTCTTCCCTATTGATTGCCGCAAGATCGGGGTATCATATTGCCGGTAAGTTCAAAAAAGCTGTGCTCTACCCACATCAAAATATAGTCTAACAGTTTCAAGAGAATTTTCTTCCTCATGACCACCCATTTCGAGCTACAGAAGCACCATTCCTTTGCTTGGAAGCTCTTGTGATGTTTATCAACGCAGCCATGTTCAACGTGATTCACCCAGGAGCTCTCCTACCGAGTAACCCCCACGTTTATTTGCTTTCAAATGGCACGGAGGCAGAAGACGAGAGTCCAGAAGACACTCTTGAGGACACTAGGCCTTTGAAGATGAAGATCCTTGATCCCTTGGATATAAAAGGGCTGTTTAGTAAGAAACAGTCAGTCAAGGTGTACCAGCAGAGGCCGATGACAGGTGATGACGAGTTGATGCCTGAAAGCATGAGGATGCTTGAAAATAGGCCGCGCGGGGAGTTTCACTAGTAACTAAGGGTTGTTGACTGGATTCGGGAGTTTTACGGCAGCATCTTAGAGTGGCGTAGTCAGGGATTATGTATGATATCAAATAATATTTTGTTAGTATCCAGCGCTAAAGAATAAACACCAAGGCATGGGGATTATGATCCTAACGTTGGTCTCGAAAATCGCGGCGTGCTCCTATAGCAGAGTACTGCATCCAGTATTTGAACGATTTATTCCGTAATTCGAAGGGTATATAGTACACTGTTGTCAGAAGTAGCACCATTCAATGTACAGCATAGAGCACTAGAGTAAATGAACTCGTTAGGCCTAAGAAGAAGGGCAGGGTCGGTGGGCATGAAATGAAATAAAAACTAGGAGGCATCATACAAAAGAACGTATCTAACTAAGTAAAAGTAAGTGGTTGATAAATAAAATGTAAGAAATGGTTTGGGATATCGTTAAATCAGTTGCTCTTGACATAATATCATGACAAAAACAGAAGTTAGAAAAGGAATAACAAAGGAAAGCTGAAGAGGGTGACGGCGGTTATTCCCGCGGATGATACAAAATCGGGCTAAATCTAATCATCGATCGGTTTATCTTCTAGCGTTACTCCTACGGGTTTTGGAGCAGGAACATCCGATGCGGTGCTATCAGCTTCCTCTCGCTTGATGCCTGTGATATGGCTGTAGCGGCTAGAGCGTGAAAGCGAACCTGTCTTCTGAACTTCTCCAGTCATAGACGATGGAACGGCTGAGGCGGCTATTGTAGTTGTGGTATTCGGCGGTGTGGAGGCTCGGTCAGTAGAGGGAGCGTCAGCTAGGGCAGCTGCACTTTCAGTTGCTGCCGAGGTGTCTTCACTTGTGCCGTTGGTGTGGGAGTTTGTAGTGTCCGTAGGAGTTGCATCAGGTACCTCGAGAGAATGGCGTACTGGTTTGCGTTCAGAAGTAGTGACACCAGAAATGCTTACTGGGAATCGTGTGCTTCCTGAGCTTCCCACTGATCTGTCCCGGCGATGGCGAGGAGACGGAGCTGGGCTCGTACCTCTAGCCCTGTTAGCAATTGCACGGTTCCTTTCTTCCATGTTTGCTCGTCGGTTGCTTTCATCGGTGCTGATGGCACGGGGTCTTTGGGATGCAGCACTACTAGACTTGCTGGATAGACGCCGGAGCTCTCCAAAGATCTGCTTCTGGTGCACAATCAGATCACGCACAAGACGGTGACTATGCTTTTCATCCATAGATAGATGATTCTGGACGCGAGGGCGGAGAATACATGGAGCCAGGCTAGAGGCAAGAGCCGAAATATAGATTTCCTCACGAGTGGAAAATTGATCCTGTTCAGGGATGGTAAGATCGACAAGACGCCAGAAATGAGTAGTGATGGCGTCTAAAGTAGCGATATATGGAAGTGGCAGCTGCCCTAAAGTACTTTGAAGGACCCTGATGCGATTCTCATCAGATGTGTCACGGGTCGTAGTGTAAATTGTGCGGAAAATTTCGTATAACTTGGAAGAAACAATTGAGTCTATATTGAAGTTAGTAGGGGATTGGCTGGCGGTAGAATAGGTAGGTGGGTTTTACCTGGAAGTTCTAGAAGGTAGAGTCTCAAAACACTTGCGACAACAGGCATTTCGAACTCTTGCAGCATTTCTCCTATGGCCTCTACTTCATCATCTACCTTCACCACTGGCCCAGAGCGGCCTCTATTCAGTTTCGCACGAAGCTTATGGGTTTCAGATAGAGGAACGTCTCGGAGCCATATTGCTCGTCGAGCGTCATCTCCTTCAAGGTCAAGATAATCTATGGTATCATTAGCCGATAATTCAACCTGCATCTGTAATGATAACCCAGTACTTACGTTTATCTAGATATGTCAAAATACCGGTCACAAGAATTGGAACCCGCTTTTTCCCTTCTGCTGCCGTCAATGTTTCTAAGTCAACACCAAAAGTTTGTTCTACAAGGTAATAGTTAGTCCAATTTAGCTTTGCATAGACAGGGGTAATATCAATAACTCACCCTCCGTAGATTTTGAACCGCTTTCATAGACGACAACCTTTGGGCAAAACGAGCCAGTTCGATAGTTCTCCAGCATGTAGCGCAAGTCACCCAGTGGCTGCATCGCCTCGTGATGAAGAACAATCCTATCCATCGTGCTCTGCAATGACGGAATGACATTGCTGATCGTGCTTGAAAAATCTATGACAACTGTTTTGATGCCTTCAAGGCGGTGTAGTTCGCACTGTTGCATAAATTTCATAGTTTGAAACATCTCTTCTTCGAGTTTACAGCGAAGAGCATCCAGCTGTCTCACACCATGCTTGTAGCGCTCATTGGCCTCATCAGCCTGGCGTTTAAGGATTTCCATAGGTGTTTCGTCGGAAAGCTGGTTTCTAAGCGGATTCCACGCAGCAAAGCGTTCTGTTAAGGTGGGGGAGTCAATAGGGATGTCGTCGCTTCCCATCCCAGTGCTAGTCCGACTTAGTGTAGTGCCAGAGCGACTGAGTGGCTTTTTCTTCTCAGGGACTCCGGTCATTTGAAAGACGCGCTTATCCCACTGGTAGGTAGACCTCGAGCTACCAGTGAATGTGGTGTTAACAAGTGGGTTAGGACCCATGGCACCGATTGAGGTTATAAAGCCATTATCAGCCATGTCCTGACCTATCCGTTCCGCATAGCTGAGAGAAGAGGCACCTAGATGCTTTTGTAGGTACTCAACGATGTCTGATCCAAGTGATGTGTTATAGTATGTCCCAAGCAGGCGCACTTTCACCTCTCCCATCGGGATAGTCTCCAGCATGTGCTTCAACACTGGTTTCAATTGCTCTGGTGAATACACGTGATCACCTAACTCCACTGGTTCCGGGTCTTCATCTAACGGATCGGGCAACACAATGGTTGGAGCTTTAAGTGTCAACTGTTTATGCTTTGGGCTTGCGGTAGCACTTTCAGGCTCCTGGAAGGCGAACAAGTCCTGTTGCTCCCGGTCGTGAATCTGACGACACTTGCTGAGATACTTCTCATTCAGACTGCTCACTTCATCACATTGTTTAGAGTATTCCTTCAGCCGTGAGGTAAGCGCCTTTTCGCAGGTAACTACTCGGGCTTCATGTTCGCTTGCCCAGCGGCTAAATTCTTGGATAACCAGTTGCTGAATGCTGCTCGAGATCTTCTGGTGAATGGCTTGTTCTTCGACCATCTGCTTTCGCATGCATTCGAATGCCTGTGAAAATGCTTAGCGACATGTCTAACCAACGTTTATTCATGCTTGAAACAAACCTTCCGGACACTAGCACCGTCATCACGATCGAAACCTCCGGTTTTTCGATCAATAGCCGGAGCAATGGCACCTAGCTGTGCAGCATATACACGCTCTGCCTCAGCACGCATCTGGGCCATGGTGAGAATCTGTTGGTTCTCCACGATGCCCTGGTGGAGCTTTGTAAACAGTGTATGGATGCCCGAGGCATAATCGGGCGTCCAAAACGAGTCCGTAAACCCCGGCATCGCCATAGCAGTATTCATGACTGTGAATTAGGGGAATAATATCGAATATACCGAGGCTCTGGGTGGGTGTTACGAAAAAACGGCGGTCGTTGGTATGTGCTTGGGTGTTCGCGCGTGAACGGGTCGAAGGAGGTGGAAACGCTCGAAATGTGGCGAGAACCAAGTCAGAGAGCAGATCCAGCTAGCCCAAAGAACAAGACAATAAATGACAGGGTTAAAAATGATGTCCGAACGAGAGACGGAGATGTCGACGGAGAGAAAGGGAAGAAGAAGAGCTGAAGGATTGTGAATTGTTGAAAGCTTCAGTTAAAGAAGGCGAAGGAGGCTTTGTAACTTACGTAGTAGCTTAGGTAAGCGTCACGTGAAAATATTACTTTGATTATATAATAGCGGCTTTGTCCCAATATGGTTTAGTGTATTTGCTGGTTTTTCCGCTGTTTCTCCGAAGGTTTATCCGGACCTGCCAAGTTTCCATTTTTAGAAATATGGGGTATATAAATAGAAAACAGTGGCTGGTTTGGGCGCTTATCAAAGACGAACAAAGTTGTTAACCCCTTGATCCGGGATCAGAATCCCCTGAGAGACGCGAGCGTCTCGGCTTGAGACGAGTTTCACGCAGGAAAGGGGCAAACGCCTCAAAAGTTTGGGATTCACCTCATATTTGATATACCCTGCAACGCAATTGTGACCCGATAGAGGTACAAAGACCTATGCATTATGCTGGGAAATGGTATTGGCTTTGTAGTAGCTATTAGTGCGAGATGTCACCTCTCTCTCCTCTGCTGGACCAAAAGAGCACATGTGAAACCCATCCCAGGATGGTACTGCAAGAATTCGCGCTTGACGTGCGCAACACGTCAGCTACATCAATCAAGCATTGTTGGTGATATTCCTCAAGAAGGAATCGGAAGCATACCAACACGTAAGTTTTGCTGCTATACCTCGATTGGTATACACTGATAACACGGTATAGTGCTATTCCCCTACACCGCTGGCCAGTGGTTACACCTCGACAAACAACAGCGCGATGCGCGATATGTTAGATTTGACTTTGACCGCTTGTATCAAGAAGTGCTCCCGCCCTGCCCGCCTGGTACCCCTCCTGAATGCTGCCGGAAGATAGAGGGCGGGTTCAGTAAAGTGTTTATTCTCGAAACAGATAATGGAAGGAATATTGTTGTTAAGTTCTCTACATCTATTGCTGGATCAGCAAGACATGTAGTCAATTCTAAAGTTGCAACAATCACATATTATAAGAGAGAACTAACAGAGATATTAATAAGAAGCCATGGTCTGACACTGAAAACCACATTTTATAGTGCAACGTAATACAAAAGTCTCAATCCCGAATATTCTAGATTGGAGTGATGACCCTACTAACGTTATAGACTCGCTATATATTATCATGGAACACGCTAGCGGAGTTCTACTACAAGATGCATGGGTAGATATGCCACCAGATAAGAAGATTAAATGCATTGGATCAATCTGTACAAGTATTCTTCCAATAACTACACTTGACCTTCCCGCATACGGGAGCCTTTATTTTGCCGATGCACCGTTTCTTGATACTAGTTCTAAGCAAACGTTGGATATCAAACACTGCATTGGACCGCATTGTAACGGCAGTATCTATTGGGACTCCAAATAGAGGGTCATGTGTGTTGAGTTAATACCACTTCCATTGGCAAGATTTACTTGTTGATTATCTTCTTTTAGGGCCCGATCTCTCTTCATATGCCTCTTCTCTGATTTGACTATGGCCTTGCACGACTACCGCCTGCTAATTATCCTCTCACCATTCAACAGCAAGTACCATATCAAGGTTCCATAGAGAAGTATTTGGAGCTATTCATAGGTCAGAGGGTTTTCTCAGATCTGATTCAACACCCTGAGACCCAAGCTGCAGCACCAACCCTTTTCCAACCAGATCTCCACAAGAGGAATGTTTTTGTCTCTAAAGATGACCCTGCTATAGTGACCGGCATTATTGATTGGCAGGGGGCAAGCATCAAACCGGCATTCTACATACTATGCGGATAATATACCCGATTTCGCCAAAGTTCCTGCGGAAAAAGTATCTATGCTGCAGAGGAATCTCTTTGCTATCAGGCATATGAAGTGGGATTAGCCATGCTAAGCCCGCGTTTAGGCGCAACCAAGAAGATTGACGAAACACTACTTAGACCATTCCGGTATTGCCATCGGATCTAGAGAGATGGAATCGTACCACTTACACATGAGCTGATGAGGCTACGGGGTTCATGAGAGAAGCTTTGATTCAACAAGGCTTGCCCAATTCCAGCCATGAGCCCTGGAGAAGCTGCCATCTACGAGGAACAGCTTGGCATATATGATAGTATGTTGAAATTTAAGCAAGATATGATTGAGACATTGGGGGTGGAGGAGGATGGTTGAGTGTCTGCGGAGCGCTGGGAGGGAGTGAAGCAAGCTCATCGGCATATCTACGAGACTCTCATGGCTGGTATGGAAGCGATAAGGATCGCGACGACTTGAAGACAATGTGGCCGTTTGATCAATGCCAGCTCGAAGCTCAGGAGTGGAAGTGGCGTGAGACTGATGGGAAGTGTAATCTATACGAAAAGTAATGAATGAAGGGTAGTATCATTAGTGTAGGTATGTATACAAGAAGTCATATCGTGTCATATCAAGTAGCCCAACAAACCAAATAATCAAATCGTCTATCCCCAATTCATACAATCATACACTCCAGCTTGAAGCCCCAAAAACACCAATCGCTAAAAACAAGTAGTAGAAAATAAATAGCAGAATATGGTATACGTCAAGAGTTGTCGTGTCAGCAGAATATCTTGTAGAATTTCTTCCATGCTGGCCACTGTTCTCTCTCCTCTCTTTCCTCAGCAATCAAATCGCTGATATCCATGTCTCGCCTGCCGGTCTTTAAATCCATATCTTTGGCTCTCACTATCGAGGTCCTGAACCATATCTTATACGGAACATAGAAGACCAGCACGATAGGTGCGGCAAGGTAGACCGAGAACCAGCTTTGTGCGTGTCCCTTTGAGGATTTATCTTTCAGTTCAATGGGGAAGAGGCCGACCCAGAACTGGGCTACAAGGACTAGCATGTTAAAGGCTAGGCCGATATAAGAGCCTATGACGCCTGGTTGGGAGCGAAAAGTGAGCTCATCCAACGAGTGGCCCTGGGCATGCCATCCGCGACGAAAGCGGATATGCGCTAGGCAGATAGAAGACCAGGTCATGATGGCGGACAGGCCAGAGATGGCTATCATCCAAGTGAATGCCTCATCACGGCGACTTGATCCAGCGAGAAAGGATAAGATGCCAGCTGCAAAGGCGACCCCGACAGCGAAGATAGGTCTTCCCCGGCGGTCGATATAGGCTAGAAACCGGGGTGCTTGTTTCTGCTCTGCCAGTGCGGCCAGGGTACGTGAGGATCCGTATATGGCCGAGTTACCGACGCTGAGAACAGAAATCATGATGACCGCATTCATTACAGAGTCCAAACCGGCGATACCAGCGTTCCTAATCGATATGACGAATGGAGAAGCTTTGGATTCTGTCGACGTTGCATCAGAGCCGGGCATGAGTAAGTGTTCGTCTGTATACGGCACTAGAAGTCCCACTATCGTCAAGGCTATGATGTAGAAAAGTGCGATGCGCCAGAAGACTTGTTTGACAGCTGTCGGGAGAGTCTTCCGAGGATTCGTAGCCTCAGCGGCGGCGAGCCCGACCAATTCAGTGCCTGTGAAGGCAAATGCAGCATTGACAAAACAGCTGCATAGTCCCTTGAGGCCATGGTGGAATGCACCTGGATCACGCCAGTACATGCCGCCTATATAGCCTCCCTCAGGGCCACCGGCGATATTAAGCACAATTCCGAGAATTCTGCAACTCATTAGCGGAGAAAAAAAAAAGTGGCTCAAGACGATAACGCTCCCCTCCTCCGAGTGGGTTTTTACTCACATATATCCCACAACAGCAACAACCTTGACGATTGAGAAGATAAACTCCGCCTCTCCGTACCCTCGGACGCCAAATAAATTAATCGCAAAGATAAAGACATAAAAGATTGTCACCCAGGTTGCGGGCGAGAGGGAAGTCGACCAATATGACACTGTGACAGAAGCGGCCACAATCTCCAGTGGGAATACGACGAGCCATTGCAACGCATAGTTCCAGCCCATCGCGAAGCCCCATGCAGGGTCCAGGAAGCGGGTAGAGTATGCCGAGAAAGAGCCAGCGACAGGGAAGAGAACCGCCATCTCACCCAGTGCGTGGACGGTGGTATATATCATCACACCAACGAGCAGAAAAGCAATCAATACTGCAGCAGGGCCGCCGGTTGAAAGCGATTTACCTGATCCAACAAATAAACCGGTTCCTATATGAAGTAAGTATATATATATTTTTTCTTAAAATGACCTGCTAAGAGTACAAACCTATCGACCCTCCGATAGCGATCATTTGCAAGTGTCTGCCTTGTAATCTACGTTTCAAAGGCGAATTAGCCGTCGCTGCAGCTGCACCCGCAAGATCGAACTCCTTTCGATCTGCGAGCGGCGTCGACCTGGCGATGAGCTGTGCGTCAGGGTCGCGTTTGAAGCCATCTATAAACCACCGTGCAAAAGTAACAGGCGCACTCGGTCTCCGTCCTTCCTCATAGATGATGGGTGTTTCCGGGACGGGTCCATTGTTGTGACGAGCAAAGTGTGCTGGCGGCGGGTGGTAGTATGGGTATGAGTGAGAACGAGGCACTTCTATGTCAAATGTAGACTCAGGACGACGAGCGGCAGACACAGATGCGCTGCGAGTGCCAGGATCGCCTCGATCTTTATATGGCATTGTTGGAGTTGTGACGAACGAGGGCGAATTAGTTATGTATGGGCGACTCGAACTGATGATACCAAACCATCACAGCGACCTGTTCATGGTAGTAATAGAATCGATATAAAAGCCGCCAGCATAGAGGGAGTCCGCATGCGCCTGATATCAGAGGGCGTCCTCTTTTTTTTTCTGTCCCTTTGTGTATTTTGTTCTCAACGAAAGGAGGAGCAATCTAGCTTGAAACAACTCAAGAATGATCGCCAGGAAGAACCAGAAGAAAAAAAAAGAGGGACTGGGGGGCGAAGGGAGAGTCTTAAACTAATTCCTGGTAAATGAACCGACGGTTCGCTCTTCTCCCTCCCCCTCGGCGCCCAGTCGCAGGACCCCTAGGGCCGTAGGATATTGTTGACTAAAACTGAAGTGGACTGAAGCGCCAGGAGATAAATGTTTAGCGGGTCAACCGGGTAGGGGCAAGGAGGGACCCTGGTTTATTCGCTGGCAGTTCCGCCGATGAAAGCCTCGGTCGAGCCAAGCTGTACTACATAGTATGTAGACAAGATAACTAGACGGCGGCCTCCTTTATATATGAATATATATGACGAGGCCTGTCGCACTGCATTAGATCAACACGAGGCTAGGAGGACGAAGTGGCAGCCAGGGGTGAGCTCCAGGAAGGTTGGCTTGCGCAACTTGGTCTCCTTCGCGAGGTTCAACGGCGAGACCTTCGTATACTATGTAAGCTTAAAGGACAGCATGGATACAGCTTGAATGATGTTTGGACCGAGTTGAGACGGCTTTTTACATAGCATAGCCTTGTCTTTAGCGAAACCTGATGGCCATTCGTTGGCTCGGCTACCTTCTCAAGACTCGTTCTCGTATGTTTGCTGATATGAGGACGTCCATCTTCCTCAGCCAGTGGACGCTCTCACTCTCAAATCGGCGTATTAACCGGCATCCCATCGAGCTCGTATTCCTTTCTGCATGAGGTGGCTCTGGGTGGATACGACCCTTAACGGTATCTGCCGAAGCACTCAGTAGTTGTTCCCCAGTCGTTAGGAACGTCGTTTCTGGGCCTAGAGTGTCATATGACGGCCATCTATATACTATGTACTCTTTATCCTCCAGATGAAAGAGACGAAGCTGTGTTGAGAAGAGAAGCCTTGGTGGAGGAGACTAGATAAAAGCAAAGCTATCGATCAACCAGTGATCATCAGAGCTAGAAGACTGAGTTTTTGGCCATGACGTCTGGGGCTGGCTTCCGTATGCATATCTGGACTTTTATAGTCCATCATGTTGGATTCTCCTGCGTCTTGTTGAGGGAGACCTTGGTAGATTCACTCTATACCTCCTGCCTTCACCATATATCAACCCACTCCTCTTCTATGTCTATCACATACGAACATAGGAAGTGGAAAACAGAGCTTCCCGTCCGCTCAGCTGTACTTAAGCCACTTGCCGGTCGGTTAGTAGTTGGGTGGGTGACCACCAGCGAATCCCGACTTTCGTATGTTTTTATTTTTGCATGACTGAGTAGTCTTGCTATCCTCCATCTTTACTCCAACTTCTTCGAGTTGCTTACACGGGCCCGACGCCATCGTTGAACTTCTCCTCGCTCAATTGATGAAGGAAGAGGACTTCAGAGCAGTGGGATACCCGAGCGGTGCAGACGATATCATGGCGGTTGATACTGGAATGAAGGTCGAGCTCTGTCCCGTCAAGTGCTTCCCCTAGCCAACGCTCGACGGCCACAGACATAAACCGAAGGGAATCCCGTTTTGTGGCCTTGATGCACAGTGCCGTCAACCTGCATCGCTCCCAAGGATAAGGACATGTAATATTAACTAATAAAGGATAGGTTGCTGTCCCTTGGCTGCTGGACGAGCTCTCGTTGGACGGAGCCGCAGGAAAAGAAGTCTCTTTTTCTCGCGAATGTCGGGAAACCTGGCGTCGTGCTCTTCTGCCTCTGACCTGTCTCGTCTTCTTCTTCTCTCTTCAAATAAGCTGAGTCCACGTCGTCTTGTTTCCCTGATGTAGGAAGCAGAAGCAGAAGAAGAAGAAAAGATGTAAAAGGACATCGACGTCTTGGCGCTTTAGTTACAACAAAGAAGAGAGAGAAAAAAAACATCCCGCCCTTTTGCTTTTTTCCTTTCTTTTTCGTCTTCTTCTTTCTCCTTTTTTTTTTTTTTTTGGTTATAATTCGTTTTTGATGCTCTTCCATGCTTGGTTTCCCTCTTCCTACTTCATGCAAGAAGGACAAGTCTGCTGGTAAGCGATGGAGGTGACATGGGCGCCCTCAGACAGCCCCTCCTACAGGGCCTTCTTTGACGCTGCCCGGCACGGCACCGTCGAGCAGATGAGAGCGGCCCTGACCAGCGAGATCGATATCAATGCTCTGGAGGGCGATGGCTTCGAGGGCATGGCCGCGCTGCACCTCGCCTGCTTCCACAATGGCGACGTAGAGGTCGTCAGGTTCCTGCTCGACCACGGCGCAGAGGTCAACATCCTCGACCGGGACCGGGCTGGGAACTCCTATCCGCTGCACTGGGCGGCCAACAAGGACCGCGCAGACATCGTCAGGCTGCTGCTGGAGAGGGGCGCGGAGAAGAGCAGGAAGGGCTTCGACGGGAGGAACGCGCTGGGCATGGTTCTATACTACTCCCTTTCTCCGCGCAAGGTCCAGCCAAAGCAGATGGAGACGATACAGGTGCTTCTCGATCACGGCTTCAGTGTGGATGAGTCTGGCATGGTATGCTTAAACAATCATGCTACTCGCTCTCTTCTTCTCGCACTCACACACTCTCTCTTTCTCTCTCTCTTCACTCCCTTTTCACTCCCTTCTTTGCATATCTTCCCTAACGAGCCTTGAGAAAAGCTATTCGAGGCAGTCCTGTCACGCGACCAGTATCTCATCAAGTTCCTCCTCGACCACGGAGGCTCTATAAACCCGGCAAACCCCAAGGACCCCTCCCTTCTCGGACATGCTGCCGGATTCACGGACTACCAGACAGTCAAGTTTCTCCTCGACAATGGAGCGGTGCTGGATAACCCTGCAGACGGAAGCCCCAGCTCAGTCCTGGTGAGCGCGGCTTCGACAGGCAACCTGTCCGTCGTCAAGCTGCTGCTGGAGAGAGCGGACCCGGAGATCATCAGGAAATCCAGCAGGGCCATCAGTGCGGCCGCAGCGTCCGGACACCTCAAGGTCGTGGAGATGCTGCTGGCTTCCAACATGAGTATCGACGATAAAAGCACAGTCGGATACCAATCCCCGCTTCATGCGGCCTGCTTCACCAACGAACCCTCTCCGGAACTCGTTAAATTCCTGCTCAGTCAAGGTGCGGATGTAAACTCCCTCGACGACAGACTGAATACCCCATGTATGTATACTTGCCGTTTTCGCCATGAACCGGTCTTTTCTTTTTCCCTCTCACTTTGACATGAATTTCTCTCTCTCTTTTTTTTTTTTTTTTTTTTTTTTTTCTTTCTTTGGGGCGACGATGGTTGACAATCGGGGGACAGTGCATCTACATGTGTCCACATATCAACCGGATGAAAAAGTGGTCAGGCTCCTGCTAGACGCCGGAGCTGACCTGGGAGCTCGAAACACCAACGGCGAGACTCCCTTGCTAAGGGCAGTGTCCGCCCTACACTGTCACTACCAACCAGGAAACCCCCACGACAGCCGGGGAAGTGCATTCGTGGTTCTCCTCAGACGGCTCCTCAAGGCTGGATCCGATATTAGGGCCGTAGACCACCTCAACCAAACCGCTCTGCACATCTTGGCTGTAAACTCGCCCGCCTGCACACCTGGAGAGTGCCCTGAACGCGCCGCCCAGGTCCTTCTTGACATGGGCGTCGAAGTTGACGCGCTCGACATAAAAGGGCGCACCGCAATCGATATATTACAGGAAAAACACACCATAGAATCCCGGCTGATTCTCCACACCATCGAGAATTTTAAACTAAACATATCTACAAAATAAGTGTCCGGACGGAAGGAGTTTGAGTTACTATTGGGATATATTTGGTCTTTCTGTCTTTTCGTCTATCCTCTTTTCTTTGGTTGATATTCTTTTTTCCCCCTCCCCACGTTACGGGTTCGATCATGATTGGTTTGACGCACGTTGCATTGCTTTACAGTTACAGGCTTGGGTCCCAGCTGGACAGCCTCATCTTTATCTTTCCCCCCCTCGATGATGACATTTCTATGGCTCTTCTTCGATTCTATTCGATTCTATTTTAATGTAATACATTACGGGATGACTTTAGATTAAATTAACGAAGTTGATGGAAAAAAAAAGTGATTTCACTATCGGATCTTATTCGTCAAGGTACATGCATTTCTCATAAAACTTTCTCGTCTAGTGAGCTGCGCTGACTGGCCCTTCACCTCCAGGTATTAACTACCATGAATATTAGCTGGTGTGGGTTAAAATACTTGGAGTGCATATATCCTTACCATGCACACGTTATTTCCATTCAGTAGGATCTTGGATAGCTTCGTCTGGCCGCCAGAATAGTCACTGGAAGAGAAGTTAGACGAAACTATACGCTGGCCAAGAAGAGTCACACATACAATTCAGTCACGTCCTCCAGGACCATATCTATATCGACCGTTAGCCAATGCTCCTTTTCAAGAACGGTAAGGGGGGTACAATACATACTAACATAATCATCGAAGCCGAGCAAGGTCCCTGAGAATTCTAAACGGCACGTTAGCATCCATCGTTTAAAAGCATTTAAAAGACAGTATCGAGTGAGTGTACTGGAACATTATGGTGATATACGTGCCTTTATCGCCCTTCATGACAACCCATATTTTCGACCCCACGCACCTATCGATCAGCTCTATAGTAGTCCAACGTCGCATTATCAGTATTCCATCTAACAGGGGCAATGGACCGGGTATTCCCAACACACCGAGTGGGAGAAGCTGTGAGGCCATGATGGTATATGGGTATTTCGCTAAAGTGGCTGAAACTAGTATCTAATCAAGGAATATGCAGGATCCGGAGAACCTCGTCTGCTTGCTCTCTTGCCAAAAAGCCGAAGGTGTCTTTTGTCTATCACTTTATTTTATTTGCTTTCAACTTTCTTGATTGGAAGCAAAAAGAAACCAAATTAACATCACGTGATATTGCACAGGAAAAGGAGCTAGTCCTAAAGTGGCAGTACACTTTTCACGTGACACAACGGTCATCCCGTGACGTCGATCAATATACACGTGACTGTCACTTGGCCTTGGCGTTTGATGCGATACCCGGCGCTAATCTCGTCTGGCGCTTCAATCTCTTTTTAAGCCTTCGTTTGCGCTGATGCTGAGCTTGCTTTATCATCCGATATTTTACTCTACACTCCGTACTTGACTGTACAAGGAGACCTTAGCTAGCTGGCATCTCGCATAATTGTTTCATTGCTCCCTTGCCACGGGCAGAGTATGAACAGAGTACAGTTCCCATTTTTATCGCACATACTGCTACTCTTAAAATGATACCCAACGGCGTTTAAATAATGAACTGTGCATAAATTTGCGAGTACTATAATTCTATCAATGGCAATAAACGAGTTCCTTCCATTTATACCCAGATTCTCCCTCGGTGTCGCTAGATCAGTGTCCCATTTGGGATCGATCGTGGCGGGTTGACTGCCCTGTCAACGGTTGCTGACACTGCCTAAGTTTAACGGCGGTGGGAACACAGCATATTGACATACTTGGAAATTCCTCGTTAATCGCCACTTCGCTTTCCGTTTTCGCCTCAGGTCGACCCGTCGACCAGGGAATACAAGTACGACTCTTAACGTCGCGCTGCCCCGATAGTCAAGAAGAAGCAAAAGATATGGGGAAATCTGCAGAACTTGCTAGTACTATCCCCATGGCTGGTTAATGGCCATGGCGTCTTGCTACCAGCCGCTTGAGAACTTGACAGTGGCGACTGCCATGCTATGAAAAAAAAAAAAAAGAAACGTCGCGCGGAAGGGCTCGGAGAGAAAGGAGGCTGGGATAAGGTGGCTGGGAGACGTTTTGATATTGGACAATAATCGCGCAGGGTCAACCAAATACCAAATGGGCGAGGATAATGACGCTTTTAGTCGCCACTGACGTTCCAAGGGTCGGCCTAATATGTATATCTTCCCAGCCTCCCTAATAAATGAAAGGCAGTCTTACTAGACGTCACTTACGCTGCTTGGACCACAGACAGCAGCTTCCAGGTATACATGCAGGTTCATGTGTACCGCCACTTTCCAGCGTCTTACTGCTGTATTCTTGACTGTAGAACTTGCATTAGATCTTGAGATCTCATGCACCGCACACGATATGTGTTAGGTCGGAAAATTACCACAGGGTCAAGCAGAAGGATCAAACGCCAGCTTGCATGAACGCTGCTCCCGGAGCATGGCGGCTCTCATGTCTGGTTGCCTGCGTACCGTGGCTAGGATGTTGCCATACCAACGCTTGGGCGTGATTAGTTGATATCTTGTCGAGCAGGAGACCAACCGATACACTATATCTGACATATCTATAACTAATAACTAAGTGTAGCTATTCGCTGATAGCCAAGTGAGGTCATAGGAGTAGTTGAGAGACAGGCAGCTTGTTGTGTGTTGCTATACATAGTAGATGTAAAGCCGTAGGCTCGTATAACTACGTCGGCGTCATCGAAAAAAATCATAACTATTCATGGTCAAAGTATGGAACGTCGACTTCGCTCATCCACGTCTTCAACAACCACCACAGCGTCATCTCCCTTACTTCTCTCCTTTCCGCTTGCTTGCTGCCTTCACTAAACTCCATGATGAAATAGCTGGTGGGCGAAAAACCGTCAACCAGGGAATCGAAGCAGTTATTACGACAGAAACCACGAACTCCGACCCAGAAAAGACCGCCAGCTTCAAGCATATAATCCCCTTCCTCTTCCCTCTTCCTCCTCCTCCTCCTCTTCTTCCTTACCATCTTCCATCTTACCATCTTTCGCTACAGCTTCTACAGACTACAGCTTTTTTCACCCTTCGTTTTCAAAATCCGTCGTTCGCTCGCCTTTTCCAACGTTTGTTTCATATCCTCAAAGCTCTTACAAAAAAAATATCCACAACTCCAGTCCTTTTTCTCTTCGTTTTAAATAAATAATATTACATACGGCTGCTCAAAGAACACTCTCCTTTCCAGCTTCTAGGGCAGATGCTCTCTGCCTAGCCTAGGCTATCGCGTGCGGGTTGGTGATATTATAAGACCGCGTTCTGTTCTTTTTCTTTGCCTTCATCTCTCTTAAAGCCCCGCGCGCCTCTTCGTTTCGCATCTCCTTCAACATGGGCAATGTCAACAGCCGTCTGGAGGAGCCTGGTGTGCTTTACCTGAAGGATCAGACAAAGTGTGAGTGCTATTTTGCTTGTCCTTGTAGTTTGATGTCCTGATCGCTGACTGGGTTTGCCCTGCTGGATCACAGTGAGCATCTCCTCTCTTGTAATCACCAACCAGCGCGGCCTTGTCATCCTGAACATTGCTCCAAATGCCTTTCCTGCGTCGCGGATCACTGCCAGAAGAGATCCTGGTGACGATACGCCTATTGAATTCATCCAGGTAGGTCTTCTCTGGTTCCGGACTTAATACAGTGACCGGTGCTAAGCATATGATTTTATCTCTCTTATGTAGGACCCCGACTCAGTCGGCGGCAACCACCTGCCATCCTTCATCCTTCGTTTAACCAACGAAGACGACCTCTACTTCCGATTTACGTTTGTCATCCGACAGGCCCAACTGTCTCTCTTCCCGCCGGCGACGACCGTCAACGGCGTCTCAAGCTCGCTGCCCGAAGTCGCTGATACCGTTGTCAAGGGTCTCACTTTCGCCCATGCATCCAACGCAAAGGAGCTTGATAACCTTGTCACACGAGAGTTCCATGCAAATCCAAACCTCCAGAACAACGATAATGTCCAGCATGTTGGCACTTTCGAAACCGGAGGGACGCCTTCAGTCCAGTTCGACTGGTCGTGGAAATGGAAGCCACCGAAGAAATCCGAAGATAAATGCGGTGGATGGAGAAACTGCTGCAGCTTCCTGGACTACGACCAGAGAGCCAACAGACTCAACACGCTAGCCTCGTTTCAGTACTGGGTCCAGGGTCCAACGAGGCCTTCGACCAGTCCAAGCTTCCAGTCTTCTGGGTTTGAGTTGACCGTGCCACAGCGCAACCGACAAGTCTCGTCCCATTCAAACGTGTCCGGGATAAGTGATGGATCAAACGACAACCTACCCATTTCGCCCGTTGACACCGATAATCCATTCGCCTCAGCCACCAATGTCGCCTCGAGTACGGATGCGTCGGTCAAGGTGGATGTCACCTGTCGTCGCCCGGGAGAGGATATGAGCGCGGTTGACGATGGGCCATTGTTCCGAGCTACGATCAAGTCTTTTGAACAAAAGACTGGAACCATGCGTGAAAAGATGAAGAAACTTCTCAAGAAGGCCAAAGCTGCATACCATGCACAGATGGCGTGCAACGATTCCGTGGCTGCGTTTATAAAGACGCTCGATGAAACGGCCAAATCCAATCCAAACGCCATACGGCCCGCACTGGACCATTACTTTGAGAAAACCGCAAGAGATATTCTCAACTATGAACGGAACAATTGCGATGTCATGCATACGTTTATCGTCCAGCCTATATCAAGACTCTACCACCAGGACATCAAACAGGCCGAAATGAAGAAGAAGATTTTTGACGACGAGAGTAGAGATTACTATGCTTATGTCGGACGTTATCTTGGTCAACGACAAGATTCTCTGAAAGACAAGAAGAGAGCAGAGAGTGATTCCAAATACCAAGCCAAGAGAAGGAACTTTGAATTGAAAAGATTCGACTATTCCTCATTTATGCAGGATTTACACGGTGGAAAGAAAGAGCAGGAGTTGCTTTCTTACTTGACGAAATATGCTGCAGAGCAGGTACGGGGCTTCATGGCAGTCGCCAGAAGAATTGACAAAACGATGCCGCGGCTCGGCGCCCTCATGGATGAGGTCGCAGAAGCCGACAAGGAGTTCCAGTTCCAGCGTACGGAGCGTGAAGAGAAGCGCAGGGTTCTTGAGAACAGTACCAAAAAATACATCGAACCAGAGACAGCACAAAATCCACGGCCACCCACTCCGGGCGGTGCTGCTAATAATACCACATACTATACTTCTGATTCTGACCTTGGTCGAGCCGATAGCACCAGTTCGACAGTAAAGGGTTATACAGGTCGTACTTCGGGGCGGTCGTCTTCTCCCAATGGAGCAACGGTTCCTACCGGCTCTAACATTGGGTCACACTCTTCCACTCAAAACCGTTTCAAGGGTATTCGTGACTTGGAGGAACGCGATAGCACCAGTATGGCTGCAGCAGAACGAGCGAATGGTCAGCAGAGAAAAGAGGGTTTGCTCTGGGCCTTGTCACGCCCGGGATCTCATGATCCCAAGGGTATCAAACAGGCCTGGCACAAGTAGGTTACTCATTTTATTTACTCTCTCTGTAACTTCAAATTGCTAACATATTTATAACAGATTCTGGATTGTCCTTGACCAAGGAAAGCTTTCAGAGTATAGCAACTGGAAACAGAAATTAGACTTACACATGGATCCAATTGACTTGAGAATGGCTTCCGTACGCGAGGCACGCAACGCAGAGAGAAGATTCTGCTTCGAAGTCATCACTCCACAATACAAGCGCATATACCAAGCTACCTCCGAAGAAGACATGGCCAACTGGATTACCGCGATCAATAATGCATTACAAAGCGCGGTGGAAGGTCGCCTCAAGGCCTCCCCGGCTAAACCACCCTCAAAGCAGAACGACAAATCCTCTGGGCGGGACCTTGGGTCTGCATTGACAGGAAAAAGCTTATCGCAGTCAAACCAGCATGGCACTTCCACATCACCCAACACGGGGAACATGGGGAATATGGGACGGCGCACGACAGTTGGTGCACGACCTGGGTACATGAGAAGTGGCAGCCACGGCTACGACGATGATCCCGCCAAACTGTTACAAACCATCCACAATGCCGACCAAGGTAACACCTGGTGCGCAGACTGCTGTACAGCCTCAAAAGTCGAATGGGTGTCGATCAATCTTGGAATAGTCCTATGTATCGAATGCAGCGGCATCCATCGATCACTAGGCACACATATATCCAAGATCCGCTCTCTCACACTCGACATTCACTCCTTCTCCAACGACATCGTGGAAATCCTACTGCAGGTAGGAAATCGAGTTAGCAACATGGTCTGGGAAGCACAGCTTGCTCCAGGCATCAAGCCAGGTCCAAACGCGACTCGAGAGCAACGACTCAAATTCATTACCGCAAAGTATAGCGATCGCGCATACGTCCGACCTCTATCTCCCACCTTATCCAGATTTTCCTCTGCTGACGAGACACTACTTGCTTCAATAAAGCAGAACGACATTCAGGGGGTGTTGTATGGGATTGCCCTTCGGGCTAACCTCAACATCACCGATCGTTCTCGCGACACGCATGTAGTATTCCTGGCTCTCGCAGCAGCAGACCCAGCGCCTCCTGGATCCCCACCTCCGAGCCCCAATCTCGGCCGCCAAAGCATCATAAAGCCTTTTACCCCGACCCATTCCGCGAGTGTTAGCATAACCGCAACTCCATTCCCCATTGCCGAACTTCTGGTACAGAACGGCGCGGTTATACCATCCCAGATGCCTGCTTTCCCTCTCTCTGAGGCTGCACAGCTCTACCTCAACCAACGAACCGTTCGATCCTCGCGTCTTGTCGGTGGTGGTAGTGGCACGGGGGACACCCTTAGTGCCCTACCTACTATCCGCGGACATGAAGGTAACGGTTCGTCCTCACCAGCCGTGGACAACAAAGAAAGAGAGAGGCTGCATAAACGAGGAAGCGCCGGAGCGCGATTTGCAGGCAAAGTGTCTTCGTTCGCAGGATAATCACCAACCACTACACTACACCATACCACATCACCAATCAAAAACTCCTCCTCTGGACTGATGCCATACCCCATCCTCCGCCGCCCGAATTGCGCTACTGGTTCTCTTTATCTTTATCCCTTTACCAGTTCTGCCTGCCTGTACAAAGTATTCTTATCCTCCACACTCCCTTGTTACTCCCTTTGTTTGAGGGGTTTCAGATGCAGATGGCGAGTGAAGAGAAAAGGTTAAAAAGGAAAAAAAGAGCGCACTCATAGATATCCATATTCCCCATGCATTCCCCCAAGTGTGTACTGATGTATAACGTTTCTCTTTTGTCTTGTTTATGCTATGTTCTGCTTGAGATGCCCCCAAGGGCGCGTCCCCCCCCAGCGATTGATGGCAAACAAACTGCCTGTAGTTAGCTTACCTAATGACCTAATGATAGTCACATGCTTTTCTAATTCGTTTCAAGGATAAAAATTAGTCCGTTTCTCCGCGCCGTTAGTCAGCGACCCGCTGACTCATGAAAATCCGGGGTAAAATACCGCTAGTGGTGACTGAAAGAGGCTGTATCGGCCTGGGCCTCACCGGGTTGTTAGGCGTGTATCTTGTGTAAGGTATTGTAACTGTAATTATCATGTGATTTGGACACAAGGTCTCAACTTTGATTGGCCAGATAGTGGCGTGGTCTGTGTGGGGGTTACCTTACATAAGCGAACCTCACCTTCTTGTTTCGCTCTTCTTTATCTTGTCGACTTCGTCTTCTTCTTCTTCTTCTTCCCTACAACATCATCTCTCGTTATTCACAATGAAGACGTACTCGCCCTTCACCTAGGTCTTCAATTTCACCCGCATAGTTGTGTTATTCGGATCGGTCCCTGAGTAACCAAGGGATCAGGCATCTCTGCTCGCCACCCAAAGCTCTCCACAGGCTTGGAGCTCCTGCAAGGAAAAAGGACACTTCTGTTCCCCGCGTCGCTCCCTTTCGCCTCTCGTACTGGAGAGATATAATCGACTTGTTCTATCTCCTAGCTTGCCTGCTCACTATTTGACGACGACTTGTTATCTACCCCATACACTTCTCCTTATCTTCACTATTGAGACGACTAGTGCCTGTTTGAAGATCTGCAGATCCACGTCATCGTCGAACGATAGAACAGGCCATTTGATACAAGAGCCATCTTCGAGAACGCAAACCAGGAGTCCCTTTTCTGTTCTCTTTACTGAAGACCAACTTACTGCCCACAACGTTCAATTGCTGCTAGACGAACTCACCGTTTTTCAACGGCTGTTCAACCGTCTACGTACAACATTGCTCAACACTATTTAACGCCAGCCACAATGTCTAACGCCGCACACACCTCGAACTCGCCTCCCACCACTCCCGTTGGATCTCGAAGTCGCCGTGCTTCGATCGCTGAGATGTTCTCTCGGCCTGGGAATGCGGCACCCCCGCCATTGAATACTAGTACATCGAGTACCGCTCCTCTCTTCACAGCAGCATCGAATGCTCAGCAGCAGCCACATCGTCGACGGATGTCGATCACCACGCTTGGACTGTCTGGATCTCCCACTAACCAGCCTGCTCCGTTTGGACAGGCAGTGACGAATACGCCGACGGCAGCATCTGCTGGTGCTGCTGCACCTCCATCCGGCAGACGTCGACGGGGGAGTGTTTCTAGTTCGATTCTCTCTACTTCACCAACAGTGGAGCAAGCGGTCGTCGAAGAAGAGGACGAGGAAGACACACCGCCACCAACTTCTGCATCTCCGTTTGCGAGACGGGTATCCTTCAGCTTCAGGGATCGGGCCGCCAGTATAAATGGTATATATCAATCCCTTTCCATTCCGGACAAGCACTCAATTCCCTCATTTAAACAACTTATTACCCCAAGCACTTTTAGCAGGGGTGGTAGCCTTGGTAGGAAACTTTTCGTCACCTGAACCAGTGCCGTCTTCGATGTCACAGTCAGCGGCTAATCCGAAACATTTACCCCACATATCCTTATCCTACAACAGGACAATGCTAACAGAATCCTCTTCCCTCCCAAAACAGGTGAAGGCTTCAACTGGCCAGAAGCCCTTCGAACTAGAGCAGAGCGAGCTCCGTCCCTTGCCGGAAACTTCTCCATGCATCAGCAAGGGCAGGGGCAAGGACAGGGGCCACAGCACCAACACCAACAATCTGTCTCCAGCTCATCTGCCAACACCTCTCCATCTTCCTCTCCATCCCTCTCTTCATCTTTCTCATCAGCCTCGTTCCCAGGCAAACATCATCGATCAGCCTCTATTGCCACTATGGAAGCGTACAAGCCTCCGCCAAAGGAACTGCTGGAGCGTCACCCATCCTCTCCTCCTCCGCCATCGCAGCAGATGCCCCGGCAGCAGCCCAAGCCACGTCCGAAGCCAGATTATTTCCAGGAAAAGATCCTTCGGGCTGATTTCATGGATTGAGCATAACTGACTCATTCTCATTATATTTAGGTTCTTTTAACATATTTTCCTCTTTTACTTAGCCATCATTCACTCATATGGTAGCTTTTATTACCCTGTTATCTGGAACGATGGGAGTTTTGTTCGGCACGGAAGCAGTTTATTTATCAAAGTCAAACATCAACAATTAGGGAGGGTGGGATTATTCGAATATTGGTATAGGAGTGGGATTGACTCTTTCTCTATTTTCCTATTTTTCTCTTTATCTCTTTTTTGGCGTCCTTTCTTGCTATGCTGCATACTTACTACTTACCAACTCTACTGGCTGGAATATCATACAATGTAAAGCTATGATCATATCATCAAACTATCACTATCCCTTGGGCATATGTTTTCCCCATTACGTTGAAGCATGCACAAACTTTGAACCGATTTCTTCTCCTCCTGGGGTGAATATTCATTATTTAGCTAGCTATATCAACATGAACAAACCATGACCTGCACATCCTAGCTATATAAAAAAATCCTCCCAGACTCGAACCAACGCCAAAAAGCGAAGTCGGAGCTAGGCTCCATTTTTGATTACACAAGTGTAATCGTAAGCTTATTAGGTTATGGCCATGTCTTCGCTGGGGGGAAGAGAGAGAGAGTAGAGTAAAGGGGGCCCTGTATTATGTAATAACTACCCCGTACTTGCTAGAGAAGTTAACACCTTCATCAAACATTTAACGACATCCCACCGCTGGACGTCTGTGAAAGAGGTGATACCCCCATCGTCTTATCGAAGGGTCGTTGCTATCGCTATTCAAAGGCCTATATATCCCTATCACTAAGATATAAATACATCTTCGTGTCCTTATACATGGTCTACCCTCTTTCAACGCCTCTTTCTAATCCGAGCCTCTGTTTACGGGCAAGCTGAGTCCGCTTTTCCCAGAGCCACCAGCCACAAATCAAGACTACAGTGATTGGCACTGAAATTACCCATAGAACCCAAACCTTGGGGTTGACAAAAAGGGTTGTCCCTCCTTCCTTACCTCCTCCGGGTTGAGGAGACATCGACGGACCTGAAGACTCGAAGAATGGTGTACTAAAAACCGAAGCTACGGTCGAAATGGGAAGAAAAACCGTGGCAACAAGAGAAAGTGCCTTTAAGTTATAGCTGTCGCGTTGCGTAATGCGGCTGTTTCGCATAGCATCAATGTTGAAAGCCTATCGTTTTTCAACTCAGTGAGCAGCAGATCTAGAATGCAATTGGTTCACAGAGAGAAAGCATACAAGATTGATGATGTTAGTCAGTCTTTTTTCAACACTTATGGTCCGCAATTTGGTCGCTTGGAAAAGCTCCCGGCGGTGCAGCAGGGTGTTGTGCGTGGCTCTCCAGATAGTTGGGTATATATCAGATATTTCATGGTGATATATTATAGCCGCGTCTAGCGACCGAAGCGTCGCATCGAGGCCTTCTAGCATGAAAATAGCATTTTTGGCAACGGTATGTGCATGATGGAGATCAACGACTGGTGGGCCCGGGAAACTGGAGTTAAGGTTCCTTGTACCTTGAAATGCATCCTATTATCGCGTTAAAGCATTCATCAGTTTATGCCCTACCCTGCCTGGAGTGAAACGCGGACAAACCACGGTGTTAACCTCTAAAGGAGTGACTGGGCGTACCTTTTCAATTTCTCGACAAACATCGTTGGTCTTCCAAGCACTCTCATCTAGATAGAGGAACCAAGATTCATAAACCATATCTAGCAGTAGATACGGGTCTTGAAGGGTATCCTTCCAGTCGGCCGTCTCTGCGAGCTGGAGAAGTCGTCGCGCAATACCCTGCATGGGCTCAAAACATATCAGAGTAACGGGAGCTTTGTGGTATTTGTTGTTTGGTGTTCTACCATCGGCTACCGACCATTTTAAAACAACTGCGGACTGAAGCCACTCCGATTTTTCGGCGTCTGAAGACGAAGCCGTACAAAGGAAATGGATCCATACCGCTGGCGTAAAAAGCTTAGACGGTGCCTAGATACAGCCGCAATACTATCTATATAAGGAGATTTGACAAAGTGATATGACATATGATGTTGTACTCACTTTGCGATCCGTCTTTAGCTGAAGATGCACCAAAGGAATGCGTCACCGCATGCGCTCTCTCCAACACAAATCCGCTTGGAATCTGATACCGGTCTACCAGAGCTGGGTAATCAGGAATGGTATTGACACTATCAAAGGGCGCTAAGCTAGGAGCTTGGTAAATGCTTTTTATTCTGTTACACAGGCAGAGTATCTAGCAGACTGCTTAGGCTTGAGCCAGCCATGCATACAACTCACATCACTGTCAAGTCACAACCCGCAAGCGGAGGCAGATCCATCACAGTATGGACTGTTGAATACTCAAATTCCCGGCCTTTTGTCCTAAGTTAGCTAGCTCTCAATTGTGCTAGTTCTCATCCACGTAAGCTCTCCTAACTCACTTACCTTGATCCCACTTCAAGCAATGAAAGGTGGCGGTCTTCTCTCTACCAGTCCCACCCCAAATCGCTTCGTTCGCCTCCAACTTCTCGATATGCGTGGGGTTTTCTGCGAGAGTCGTCATGGTTGTAGTCTTTGCTTAATCTCCTTTACTTTCCTATGCTGGCCTCGCCTTTCTTTGTCAAATGTGGTAGTAGGCGATTCTGAATACCCAAGATCCAGCCTCTGTCTTAACTAGCAGAGAAAAGGCTTGCTGACCTAAACAGAGATACCGCAGCGAGAAAAGAGGAAAGTGGCCGAAGTTATTGGCAATGCTATGATCCATACATCATCACATTACATGATCTACATAGTAACTATGTATGTGATGGTTTTAGCACCAGCTAATTGGATAACTAGCAAAGACAGGGAGTAATTGGTTGCCTCGAGGCACTGGATGTTACGAGATGCATGTAAGACGGGTGGTATCAAGCAAAAGTCATTGGTGAAACACCAGCCATATAGTTGACAGCCCCCGGCATGTTTGGTTGCGAAAGACGCACAGCCTGGATACCAACTACATATGGTCCTACCCTAAGCCGCATTCGCTTTCACACCGATGGGGTGGCTGTGTTACAATGTCCTTATTTCCCTACACCTTCTTTACTTATCGTCAGGCATATTGAACTCATTCATGCAAGCCGACCATGCGACGCCTCAGGGCCAAGATATCTCGTATTTTCAATTTTGATTTGGATGCCTTGCATGTTGATGGCAATGCACGTTACAAGGTACGAACTAGATGCCTTGCATAACCCCTTTTTTACATTCGACAGCAAAGGAAGAAGCCTATATATTCTGTCCGTCTGGCTGCTTTCGAGCCGCCTAAAAATCCATTTTTTGCCCTCATCCTTAAGCGTTTCCGGAAGAACGACATCTACACATCCATACTTCCCATATGGTTGGTTTTTCTCTGCGGATATTGCCTTGTACAGACAATTTATTATAGAATAGGCCGAAAAGCCCCGTCACGGTGGTGGTTTTAACCCGAAAAAGGAGGACACGGAGAAAATCTTGGTAAAACCTCCCTAGAAACTCACTCAATTACTCAATTCATCGTCGCTGAAATGTTTTCAACACCCGACCAATGGGTTAGCTGACACTTTCATCCAGAAGGACATCTTTGGCGGCCTACCGAAACCGGGTAGCGGCCCTAGTGGTTCTGCTAGCAATAACACGGGAAGCGCCCAAGGAGGTAAGTCAATTTAATGCCTCCTTCTACATCAACATTCATCAACATTCATCAACTAACTATACATCGTAGGGAATAAGCTATCTTTTGGTGGATCATCTCGCGCTCATTCGGCGACGAACCATCGTTAGGGATTCTTATCTTCACAATAGCTGTTTCGAAATCTATAGTGCAACAAAGGATAATACCCATGATGGTGAAGCTCGAAACCGTTGAGGAGGGGCTTATTATCAATCCCGGCGGCGTGCAATCCGAAAGCCTCACAAGCAAGCAGTTTAATGATAGTCAAGGTTTCTAATTGACATTTCTACAGAGTAGCAGGACATGGGTCTAGAGATGGAGTGCGAGCCCTCATCTCTATTATCCGGCTGGCAAGACCTACAAGAAAAGGGATCGATGTTTTATAGCCGTCGATGGTCTAGGCTCCGTCATCGAAGGTTTACAGCCTTTCGAATGCATAATGAATCCCTCAACCGGGGAGTTGGAAAGGCTATGTATCCAGGCCCCTGACTCCATCTGTGAACTAAAGAACAGTACATGGGACCGAACATTGATTCGAAATGTTGCTTCTAAGTCACTTCTTGTAGCACTTCTCCCATTCAGCAGGATTCCCAGGGAGCGGAGGTCTAATCCAGCGAGGTATACACCTCAGGATTGGGCTTCTCTGCTGAGCCTGTGGATACTCGCCGTCGCTGGATTGCTGGGTGCCGTAAGTCATATCAAAAATGTATACTTGATCTCATGCTGAATATCACAGCTAGGCCTTCGTTCCTCAATCGTCTCCTTCGGATGGGAAACACCCCAGCTTTTATGCAAGCTGTAGCTATAATGGTTTTCGGTATCCTCGACTAGCCCGAAATTTTCTCGAAAATAAGCCATCAATTGCCCGGGAGCGGCGATACGACCCATCTTGGACACTATTTGAGCATGAGTGGCAATATGATGCTCCTTGGGGCTCTCGTTATCAGGGATCCTACCGAGCCTTACGGCCTCGAATGCTGTGCTACTTGGTTGATGACCTAGGTACTCCTGATTGCCGTTTCATAGAGCATGTGAGTCCCTTAGAGTGAAGACGCGGTAGTTACTGAAGGCTGCTTACTGTCTACCTAGGATGAGGACTGCCCGCCCTATGTCTTTATCGCCTATACGGCGGAACACTTCAAAACCGGGGACGAAGAAGCGGAGAAAGCCCTATATATGTTAGCTCGTTCGGCAACTCTCCAGTATATTGACTCCATCGCAGAAGCAGACAGAAAGCCAAAGGCGTTTTGGATTGCCCATATGTGCATGCCCAACCATTGTTACCTCGACTCCAATGGACAACCCCAGACTATCAACGGCGAAAACGGCGACGGAAAGAAGTTACAGGAGCATCTGATGGACTATGATGTAAGGCCAACTACGATGTAACGCCCTAAGTTTCGTTGCTTACACTTGGATATAGACGTATAGCATCAGTGATATTATCCGAGCTGCCGAACATGTAATTATCATAGGAGGCAACCCGACTCAGGAGACAGGAAATGATCCCCTGCGAGAATGGGGTGCGCGAGTATGGACACTCCCTGAAATTATCCTCAGCAAAGGGGATTCCGTCTCCGTAGCGCGCTTTAGTGGGAACTCGGACAGCATTCGAGATTTGGTAAACTTGGAAAGAATTCCGAAGAGCCAAATTCCTTCTCGTGCATGGAGTGACGCTCCATGTTCAAGGCAGCTCCTTGAACACTATTCCAGCCTGCATCTTTCTCGCCTGGAGTTGGTCAAGATTATATTAGAATGTCTGATGCATCGGAACTTCAAAGAAATGTACCCTGGTGATCGCAGCTATGCGATGATGGGTCTACTTCGGATTCGACCACCGATTAATCGGGAGGATACCCCGTTTCAGGCCTTCGCTAGGTAAGATCTTAACAGAGACATTTATTTTCTAGAGCCTGATCGCTGACAAAGACTTCAGGCTATCGCTTCCTCAGGATAGCGACCGCTTCATGGAGCGTCTGATCTGCCTTCTTCCAAACAAACCAGATGAAAGTTGGGAGTGGATGGCTGACCAGTACAGATCATCCCTGTGGGACATTTACCCAGACACGCAAATTTGCGGTATTGGTGAGAACGATACTGTTATTGTTGATAACTTCAAGGGAGCCACGATCCAATGGTCCGGTTTTACCTCTGTTCAAATATACCACAGATTAAGACTTAAGCGTCTATTCTTTAAGACCTTGACACTTATTGGCCCCTTTTTCTTCTTCATCTCTCTGCTGGTTATAGGCCTTGTTCCTAGGGTTGGTCCCGTGCTTCTGGTCCTGTCCCTTGTCTTCTTACAACTCCCATCGCCGTATTATACCTGGAAAGTCTATGGCGACAAAGTATGTAACGTTGAACCGTATCTCTTTGGGATTGAAGGCTATGTTCCTCTTGATTTAATCGAAAAGAAACTATTTGGAGGGCGCCCAACGCGACTGTCGTGGAGTGTCATCGGCTCACCGTTGTCCCGTCATCAGGAGGGTCTGGAATGCAGCGAGATACAATCTCATGTTCCTCATGGAGGCCAGGGGAAAGAATTCGAGAAGACAATCAACACGCATATGGTGGATGCTATTGACCCTTGCAGTCCCTGTGCCAACTGTCAGAGCATTCCAGAACCAGAGCGAATGTGTCCTCACCATGAAACACCGAGGTCCGCAAAGGAGCATAGCAAAAGCGACATGGGTCAAATGAAGGCAAGTCTTCCTCTCCTATACATCATTAACACATTGTTGTCCCCAATTAGTTCCGCACATCATCGTTGAGACTACTAACGTGTACTTTATAGATCTTCACATTGGTCGACACTCTGTCAATGACAGTCACACTATTTAAAGCAGTCCATCCTCCAACTGTCCTTCTAGTTGGAGGCTCTGAGGGAGGTATGAAGCGTGTAATTGCTTGCTCCTATGATGTAACAACAGATACTCTTTATCGCGAGACTGTTCTCCGGATGCCATCACTGTGTGCATCTAGAATGCATAATTTACCCCGGATACGCCTTGGTCTGAAAAGGCCAGGAGAGAGGATATTGTAACAACACCCCAAGCTATTTAGTTGGGTGGGTATTTGATAACTAATATCTATACAGGCGTGAAAGCATGGGCTAGGGCACTATACAGGTTTCTTGCGATACTGTGGCATTACCACTATCACTTTTGCTAGGATAGAAGTACGCTTACAACTTATTACTTCTAAATTTGATTGCATTTTACTTTACGGTCACTTCTACGGTTCAGTCAACCCGGCCCACGTATTTTCGGATGTTTTATTTATTATAATGCTAATTATATGAAAAAAGGCTTCTCGACAATCTCCGTATTATACTGGCATGATATGGTAACAGGCATCCTACTCAGGGCGATTAAAATAAAATGCTGTTTCGAACCCGGGACCAAAAAACGAAGCCGGAGCTAGGCCCCTAGTTCTTAATTACACATGTGTAATCCCTTCGTGGACAGATAAGTTACAGCCTTTCTTCGCTGGAAAAGAAGAGAGAGTCCAAAAGGGGACTCCGTATTAGTTATGGAATAACTAGTTACTCGCTGCGTAGTAAGAGGGAGCAGGTCGGGATGATCGCAATAGTAATAAAGGGCAGAGGGAAACATGATGTTTCGAACCCGGGGCAAAAAGCGAAGCCGGAGCTAGGCTCCGAGTATAACTAGAGTACCAAACGAGTTGGTGGCTCAGTGGAATGTCGCTAATGCAACTACGTTATATGGTGGCCACTTCGCTGCGGGACTCCAGCATTACGTCGTACATAAGGGGCTGCCAAAATTCCATCTGACCGAAGACTGGCTGCAGCTAAGCGAGGAGTATTAGACGCGGATCTATGTTTATCCTGCTGGTAGTGTAAATGGCAAAGGCTATGAATCTTATTAAATAGTCTATAAAATGCAAAGATGATCTTTCGAGTTCGAGTTGCTCTCCTTCAGTAGCAGAAACTTAGGGCAATCAAACACAATAATGAAAAAAAAAAAGAAAGATACCTTATACAAGGCTGTGGGTAATCAGTAAGGGATATTGTTGGTCAATAGCTGGAATTGGTCGTAGCCCTTGGTTGACATGCTGGCATAGCTCTTGCGAATGAGTTCTCTCATATACTGGGCTGCTTCTTGTTCACTCTTCTCCAAGACGAACCGGTCACGGAAATTGGTCAGTGTATGGGGTGTGAAGCAAGGCAGGCCGCTGTCCAGCATGAGAGTGACTATGTGCGAAAGTTTCGTGGTATATGGCCTTGAGGCGAGGAAGGCTTTTACCACAAGAGATTCGAACCAGCGGTACGATTGGGAGCTGGCGTTGTGCGATGCTGTGTGGGCGCTGGATGGGGTAGCAGTAGAACCCGAGGCTGAGGCCGCGGTCGATGAAGGTGGGTTATACCCACCCATGACAGCAATCATCTCCGTGGTCAATTTGAACGGAGCACGTTCAAACCGTACTCCACCCGGTGCAATATCGAAACAGAATCCGAAGTCGATATGGAGTATATGGCCTGCATCATCGATCATGATGTTTCCGTTGTGTCGATCCTTGAACTGAAGCAGGTATGAAATGACTGAATAGGCAGCCATACTTTTGACAAAGTTGCTTCGGGCTTCTTGGAATTTTATCGACTGCTCCCCTCCGTACTTCGATACGAAGTAGTCGTATAGCCCGTTGACTGCCTCACGTCCGAGCATGTCTCGAGATATCGAGTTGGGTAAGACGTCGATTACACCACAGCCAGGGGCGGTGGCCACGACTCGGTACGGGAAGACATAGACGTCCAATCCAACGCTAGCGAAGATTTCACGGAATGCAGCGATCATTTGAATCGCAAGAACGTCTTGACGGCAATCATCTCCAACTTTAAAGATGGCAGACTGCCATACCTCATACGTTGCTGATTGTGAGGCTAGGCTCTCACGCTTGGTTTGTACGGCTGACTCTTTAACTTCTGACAACTGCAAAGCCGCTTCTTCCTGGCTAATTTCTTCAGCAGGAGTGACGGCATTGCTACCGTCTTCAAGGTTCCTTGTCTTTTTGATTCGGAATGTCGCCATGTAAGGTGCCTTGGCATGACTCTGTAAAGGCTTTCCCGACTTTCGATCAATCCCGACCACCACGCCATCGGGGTTACTTGGAAGGTACACGCCAACTTCAACTTTAACTTTCCGCAGTTCCTCCGTAATCTTCTCTTTTTTCTCTTGTTTTGTACGTTTGATGTACGGTCGTAGCTTTCCCGAAATGCCAGTGATCTCATTGAAGAACGCGAATTCCCTCTCGTAAAATTCTCGATCTTCATCGGTGAAACTTGCAATAACAGACTCCATGAATCTATCCAGCACAGGTTTGAGCGGATCCGGCTGTTCCATTGTTAGCTTAGCTTTCAGGGAAAATATATAGTGGGATTGAGGGGAAGGGCTTACAATCTGCGAGTCTTCATCCTTGTAAGCATTTGCTTTCATATTCCAAATGACCTGATGAGCAAACATCTGTGACAGTTGGGCAGTATTCAAAAGATAGCGCTCGATGTATCCTAGTGCATCATATCGTAAAGCCTGCACAAGTTGCGGAACATAGAAAAGACCAACATCGACAGGGAAGCTTTCGAGAGACCGCATGGCGTACTGCAAGATAAATGGATGGTTGCCATATGCCGGTAAGAGGTAAGTGACAGCAGAAATTGGATCGATCGGCTCCCAGTAAAGGAGGTACTACAATTGTATATCGTCAGGAATATATGTATATACGCCAAGATAAAGATGTAAAACTTACCTTGAGTTGGAATGAAACGTCTTCGGGGAGCGATGGCCCCAGTAGGATTTCCAATGCATTTGGCTCCTTGAGTGCCTTTTCAGGGAAGTTAAGCAGAAGCCATCTGATTTCATTGCTTAACTTAGCGGAGGGAAATCGAGACCCCAACTGGAATGCTAAACTTGGGTTTTCGTTCCATGCCGGCCGAAGAAGCCCTGTGACGGTCTCCTAAAATAAAAAGTCAGTGATCCCTTTATGCAAAGCAGCAAACCAGGTAACCAACCTCAGTGACAGATTTATTAGCAGTCCCATAGAAAAAGGATGACTTTCTCTCATGATCTAGGGGAGAAAGCCAGACTTTGAGGCGAGATCGTTCATTTCCGATTAGAATCAGCAGCAAATCATGCTTCGTTTGTAGTGATTTACGAGATTTCGAATCCACTACCTCCTTCCAAGATACAGTCTCTAGCATAGACTCAATATCATGGAGGACCTGGTCTTCTGCTTTTAATTGTAAGCGATTTCCACCAAATGACCATCTAAAGTGACTCCTGATTAGCAAAGACCCTAAGGTAGAGTATGAAATGAAAAAACTTGCCTTGGTGAATGGCTAAACCAACTCAACCCAGCCGAAAGTATTTGATCTTTGAGTTTCCATGATCCAACATTACTCTGGCCAGAGCAGGAATGGAGTACCTTTAGGCTGAACAGTACGACGTGGAAATGGATCTCACGAGCCAGTGGATGGGCCGTTGAATCCCTCATCGCAATCAATGTTTCACTGACCAAACGTCTGAATACCTGCTGGATATGTAAATTGCCTAGCCTGCTCGCGTTGAAATGGCTTTCTAGAAATTGTAAAATGAGCAAATGAGGAGATATAACATTCTGAGCTTTCCTGTGACGCCTGACAATTGCCTCCTTATCAGAGGGTAACGATTCAAGCTTTGTCATGAAAGGGTTTTTATGTCTAGAAATAGGCTGTTAGTTATGTCTTCATGACAAAAAAGGAGGGTATATTACTTGAAGTTTGGATCAAAGATCCCCTGTTTACGCCGGATGGTGCGTTCCCATGCCTGCGCTACTTCTACCAAAATCCTTGATTCCATGGCCGGTTTCTCGTTGATCACTCCGAGCCACAGAGCAATGCCCATCCTAATGGACTCCTTGGTGAATATCTGGAAGGGTATGTTGACGAGGTGAGCAATAATCGCTGGGTGACTCTCGTCGGTATTACATAGGAGAGCGGCAGTGCGCCGGAGAATGTGACGAGGCAGATCCAATGAGATGTGTTTCTCTGTTCTAATCTGAATCTCCAGGGCCGCGAGGGCTTCTTGCACAGTCTCGGGATAGTCAGTTGTCCGGGCAGTGGTGCTTTGACCTATCGTAAACGTTAGAGCCTTGACGCTCTGCCATATGGAATACAATGTGGTCTCACCGTAAGTTATTGCTAGAGGCTGCTTCCCTCTACGCGCTGGGGCTGCTTCGGAATAGCGATATTCTTGTCGCGTCGTGTACTGGGATATGAAGTCGGAAGCAACATTTAGGACCATGCCACCAGGGTTATCGATTGATCCTACAGGTCGTTAATATAATCAAGGATGATAACATGTATCAAGATACAGAAATATACCTACCCAGTCGTTGGTCAGCGAGGGGGATGGCTGAGCCCATCTCAAGTGCTAATGAACGGCCCATTGTTATGTGGCCGTATACACCATCGTCGTCATAATCAGAAAGGTACGTCTAGATAAGCGATTACATATTAGCTGTGATTCGTATATAACCTTTGTGCATTATGAATTACCTGAAGTAGGCCCTTGATGTCCAATGGTGCCATGTTCATAACACTCGAGATCCAGGTACGAGCCGAATCATGAACATTTTTCAAAGTACGTCTCCTGAAATCGTAGTTGTCTGATAAAACTATCTGGACAGTCCGTCTGCTTGATGTGAAGGTAGACTTCCAAGCAAATTCATCCATTTCCTCATCCATGCACGACGACCAAAGCAAGGTAATCAGGTCCAACAGGGTAAAGAGAGATAGCTTCTGGCATAAGGCTGATGGACATTGTATGATTATTTTATTTGCGGCCAGCGTAGCAGTTTGCTGGACTTGGGCAATGCGATGGCAACAGGCAATAAAAGTGTCAGCCAACTGCTTGGCGATATAAGGAGCAGAAAATTTAACTGCTGTACTTCTTAGGGCTTTCTCCAGATAGACGGTAACAACCTTATCGGCAATTGCTCTCATGCAATTGCCCATTTCTGACGTGTTCAGGGTAGGGTCGAGGAAGTAGGTAAACACTTTTGTGCAATCACCAGAATTGGCACGCAGCGTTTCTATAAGAAGCGCAGCGTTTAGAAAGAGTGCCTTGGGATAATTCAAGCGTCGGATATCATATTCTTGAGCTGGTAGCTCGGCAGTGAGATTTTTCTTCTTGTCAATAGTGGTGTGAGGGCTCTGGCCACGCCTTAGAATTGTGTTCAGCTCTATATCACTTTCTAGCAACTCGGCACGATTTTCAGAGACAAGAGGAGGTGAATGTTCAGCTAAAATCCGGAGTTGTTCATAGTGCTCCTTTCCGAGGTCTGAGCGAAGGGAGATATCGTGGGCTGCAATGTTGAACCAAGCATCCCGGAGCATATCTGTGATATCATCAGTATCACATACTCCAGCAGGCAATTGTTCTAGGCTGCCTGCTCTAGCAAGGATGATTGCAAGCGGCTTGAGTATAGGAACAATCTGCCTAGCTGTTGACTCGATATCATCTGGGTGAACTTTTTCACGCTCAACGGCAGTTCCCTGGTTAACTAAACTCTCAAGGAGGTATACCAAGTAGATCTTGAACATTTCACTGCTTGGGTCAAGGTGAGCAGCAAGATGGTTTCTTGCTTTGTGTATCTATTCGTTGCTATGTTAGAGAGAGCGGTAGAATGGTAGACGTAATCTATAGACTTACCGCCTCAAGCATCAAGTTATTGCCCTGGGCAAAAGTATCTCTCAACAGGCGAGAATAGAACTTCAACAGGAGGCGAAACTCCGCGGGTTCACTCTTTTGAGACAGTGCTGCGGTCTCTTGGATGATGTATGCATCAACTACGACGTTTACTTTACCAATCTTTTGCACCAGCATAGACTGTGCAAGGGCGACTATCTTGCTATCCTCACTATTAGTGGCAATTGTTACGATTGCGTGTACCACATTTCTAGCTGTAATAGAGGAGTCGCCTTCTCCGTCAATAGCAAGCGATAGGAAGCTCTCATTTGTCGGATGGGGCCGTGGCTCAATGGACTGAGGATAGGTAGTGCCTGAATCCGCGGTAAGGGTAGTGGCAGTCTTATCTACTGTGGGGCCAGAGCTAAGGACGTTTCCAAGGGAATACAAAGTGCCTATGACGGTATCATGAGAAAGAAGGCGGAGATTCTGGGCTAGGCATTGGGCAGCCAGTGCAACCACTGGGCTACTTTGGCCATTTTGCACAATGAATCGAAGAAGGGAACGAGTCAGGCCGGCTGCACTGCCCCGGGAGAGCCTTGCTAGAATCACAGCAGCCTTGAGAACGACTGTTGCAAGCTCCCTGTTCACCATCTGGTCCGCATCCGTGATGGTGCTCTCCAGGGATGTGAAAAGCAAATCCAGATCCACAGAATCCTGGTCGACCATGATGCAGTTGATAGAGCACATTATTGACAGCGTTTTTACTAAGAAGGCAAGGCGTTGTTGCCAGGTGGAGCTAACTTGCAAATAATCCGACCCTTCTTCGAGGAGGTTGATCTGGTCACCTGCAATTTCTGCGGCGTATCTCACCAGGCTGGTCATACCTCGGTCAGAGGTTTTGACAGCATAGCCACCGTCCGCATAACGAGATAAAAGAGTATCATCTGATAGTTGCGTTCCATCCCGTTCGACAGGAGATGTGCAGGATTTTAGAAAGGCCATGAACGCCTGTTGCAGCAGCATCGAGCCAAGGGGACGGCCGTCAGCCGCATACTGGCGGGTGTATCGTCTCCAGTCATGTAGCAAAGGGTCCGGCGAGCGAGAATTCCGTATGCCAGAAGATATTGTCTCTACCGCAACCAGAAACCGCTCTGAGAGAATGATGTGTAACTGCTTTACAATAGCAAGGCGGTCCAACGGTGCCCAAAAATGAGGGAATTCGGAAGAGGCCCGAAGAAAGCCTACGAGGGAGACCATGAGAGCAGCCAGATCCGTGGATTCATGGCTGTTGACATGCATCCCTGTCCCTTCTGCATCAATGACGGCCGGCAGCCGCTCTGTTGCCTGATGACAGTTCTCCAGATACGCATCGATAGCCTCATAAACGTCATTCTGCAGCGACTTGTGCCTAGATCCGAGAGAAAGCAAGGCGGCAACGACATCATGGGTTAGGGTTTCCCATGGAGAAGGCCTGTATGTGTGTAGGAAAGGAGAAGAATGGACCCGTAGTGTATAGATGGTTGGTAGACGGCTGACAAGCAGTGAGACAAGCTTTGCCGCATGGTCTGCACGCTGGACGGAACCTGCTGCTTTGCACAGAGCAAGCAGAACGTCTAGTTCTCGAATCCCCTAGCTCCATTCTTAGCCGTCTGTTCATGTAGGGGGAGGGTGGGAAGGAGGCTGTACACTTGGGGCACAGCGAGCCTGCGAGCCACCGGAGGGTGCCTTGGGGCCACAACAGGCCCTTATGAGCCTCTCTACATCCGAGTTCCCAAGATCATCGTCTGGTCTGGGGTGTCTTGTGGCTAATATCGCAAGCTTCTCGAGTGCGGCACGGCGGATATACGACGGTGAGTGATGCCTGAAGCTCCCACGGTTAGCCACATCCACGCCCAACAGGAGACAGGACACTTACATATCCGGTTCAACCAAGCCTCGTCGTCCGGGGGTCTCCTTGCCCTTTTCTTTTTGACACTCAAGGGGGGCTGAAGCGTGAGTGTGCGGGTTGCTTGTATCTTCTCTACATCTTTTGCTCCCTTGAAAGCCGCTGAGATGGACGCCAAGCCGAGGCTTGCATGACTTTATTACATCAGACACAAAACGACTGGACGTCAACATCGCAAAAGCAGATGCAAGAGACGCAGGAAAAAAAATACTTGATACATGAATATGCATACAAGGATCGTAAGATCATGTTTAAGCCACACTCTCTTCTTCTCTGGGGGAGGGAAACTACTCTACGGTGAGGCGAGAGACGGCGCGTCCCTCAGGCTCATATTCCAGCTCTCTGGATGCATGAAACGACTGCATGCAAGCCAGTGGTGAAAACAACAGAAGCCAGAAAACAGCCTTGATCATGTACTTTTTCTATTGATAATACAAGTGTAGGGAAAATAACAAGAAAACAAAATAAGAAAAATAAAAGCAGCGGGAATGCGGCTCTAATGGCGGCCAACCTTATAAAGAGAACGACTTCGCATCCTCGAAGTTCACCAAAAGTTCAAAAAGTTCAAGCTAGAGAATTTCACCCCCAAGCCTGCCATTGACCATAAGTGCCGTATTTCGCCCGATCTAGGGCTTGCTGCAGCTTGGTCTAAGGTTGTCTGGGCCATATTCAAAGAAGTCGAAAGATACTTACAGCGGCATTCTCACCGTACATGGTACATAGCCGCTCTCGCCTCGACTGCTTCCATCAGCCTTTACGGCGCCCATCTTGACCTTTACAGCGTCGCAGAGTGTATGCTGTCTTTTTATCGGCAGTGCGCTTTGGATTTGGATATCTGTGAAGCAATTGGCGGGCTGCTCTGTGGTATCCTTAACTACCCCGTCGACATCAACTATATAGGGACCAAACATGCCTCCACAGAGGGAGAAGAGCCACCTAAAGCGAGAAAGGGTGAGTTATTCTTGAGCTTCAGCGTTCCGTTCATCCTTTGAGAGCTCGGCCTTTGCTAACTACTTCATTTTCACTAGGGCAATGCGGACCTTGCGCCTGACTCGAAGAAACCACGGAGGTCACCTCGAATCGCATCCCAATTGCAGTCAGATGTTGGATATCTACCTTCTCCCCTAGGGATAGAAGTGGTTCCGGAAAACAGGGGTAAGGATGTTACTGTTTCTCCTCCAGAGGAAGGTCGCAGTCAGATGCCCCGAGGTCAATCTCCAGAGGAATCCTGCCCTACCCAAGGTTTCTCCCAATACCCTCCCGTACAGTCCATAGACGATGTTGAAGACGAGGTCGCCCAGGGCATCTGGGGCTATCTCACTCCGCTGGATAACAATTTTGGAGGCCAATTGGTCCTGAAGAAGCGGGACAGCACTACAACTACCCCCGTAGTTGGGACGGTATCGACACCAGGAAGCACAAAATCAAAACGAGGAACAAGAGAAATCAACCGTGCTGGATACCTGATAGGCCGGCACCACGAGTGTGGTGAGCGCTAACCTTTCAAACTCCCAGGCAGCCGACCCAAGCTAATCACCTTCTACTGTAGACTTCAGGCTTAAAATTGCCACGATATCCAACCGCCATTGTCTAATATTCAACGAAAATAGGGGAGGAGACTCCGTTGCAATCGTAGAAGATCTCTCCAGCAATGGCACATTCATCAACGATGCCATCATTGGCAGAAATAAGCGCAGAGAGCTCGAGAATGGTGACGAGATCACCATCTTAGACGAATCCAGATTTATCTTCAACTACCCACGGAGCCGTAACACAAACAAGTTCCGCCAACAGTATAACGTCTTTGATCTGCTGGGCAAAGGGCATTTTGCATCCGTCTATCTATGCGCTGAACGCTCTACCGGGATGCAATTTGCTGTCAAGCATTTTGAGAAGCGCCCGAACGCTGTTCAAAAGCTAGATCGTGAAGCACTCCAGCAAGAGATTTCCATGTTGATGAGTGTCAATCATCCAAATATGCTGTGCCTCAAGGCTACCTTTGACGAGAGCGATGGCGTCTATTTGGTTCTTGAGCTTGCACCTGAAGGTGAACTGTTTAACTGGATCATTAGGCACCAGAAACTTACCAATGACGAGACACGGAAGGTATTCACGCAGCTTTTCCAAGGCTTGATGTATCTGGTATGTTCTCCTGGACTGGTGATAATGGTGATATTATATACAGCTAACTGTGACCACAGCATGAGCGAAATATCATCCATCGAGACATAAAGCCAGAAAACATTCTTGTTGTTGACAAAGATCTCACCGTGAAATTAGCCGATTTTGGCCTTGCAAAGATTGTCGGTGAACACTCCTTCACCACCACGCTGTAAGCCCTCCTAGCCTCCTGACTGTTTAATTGTGTCACCTGTTGCTAACAGCCCACTCTAGATGCGGAACACCTGGTTGTAAGTATTACCGTTGCTAATACGTCGTTATACCGTATATTGCAGTTTGTCTAATGATTAGTGTCAGACGTTGCCCCAGAGATATTGGAAGAATTCCCTAACAAACGCATGTACACCCGAGCCGTTGATATGTGGTCACTCGGAGTCGTACTCTACATCTGTCTCTGCGGTTTCCCTCCATTCTCGGATGAATTGTACGACCCAACACACTTCCCATATACCCAGAGAGATCAGATCAGGCAGGGACTCTACACTTATCCTACCCCCTACTGGCAGTCAGTTGATCGCCTAGCCGTCCATCTTATAGAGCGATTGCTTGTCGTCGACCCGACAAGGCGTGTTAAAGTTGAATATTGTGTCCAGCATCCCTGGATTACAGGCATCATGCCGGGCGCAACGGACAGCACAGACGGCTTAGTGGGGGCTATAGGCGATCTCGAGGTCTCGGAGGAGCGTCGTCCAACTATAACACGCACATATCTGAGTGATATGCACGAAACCACGATCAAGCAGGTGGTAACGAAGAAGCGTGACGACCCTGGCTCCCAAAAAGTAACTATATACCAGACTGTGAGCAAGGTTCCAGAGCCCAAGCCGGCTGCAAACCGGAACTCGAGGGAGTTCATGGAACTTGGTGGGAAGGGAGATCAGCTATTATTCGATGATCAGTCTGATGACGGCTCGTTGGAACTTGAAGGTGAAGCGCGTAAGCCGCTCTTCAACAAGGACGATGCCGATGAGACTCCTCGGGGAAGAAAGAAGTAGCAGGAGCAAGCCATATAAGGAGGAACAGACGTTTTGGCATGCTATATATATATATATATATATATTTCGGGCATTGGAGTTTTCTTTTCCCATTTTCTTTTGTTTCTTGTTCTTTTCCTTGGTTTATACCCCCGGTGGCGAGTGAAAGGGGTCAACTAATCGAAAGCTAGTTCAGCGAATTCCGTCCGGAAAGGTGTCTTGGGGATGCCGGGGAGTCTCTGCTTGGATTTTTCATTCATCTGTGATGTATTTAGGAGTACGATAGCGTCCACTCAGCAATGTATTTACTTGTTCCATCCGTGGCATGATATAACTTGCACAGCCACCAACCAACCATCCACCATCTACCAATTACTAAGCCGGCCTCCATTAAGCCGTGATGGCCTGATGCGCCCATCGTCAAGCTGCTCCAAAGGGCAAGGAAAAAGCTATGGAAATGTCTACATCAGGACCTCGTCGCCTTCCTAGAGAAACAAACCAGGCCTGAAAAGATGTTTTTGCCATATGAAAAGGGGGTCGCTGTAATTTTTGTATTGAAGATACGGCTGTAAACCAATAAAACCCAAGTAATTGTCAGGAACAATACGCTCTCTTACAATACCATACGCCCCCTTGCATATAATTCAAAAAAAGAAAAATTATATCTTAAATAAATGCGACTTCGACTTCAACTTTTCTTGCAATCCAAGAAGAGAGAAGAAGTGGAAGAGGAAAAGGAAGAAGAAAACACTTCACAGTCAATATGGGGCTGCTAGCTGATATTGTCTCTCGTTTCTGCGAGAATTGCTCTACCCTGTCCACCACCGCGCTCATTTCCAGCGGCATATCAGCTTTTATCGTCCTCTCCATCATCATCAACGTCCTCCTACAGCTTCTGTTTAAAGACCCAACAAAGCCTCCTGTGGTTTTCCACTGGGTCCCTATCATCGGAAGCACCATCTCCTATGGGATTGACCCCTATAAGTTCTTTGACGACTGCAAGGCGAAGGTTAGTTGTTGCCCATGGAGCTGTTTGAATGGCATGGTATAGCTAACATATATCTTTAGTATGGAGATATCTTCACATTCATACTCCTGGGAAAGAAGACCACCGTCTTTTTGGGTACAAAGGGCAATGATTTTATCTTAAACGGGAAGCTCAAGGACGTTTGCGCCGAGGAGGTCTATTCGCCTCTCACCACTCCAGTGTTCGGACGACACGTCGTTTATGACTGTCCCAACTCCAAGCTTATGGAGCAGAAGAAGGTGTGTACAGTCGTTTATTTCAGTCTTGGTCCTTGTAGGTGATTCTTCCGCTAACTCCGGCTCTCCATCAGTTTGTCAAGTTTGGCCTCACCTCCGAAGCACTTCGATCTTACGTCACCCTGATCACGAAAGAAGTCGAACAGTTCTTCGAAACATCCCCGATTTTCAAGGGCGACGCTGGAGTTTTCAATGTCAGCAAGGTCATGGCTGAAATCACTATCTATACGGCCTCTCGGTCTCTACAAGGCAAGGAGGTGCGCGAAAAATTTGACTCCAGTTTCGCGGAACTCTACTCTGATCTTGACATGGGATTTGCTGCCATCAACTTCATGTTCCCATGGGCTCCCTTCCCTCATAACCGCAAGCGTGACCGTGCTCAAAGGAAGATGGCTCAAATCTACACCGATATCATTCGTCAAAGGCGAGAGTCCGGTGGAAAGAAGGACTCTGAAGATATGGTGTGGAACTTAATGTCGTCTGTATACAAGGATGGAACTCCAATTCCCGATATCGAGGTTGCCCACATGATGATTGCTCTATTGATGGCCGGCCAACATTCCTCCTCTTCCACCGGATCCTGGATCGTCCTCCGCCTTGCCAGCCGCCCCGACATCATTGAGGAGCTCTACCAGGAACAGCTCCGTGTTCTAGGCAAGGATCTTCCACCGCTCACCTACGAATCTCTACAGAAGCTCGACCTTCACAACAACGTTATCAAGGAGACTCTCCGCCTTCACGCTCCAATTCACTCGATTCTCCGTGCAGTAAAGTCACCCATGCCTGTCGAAGGAACCAGCTATATCGTCCCAACCTCTCACAATCTCCTTGCCGCTCCTGGTGTTCCGTCACGCGACCCCCAGTACTTCCCTGACCCATTGGTCTGGAACCCACGCCGATGGGAAAACAACGCTGGCGTCACCGTAGTGGAGAGCAGCGAAGAAAAGACAGATTACGGATACGGTTTGGTTAGCAAGGGTGCCAACAGTCCTTACCTCCCATTCGGTTCCGGCAGGCATAGATGTATCGGTGAACAGTTCGCATATGTACAGCTCGGAACAGTAACAGCTTCTCTAGTGAGATTACTCAAGTGGAAGCAAGTTGAAGGCACCAAGCCCGAAGTGCCACCTACTGACTATTCGGTGAGTTATTCTTTACCTTCCCTCCCTTTCAGGCATATAACTAACTTGTCATCAATAGTCTCTCTTCTCAAAGCCCCTTGGCAGCCCAATGGTCGCATGGGAGAAGCGAAAACAGCCATCTCAGAAATGATAATCACGATTGCGGACTGAATCATGTTTATTTTTGCCATTTTTTATTTTTGTTTTTGCTTCTTCTCACGTCTTTTATACACTGGGTTCCACCTTACGGTCATCCAAGTGGCGCCTTGGAATAGAGCATATGTAATAATCTTGATCATGCTTCAAACGCGTATGTAGATAATAGTACTTTAATGCACTCCTGATAACAACTAATAATAAGCCGGATAAACAGAAAATTAGACAATGTGTTCTTCAGTTTTTCTGCATTGATAACAAAAAAGGTGTAATATACATTGAGAAATAGTACATGATCCCTCAGCTGGGATAGTCTAGTATCTAAACAGTAATATCCAAGCCGGCAAGGTCGGAAATTAACCGGCTAGAAAAAGCGTTAATTCCTCTCTCCCCCTTTCAACTCCGGCACCATACCAGACACCTAAGCAGCCGCCTTCCTTCTCTCTGCCAGTGCCCTCTTCGCCCTGATCTCTTTCTGCCTTCTCTGGCCACCGTCAATTTTCCTGCCACGCTTATGCTCCCACATACCATCCGTAACCTGGACCTTGACCGCCGTACTCCATGTATTTGGAATAATCTGAGCATACGGCCCTTTAATCATATTCCCATGGTGCAGCTTATAATGGGCGAATTTCTTGAGAGGCTTGGAGGGGTCCTTCAGCTCTGTTTCACCGGGCGGTAGATTGACAATCGCATAGCGCATTCCAGGTGAGAGAGTTGCGGTGCCCATTGAAGCAACGTCCAAGGGCTTTTCGTCGGTGTTGGCAGCTTTTCCGCTCTGGACATCCTTTGCAGATTCAATAGGAACCTCAACAGCTCTCAATTCAGCAACCCCGTCAACAACATTTTCCAGATCACCGCCGGGACCGTAGTCCTGTTGTCTGAACTTCTCCCTCCACCGCATTATGTATCTCCTATCCCTTGTCATCTCTATGCCCAGCTCTCGAAACTCAGCTGAATCGGCTGTGAACAACTGCTTCCATCCGGTAATTTTGCTGGAGTATCTAGACATATTCCGTCCAATTAGACGTAGGAATGTTTCGACATCAGGCACAAATGGAGTAGGTGATGGAACCGCTGCGGGTTTTCGAGATTTGTGAAGGTAGCGCACGCATAGTTGATGATGAGGGTTTATAATGGAATTGAAAACTCGAATCGGGAGGGACGTTTTGGCATTGAAGCCCGGTATACGTGAGGCAGCCATGGTGATTATTTCTTTTGCATCTAGTCTGGCCGTGTGTCGAAGCTTGGGAGTGCAGCTGATTATCGTAGCTCAAGGCGTGTGGACAGCATCAACTGTGTGGAGGACAAAACTCCCACAGCACCAAGCGCCCAAGGCAAATGGCAAAGACCCGAAGCTGTGTCAGAATGATCCTCAATTGTGTGGTATAAAGAAGCCGTCCAGGTTGTTCTTCTGTTCTTGTTCAAGTTTTTGCAGCCAAAATTTTGAATTGACATCGAGATCGGATTATTAAATTCCCGGTTCCGGTCTCCTTTCGGCTCTTCAACATTGAAAGGTCAACTTCGACATTGAAGACAAGAAAACGAAGAGACAGAGAGCTATTCACGGCTCTTAGAGGCTCCTGTGGTCCTGTTTGGACTCTGTCTCACTGTTTGGTAACATTGCCTTTGTCTCTCGTAACCCGCGGTGCTATCCAATATCGCCGACAGTATGGCGGTATCGCCTCTTCCCTCTCAATTCCCTATCACTACCGGTGCTCCAAAGTCCCTAGCAATGCGCAACATCACATCTCAAGAGAGCCGTGCCACTCCTGGCAGTGATTCTACGGCTTCCAAACCGTCCGCCCCCGAACCAGAACTAGCGGAACAGTTGAATGCTGACGTCCGAAGGAAATATGTCAAAGGTACAGATAGAGAGATTCTCCTTTGATTTAAAGCTTTTAATGCTGACACCTGTTTTGTTTGATAGACAAAAAACTTGGTGAAGGTACATATGCAGTTGTTTACCTAGGCCATCTACGAGACGACCCCTCTTCTCTCGTCGCAATTAAGAAAATAAAATTGAACGCGGAATACAAAGATGGACTGTCAATGGATGCCATTCGCGAAGTAAAATACCTCCAGGAATTATCCCATCCGAATGTCATCGCTCTACACGATGTTTTCTCCTCAAAGGACCAGAATTTAAACCTTGTTCTCGAGTTTTTACCCCTTGGGGATCTTGAGATGTTGATTAAAGATAATACAATCCAGTACGGTGTAGCTGATATAAAGGCATGGATAAGCATGCTTGCGCGTGGTGTCTGGTTCTGCCACAAGAACTTCGTTCTTCATCGTGATATTAAACCAAACAACTTGCTAATAGGATCGGATGGAGAGGTTAAACTAGCGGATTTTGGTCTTGCAAGATCGTTTGCTGATCCATATCTGAACATGACGCATCAGGTTATCACACGATGGTACAGGCCGTTGGAATTACTCTTCGGCGCCCGACAGTACTCCGGTGCAGTCGACATATGGTCCATGGGCATGGTATTCGCAGAGTTGATTCTCCGCGTCCCCTTCGCGGCTGGAAACACAGATATGGACCAAATATCGAAAATTTGCGCAGCCTTTGGTGCTCCTACGGAAGAAAACTGGCCTGGCGTTACAAAGCTACCCAACTACGTCCCAGTTGAAGAGAATCAGGCTGTGCCCCTACAAGGCCGAGAGTTTTTCCTTCGCCAGTTTCCAACAGCTGGACCGTTAGGTGCTGATTTACTGCATTCCATGCTAAAACTTGACCCAAGGAAGCGAATTACCGCGACTCAAGTTCTGCAGCATCAGTGGTGGTTCGCTGAACCTCAGCCAACCAAGAAAGAAAACTTGCCACGGAAGTCAGGCGGGGAAAAGAAAATGGGCAACGACATGGGTAGGCGAGTTGGTGAAATCGATGAGGCAAAATTCAAGGGTGTTTCTCGTCAGCTCGACTTTGGGTCTATTAAGAAGAAATGAGGGAGTTTCTAACGCACTGGATCTTAGATCTAATATTTTTGGAATCTACGCACACAGCCTCGGGGCCAAACAAAACGTATACCAATATACTTCGCAACTTGGATAATATCAGGTATACCAAAACAACGGCGATACTGAGCATGCCAGGGAAGTTCACTACTCTCAATATGACAGGAACGGCCCCACGCGAAGAAACGCTCACGGAGTGCCCTAGAATCGCTGATTACCAGTCTCTTGAGGACAGAATATTGAGGTTATCCAGGGCGCTCCTATTAGAATGGACGACAGGGATTAGCCTCAATACCTTCAGCACATACAAGACCATGGGGCAGATGAGCATTGCACATGCTTTTTTGATGGAGATATGCCTAAGATGCTCAAGCAATGCATATATTATTAGTCGCCCTTAATTAACAGGCTTTTGTTTGAAAAACAACATAATGTCCTAGTTTGGATATCAAATTTTAGCTCGGTTGCCAAAAATTACAGCCATATTGATAATACTCTAGGCCTCATCTATTAATAGGAAGGGCATATGGTATTTAGCATAGTCAGATCACATGAGTAATGTACACTTTGAACGTGTCAAGCATGATGATATTAATAATGCTTAATTCTATGGGAACGATAATGTTCTAATGCAGAAATCTATGAATCGTTATGCTTCCTATGTCCAGTCACTTCTTGGGAAGAAGTGGCTCCCATGAGGGTATCCGTGTCCCAGCATCTAAATCCATGAGTTCACTTGCAGATGGAAGAGGTTTTTTGGCTACCGTTGGTGCTAATGAGGCACTAGCTCCTTTAAGCGTTCTTCTTGGAGATAATGAGGTGGCCATTCCTTCGGGTTGGCTTGTATTAGCATCCATTCCGTCCGCACAATGGCCACCAGTATGGTTGTCAGCCTTATAAGACGATATGTTTAATCTATCCTCAGATGCATGCTTGCTCAATTTTGCTGGCTTTCGAGGTATAGGAGGAGGTGTTTTCTTGCTGGTCACTATGGCTTGGGATGGTAAGGATGTGCTTTTGTCAAGTGGCTCAGAGCTCCCTATAACTCCTGTCATTGAACTAAAGGGAGCAACGGAATTAGAAGGGATTTGGCCCAAATCCAGGTCCACCGGTTCACTTGTGTAGCTAGAACCATCCCCTTTCTTCACATAAATCCAATCAGACCCTGGTGACGTTGAAAATGGATTCGCACCACGCTGTACATTGCTCACAGCACCAAGTGGCGGGGTGACAGTTGATCGGGCAGGCAGTCCTATATAAGCATCAGTAATGGGCATATCAAAGTCAAAAGATGGAATCAAATTGAATATTCTTACCATGATCAAGCCACCACTTGCGTTTGTCTGAGCTTGGAGGGGGAAGGCCAGGAGAAATGGAGTGTATCAGCTCATTCTCATCTACCTCGTCGTCGGACAGGGTATCCGTAGGATCTGGCAGGGGCATATTCTTCTGCTCTTCATAAAGCTGTCGACTTATTTCTTCTTTCCGCTTTTCATCTATTATTGATATGTCACATTCAAAAATAGCGTAAACAGGTCGATGGTCTGAGAATTTCAAGGGTGCAGTGTTGTAGGCGAGCTGACGTAGGATTCTTCCTCTCCAGAGGACTCTATCGCACCAGGCGGGGATCCTTTGTTTTTCTCTATAGCGATATTAGTATGCAGAAGAGAGACTAAGACCATATTCTTATAGCTTACGAGGTATCATATTCATCGGTGCCATTGTCGTATCGATATGTTGGTGGAAAGGTAACTGGCCCTTCCATATAGAATTGAAAAGCAAGGCCAGCGACCATTTGAAGGTTGAGCTATAGAAAGTTAGCCGCTATATGTAGATAGGATAACGTATTAACAATTACCTGATCATTCTGATATAGTGTCTCTAAATCTCCCTTTTCAATCAGGGGCCTTACACGCTCATTGCTCAGGCCTATCCTATAGTTAAAATCACCAAACCAGATAGTTGCATCATGCCCAACAATCGGCCTGTTCCGTTGGAATCTAAGGCCTTGGGCAATGGTGTGATAGTCACGGTTTCTTTCCTCATAGTTAGAGAAACCAGCAGCTAAATGAGCAGTGATGAAGCAAATCGACGTGTTGTTATAGTCCAGACGGATAGCACAAGCCCCCTTGTTCCCACCCATACCAGACAAACCAGTCTGTTATTTTGATGCTAGTTAGTCGAATCCCCAATATATAACGGCAAAGGGCATATAAATACCTTCTTCAAACTGCCCTCCACGTTTTTTATCTTCTTGATAACATCCTTTTTAACAAATAGCAGAAGTGCAGCGCCCACAAGCTGGCCACTCCTTAGCAAAACGTACTCAGTAGTCCCTCTTTTTCTAGCTCTATCGTTGAGTGATGTTATGACTGCGCTCTCCCATATCTTGCGCGTACTTGGATCAGTGGACATAATCTGCTGAGGACTAAGCTCGACAATTTCTTGGAATCCCACGCCTACTATGGTGGGTTCCCGGGATATATTATCAAGAGAGCCGTGCAGCCATGGACCAAGATCCTCTATAGCCCCTTCGCTGCGACCGTTTATGTTGAACGTTCCAACCCATATATTGATTTTTTCACTAGACGTAAACTCCTTCGTTCTCCGAGCAAGCTCACTGTTCACAGCATCCTTTATCGGGTCAAATAGATACACCAGTTCCTGGTTGGGCAACAGTCCCAGAAGGGTATCTATAGTGACCTGTTTTCCAGGATCCGTGAAGTTGTTAACAAATAGACGAGTGGCACTCTTGCGTATATCAGCAAATGACCCAGCAACTGACATGGTCCCATGTCTCGTAAACGACGACTTCAAGGCACCAGTTCCTGCGTATATTCTTGACAACATGTCCCCACTATCAGCCCATAAAGTTGAATGTTTCATCCAGAAATCTTGTGATGCACGACCGTTCCGCTGTTCGAGAAACATTTCAATTGCCATACGACTAATCATAGTTTGAATGAGATTGGTCCTATCCAAGCAATCTAGACAGTTCGTTCGGAAGATGCCCTCTTGTTGGAGAATAATGTTCCTTTGTCTGAACAGTCTGAGTTCTGAAGCTGAAAGGTTATTTTCATGGCCCAGGGGTGCTTCAGAGAGAAAGTATGCAAAACCTTCGACAGAGTCTCCTATGACATTCTGGATAAGACTGGCAGCTTCATATCCTGCAGGCCCTTTTGTTTCAGCGTGGAAGTCATATTCTGTTATTTTCAAGATGTCGTGCTCTGGCGCGGCTTTTAAATCACGGCCCTGGCGCAAAGGACTTCCGCGAACATGGTATATATATCTTTCTGATAGCTCTGCTTCCCCAGACTTGGCTTTGGCGAGTAGGTTTATTGCGTGAACAGCTCCATATTTCTCGGCTAAGGCTTCGAAATGTTTGTCAAATGCGAGTTGTGTGGCGCCAGTGGAGCGGCTGATGGTAATTTTCTGCTGACCCGGAATGTAGCCGGCCTCTTGTTCCCAGAATATCGGCACAGAGCCTCGAATCTGGGTATAGGAGAAGCATAATGCAGGAGGGATCCATAGAATAGTTTCTGTTTCAACGAAGTTTGCGACGTTTCCGTCATCATTAATGCCTCTAGCATTGAACCTAGTTCCCGCACGCCGGGAGGAAAGGCGAGATATCACGGTTAAGCTTGAAGGAAGATGTGAATCTATATCAGAGAAAAGGGGAGAAGAAGCAGGGATAGTTAATGACTGAGCAAACCCCCTAATAACCAATATAAGGAGTTGAGAGGAGTCTAATTTCTGTCGATCCTTCACACTCAGGCCGTTCCTGAGCTGTAATAAAGGCTTGATTAAAAATGAATTCCATAGAAAATCTTCGTCCAGACGCTCGACGTCATAAGCAACAGGGTCGTCGATTCTGTCGAATGTGAAGTCAGCCAATCTGTAGATCTATCATCCAATGAGTATTCCTTACCGGTCCTGAATGCGTTCAGTCAGATTAAAGTCAGAGCTATAATAAAACGACCCATCACTTAATAGTTTTCTCAGCGTTAGAGACGGATTTTCCGCTGGAGACTCATTCCCTTGGTAAGATATGCCACGATAGTGATTATGCGTATCTAAGTCAGGGTCCTGGACCAGGTCGTAATCAGGCCGGTTTAAGCAATCTGCAGTGGGTTTATTAGCCTCGATCAACCGGATGTAAACGGGAAAGGGGAGGAAAAGATGAATAGGATAGAGATAGGGGGCTCAGTACAGAATTCAACACCGTCGATCCGTTGAACCGTTTCTCCAGGCCTCACATTGGCGACAGCGGTTGCTTGAGAGACGATGCATATAAAAACCTCACTGTTGGCGAGTGCGATGAGACCCAATGTTCCAAGTCCAGTCCCCAGCGTGCGGTATTCAGCCAGAGGTATAGAATCGGCAGAAGAAAACTCGACAACGCATGTTGGATAGCTCAGGATCTCTATATTGCCAGCTATCTCTTCTCTTGAAAACTGATAGCGGATGGTGAGTGCGTAGCCGTTTGCCACAAGGACAACTGTGCGATCCGGCGCATCCTTGCAGAGGACTCGCACAGCCATCACGCAGGTATTTGGTTTGAGTATAGTATAGCAGCTCCCTGAACTATTTATTCAGCAAAGGTATAATAGTCGCAGTAACAATTGAGAGGACGGTTGAGTTCTCCAGTTGCATGTTTTTTTTCTTTTCCCTTAAACCATCCGCATCACCAGAAGCGTCACTGTCAGTCGCAAGTGAATCTCCCTTTCTGTCTCTTTTCTGTTTGGTTTATCTTGTAAGAAGAAGCGCCTCAGGAAGGCGTAAGTGACGGTTATATATTGTTTGGCTGATATAGAATGCTGCTTCTTCCGCAGAATCCAGCAGGTTGAATATAAAAATTGTTATGTTGGGAAGGGGAAAAAAAAAATAAAAAATAAAAATTTAATAAACAGAGAAGATAAGTGTCTGGCCACCTCACTTATTAAATATTAAATCATTGTTCAAATAGCTAGACGGAGAGCTCCGGTTCTCATTGTAAGTGTGTTGGTTGTTTTAACGCGGAGATTTACAAGAAGCACACTAGAAAGAGGTTTGTTTGAGATTAAGAAATATATAACTAGTATAGCAAACAAGCATTCCATAGACCTCTTCCTTTCTATACCTTGTCCCCATAGTCAGACAATAGAACAATAAAGTCAGAAGCTGTGTTTTATTTCCGGAGAGTTTCTATCTTTTCTTCCAACACTGCCTTCACAGCCTGGCTTGTGTCCTTATACTCCTTCTCGAGGAAGAGTACGTGTTTGGCTATCTCATTCTCAATTTCTAGTTTCCTCTTTGCTAGCTCTGATAGCCTTTCAAGCTGTGTTTTGCGGTATTCTAGACTATGGATATGTTAATAAACCTGTGAGAAGGAGGTCTTGGGTGGGTTCCAAAACCGGGTAGCAGCCTATAGTTAGCAAAGTAAATCAAGTACAACACCTACATAGCTTTTCTGTTTGACTGAGAAACCTCCTTCAGTTTATCTTCCATCTTTTTGACACAGGCTTTGTGCTGAGCCTGGATTTTTTGGCGCCCATCATTAGCTGCTTTCCTTCCTGCTACCTAGGAGGGAGAGATCACGGTTAATATTTCTGAAGTATACTGGCAGTATTCGAAAGCAAAAGCAGTTTTAACGACAGCATTTGCTTCTCACAGAATTGTTTAGTTTCTTAATTAAATCTGTCATTTCTGCAGCTGAGTCGACAGACAACCCGCTTTCGCTCTCCATTGTATCCGCTCTTCGGTTGCTTTTGCCACGAGAGTTTGGCCGTGTCTTTCTAGATCCTTGTCTCGGAGCCATTTCACCTCCTTCCACAGCCAAATTCAACAAGACAAAAGAGGATGCGCGAGGAGTTGCGAACTGCTCTGAAACTATCAAAAACTGTTAGAAGTTGAATTGTTCAAATTTCCTAAAAGGGACAAAAGAGGCATCTCGGAGATATATTATTCCGGAAGCGATGGCTTATGTAAACTTCTTTATTGCGGCGTCATATTAGTATAGTGGGCTTTGTGGAGGTTAAAGCGGCGGCACAGAAATATCTTATCAACCTTGAATTTTTGGGGATAAAAAATAATAAATTTTGTCTGCAACAAATCGACCACACAAATCTCAAGCCGCCACGATGGGGTTAGCCGGTCCTAAAAAGTAGGTGTATTGCTTGTATCAATTAAACCGTTCTTGCAATGTTCTAATTCCGTATCAGGAGGACAAAAATCTCAAACGACCCAAATAACACATCGTGGACACGATCAACTTCCGGCTATGGACACAAAATCATGACCTCCCAGGGCTGGGCCCCTGGTGATTACCTGGGCGTAGCGAACAGTAACCGAACTGATACTTACACCGCCGCCAGCTTCGGCCATATCCGAGTGTCCCTCAAGGACGATACCCTAGGTCTAGGTGCCAAACCCCGGCGGCCGCTCATTGACGATGAACCCACAGGATTAGACGCATTTCAAGGACTGTTGGGCCGGCTCAATGGGAGAAGTGAGGTTGAAATCGAAAAAGAGATGAAGGTGAAAAGGGATATCAAGGCCATGACTTATATTGAGCGAAGATGGGGCTGCATGAACTTCATTGGTGGCGGCTTACTGGTGCCGGACAAGGTCAACAAGATTCCGAATGGGGGAGTAAATAAGGACTCGGAGGATAGTGAGGGTGTGAGGCCTGTCGAGGAATCGGCAAGCGAAGATACGAATAAGAAAGAGAGCAGGAAACGGGAAAAGAGGGAGAAGAAGGAACGAAAGGAGAAGAAAGAAAAATCCAAGGAAAAAAAGAAGGAGCAGAGAAAGGAAGCGGAGGAATCTAGGGACATTGCGGATAGCGGCTTTGCGACTGAACTGTCGGCTCCTGGGTCTAGGGCGGGATCCCCTGGCGATGCAGATTCAAAGAGCGAGAAACAGAGGTCCAAAGACAAGAAAAAATCTAAAAAGCGGAAACGAAAGGAAGAAGCTCTGGCCAGTAAGAGCCAATCTCCGGCACCATCTGATGATGAGGATGCGAAGAGCGCAAAGGCAGATGATACCTCTTCACGGGTGGCAGCCCCTATTGCCGTAAAAGAGAGAGTTATCCCTATTTCTCGGCAGCTCTTACGGGGGCGCTATATACAACAAAAGAGACGGGCTGTAATGGACTCTAAGTCATTAAATGAGGTATGTCTACCCGGTACTACTCCTAACATCAAGCTCTAGTAACTAACAGGAAGTCAGATATTTATGACTGCAAGCTGATTTTCTCTACTTTGTTCTCTCTTGCTCAACCATGGCCCGGCTACTTTTTGAACACATATTTTACTATAGATCTAACTGAAAGATGTCTACATGATCTTATATACCCATGAAGCGCTAAAATAATATTCTATTCTGTGAACAGGCTCTCGATCAGACCTTATGTCCCCTTTCTCTGTTCCCCTTTCATAATTTGACATGCACCCTAGAACTATGAATGCAGATGCACAACTTGCTTGCCGCAGGGCTTTAAGAGAAGCAACTAGGAAAGTTCCTTGCGATATCCCGTCCTAGTTGCCCTGACGTCCCGCTTCAGCCTTCAAAACGGTGCAGGCGTCACACATACATGAGAATTCTCACACCTGGTTTCTTTCACCCGCTGTTCTACCTCTTTACATGGCTACAGCAAAATCTTTCTAGGCAGATCTTCACTGAAATTTGCTTGAAGATAGCCAGTTCCTGCTGGGCTGGTTGATATTGTCAGTGATATCACCATCTACCCAGTCCGCTCTTCCTTTGCATAGTGAAGCACCCAAGACATCCCCCCTCGCTATGCCTTATACCAAGGATGTTAACCGGAGCCGCGTCGAGGCAGCCCTGTCTAGGATGACTGCGGAGGATACTGCTCACCTGGCCTCTGTTCTCGAATTTGAAGGCTCGTTGGCCGATAGACTCCAAAAAACCAGCATTGGCCCTTATGTCGTCGATAGTGAAGGGATGATCCGTGTCCCAGCCGTTCTCTTCGCTGGTGACCCAAGCAAGGTATGCCTTCTTTTGCTGTCTGCTTCGGCTGGTGTTGGAATGATAATATCTGTGGCTTGTTATATACTTATGAATTCGAATACAGGGGCTGCCGGGGATCATTCTTACTCCGACGACACCAACTATGCCTATCATTCGTGGCATACCCGCCTTTCCAGCATCGCCACCTTTTCCACCACCTCCCACTCCACTGGGTTTCGAGTTCAAAAACAATACCGAACGTTACTTCTTTGCCATTGCTGCCCGCGCACTCCAGGAGGCTGTGAAACTCCCTGAGAATCCACCGCCAGCTGGCTGGTTACCCAGCCAGAAATGCCCCATCTTCTATACCTCAATCCTTGACCAGTTCACTGTCTGCTTCCACGACCAGCTCCAAAGAAGGGGCCTTTACAAGGAGGAGGCCTTCATGGAAGAATGTCAACACCACTATGTCAGCATTCTCAACAATGTCCGTTCTAGATGGCATTATTCGCCATTTGGCTCGATTGACGGATTCATAACCACCATCCAGACTCCCCACAGCGAAATTGCAGCACAGGCGTTGAAACACACTATCAGAAAGCCCACTTCTCCTCCGCCAGCTGGATGGAAGATCAACGAGCCCCTGCACACCTATTATGTTATCATGCTCGCGAGGTTCCGCATCCATTTACGCAACATGCTGAGGAACTATGAAGGCCTTCTGGTTGATGAACCGCTCGACCTTCAAGAGTCTCTCTGCCGATTCACCGAGCTTGTCATCCGGGAGTACCGCCGTATCTGGATTACGAACTATGGGTTGATGAGGAACTGATCGAGAGACGACTGCCTAAAAAATAGCATCTCTCTGCTATCTTCCGGACCGGAGCTGGTTTATGAATAAAAAGAAGAAAAAAAAGGGGGGAGCCACATAACTGCATACTATATTACGTGTGAATAGAATTAACAATAACCAGCCGATTAGCCGCGATAAGAAATTACGTCACTTAAAAACAGTCCAACCTCGTAAAAAGCTTTTGCTCTTCTATCTTCACCCTTTTTCACGTCTTCACTCACTGGCAAAAAAAGGCCTTTCTTTCATTTGACAGTCACTTCACTCTTCACTGGAGGCCCTTAGATGCTTATATTAGATATCTAAACCTGAAAAAACCGGCCTCCCACCTGTCTACCCAACTGCGATCCTGAAACACCAACTGGAAGCGGCCGTTAGTTCGCATAGAAGACTGCTTTACTTGTTTATTTAGAAGAATAGATACTGCCAATCCGGCCTATCCTCATGCCCGACATCGATAGAGTGTTCGCCGAAATGAAGGGACAATCTGGGGAGGACTATACGGGCTCTATGCGACAGTTCCGGAGCCTGGTGAACTCGTCTCCAGAGACGCTGTACAATGATTTTTCCTCCGCAGGAAGTGCAGCACACAGTGTATCGGATTTTCAACCATCTCGAAGAAACCACGGTCTTGTTAGAACGAGGTCAGACCCATTTAAACCGAATACTACTACCATAGCTCCCCGAACTCAACCTGAGACCCCCTATTCTCAGCACATGGGGTATGTTTGTTGCCCAGAGGAACGTATAGTGTTCAACGAAGCTAACAGACTGCTCTTTTTCAATGTAGGATTCGATGGGCTCCGTTGAATATAAGTCTTAAACGACGGCTCCAGACGCTTGTTGTTCTTCTTCATACCATCTCCATTGCCTTTTGCCTGATGTCGTTTTTCTTCTGCTGCGCCATCCCGCTCTTCTGGCCTATCCTATTCCCGTACGTGATATACATATCGTTGTTCTCCAAGGCCGCGACGGATGGAAACCTTTCCAGAAGAAACAACTTCATTCGATCTCTTTCCATCTGGAAACTGTTCGGATCGTATTTTCCAGCTCGCCTTCATCGAACAGTGCCTCTGCCACCAACCCGAAAATACATCTTCGGTTACCACCCGCATGGAATCATCTCCCACGGGGCGTTCGTAGCCTTCGCTACCGAAGGTCTGGGCTTTTCGAGGCTCTTTCCCGGAATCACAAACACATTGCTTACTCTGGATTCCAATTTCCGCCTTCCATTCTACCGTGACTGGGCGTTGGCAATGGGCTTAGGCAGTGTGTCTCGGGAATCTTGTGAGAACATCCTTTCAAAGGGCGGAATGAACAGAGAAGGCATGGGCCGTGCAATCACCATCGTAATAGGCGGCGCGCGAGAGTCTCTAGATGCCCAACCACATACCCTTCGACTGATCCTTCGTCGACGAAAAGGATTCGTGAAACTTGCTATCCGTACAGGTGCAGACCTCGTTCCTGTCCTTGCATTTGGTGAGAATGAGCTGTACGAGCAGGTAAACTCTGATCAGCACCCGCTCATCCATAGATTCCAGATGCTCGTGAAGAGTTCTATGGGATTCACTATCCCACTTTTCCATGCGAGAGGGGTCTTCAATTATGATGTTGGCTTAATGCCATATCGAAGACCGTTGAACATCGTTGTCGGTAGACCCATTCCAGTTATCCAGCAGAGTGACAGGAGCAAGATGGATGATGCATACATTGATGAGCTGCATGAGAAATATATTCAAGAACTGGAGAAGATGTGGGAGGAGTGGAAGGACACTTTTGCTCCAAACCGTATCTCAGAGCTTGAGATCGCTTCCTAAGCGTTATCTCTGCCGTCTTTGATGACCTAGGGTTTTTTTATTCTTTTCAAATTTTGGACACTATTCTAATAACTGATAGGAGGCATCGGTCTTTGTGATACAATTTCTGGTCTGATTGGTTTTCTTCTCGGGTCATCGGCGTTGGTTGGTAGTATCAGTTATACACAATCATATATTCTACCTATTTTGGTCTCCTATAACTGAATGGACACGTCTGCCTCCATTATCCGTGCCATAAAAAATAGAGTAATCCGAATTCAGACCTATTGAGGAAGCTTTATGTATTCCTATGATTCATCTATCTTCACTATCAATTGTTTCACAGGGAAATAATAGGTGGCATGTGGTAATACCGTACTCTAGATATCAGTATCCAGCGGGCAGCGGTGTACCGAATTTAAATATGGGATGCACGCCTCGCTGTGAAACCCAGAAATAAAACAATCTGTGACATTGATGGCCAGCAACATATGTGGGGAGGGACAGACATTGGATGTATAGGGTATCTCATGTTGCCTCGAAACAAAGAAAAAAAAAGAAATGATAATGAGGAAAAAAGAATGTTGTCGCTGCAAGCGCTCAATAAAAAACCAATAAACCAAAACGCCAGGAATTTCTTCCAAAACCGACCATTAACTGTGTATCCTAGAATATAAAACAGGATAATAAGCCCGGTAATCAAACGATTCCCATCCAGTCCATTTTTCCATCGACATTCTTCCAACCTCCATGGGCAATTGCCTTGTCCCATCCTAGCATAACGGCCAACAGGCGGCATGTAGTACTGCTCACTGCACAAACAACACCATCCCCCTCTGCCAGAAGCGCCAGATCCGTGAGATACGTTTTACCGACTAGCTCACGCAGCTGCAGTGCTTCGGGAGATGGGTCGAAGCGAAGCCTATCGTATTCCGATTCGCGGACAACGCGATGTGGGGGGAATACGGATGACTTTCCATGGGATGCGGAAGGGCTGCCTTCCGCCGAGGGGATGAGTGATGTATCACCGAGAGACCAGAAAATGCTGTTGAAGAATCCACCTTCCCAACCAATATTTAGATCTTTCAACGGCCTTTTGGCAACAATCTTGGCGGATTTGCCGTTAGGTTCCTCCATTGCCTCAGATAAAGCATCTAGAGAGTCTTTGCTGCTCAAGGAGAGGTAGGACTGGGCCTTGACTATACCTCTCATCTCAGGGGAAGAGTATGTCTCTGGATCATCGGAGGCTACGATCATGCTCGATGTAGCTCTGTATTCGGCCTGGGAGGTCTTCTTGCTACTACTGCTATTGATGCTGTAAGCAGACATAATCTTCCGGTTGAAAAAGGAAGTGACCAGATCATTTGCTGCCTCGACATATGTATCAAGCGGAATATAAGATTTTTCGAATTGGAACTCGAATGGATGACGGTCACCACGGCGGATGTGAATACTAATTAGTGGTCCGCCACCCTTTGGAATGGAGCTTCGGATTTCCGCCATTCGTTGCTCTAGGTATTTTGCATCATCGCTATCGATATGGAAGAGGGCTTCGTATCCCGCACGGAGAAACTTGAACATTTCCTTCTGGCGGTCGGCACCTGCTTTCCGTGTACTCTCGAATTGCTCGTTGAATTTCTGTCCAAAAGTCCATGGGGCCGTAGCTGACGAAACGAGGAGATGGCGTGCGTGGTGAGGGAATGGGGTTCTATGTGAAACTGGGGGAGGCTGACAGTCGGGCAATGGGGGGGTTTTAAAATATTTGGTATATCGACCATAAGACCAATTCTTGTCGTCTATGAAGAATGACCTTCCTTCCTTCTTTGCAAGGCCATAGCTCATCCATAAGCCCATTAAGGTCGCGCCCATACCGGCATCTTCCGTCTGCATCACAAATGTCAAGCTCTTCTTGCAGACAGGCATTGTGTCTCGCATCCTGAGATATTTCTCGCCGCCCACAACATTATCGGCGACATTTCTAGGGGTACGTCCATTCAGCTTGGACGGAATGATGTCCTGCAGTTTTGCATCATCGATATCAATATAATTCTTATCGACCTGGTAGTATCCATTACGTTCTTTCCCATCAGAGAGATGCCGCGCCATTGCCTCGGCTTGCGTGCATAATTTCGAATATTCCGAAGGAGAAAGAGGATAATTGAGATTCTCAGGCAGTGAGATTGTCCACTTTGACCTTCCGCGTGAGTCTTCCACTAGAACCGGGCCCGCAACTTCCGGTAGTGTATCGCTTTCAATAATTTCGTAGCTGCCGACCTTACCAGCCAGGGTGACTGGGTCAAGACGTGTAGACCAGGGTGATGACTGTATGCAGAAGAATATCCCAACCAGACATCCAATCCACACAGAGAGCCTTCGAAGCCGTATCAACCATCTTGGTAACGGTGCTTTACCTTGCCTGGGCAGCACGACTGGTAGGCTGGGAGAGGGCAGTGGAGAGTCGAGTAATGGGACCCTCAGGCTGCCACTGGATAGGGTAGCCGGTGCCCTTCGCACACTCATGTCATGTAAGTTTCGTCGAGATGCGATAATCATATTGAAAATCAGACAAAGGTTGTCTTTCGAAGACAGTTCAAAGCCACGAATCACTCAGTCCGCGGCTCTTTTTCTCTCAGTGCATCAATATCGTTCTTACCAACGACGAGCGAAATTGATCCTAATCCTATCGTTGAGCCTCGTTAAAGTGACCCCAACATTCGTTTATGTGCACCAAGGACAGGCGTTTCCCCTCCCAAGCAAAAGAGTATCGGGAGCAAATATGCAAATAAAGGAATGACTTCCACCAGACCGGCCAGAGGAATATTATGATCAAATGCACCGATGCTTAAGCAAAGAAAAAGGAGAGACAAAGGAACGGCTTGGGGGAAAAAAACCGCTCCACAAGCAAAATATATATAAAAGAAACGGCAATTGAAGCTAGAGAAACGGTACTGAGCGGGCACGGGGCAGCAAAAAGCAGAGGGCATCCAAGGGGTCGGAGCATATATGATATTGAAGCATATATGTAACGACAGTGGACCCGGTTATCTATATGAAGAAGAAGATGTACCACGAGAGGAAGTCTAAACCGATGCCAGTCGATCACTAAGTATATAGTCCTTGAAAATCCCCCAAAGGGTGGGTTAGGAAATGGGAGGAGAAAGAAACGGAAGAGAATGAAGCGGAAGAGAAAGAAATGGAATGGAAAGATTTTTGGAGAGATGAGCCGCTCGATCAAGAAGCCATAGACGCAGGAACGGGCTATTTTTGGCAGACCAGCATGCCTTTTGAGTGAGAAAACCCTCCTGGATATTTTATATCAAACACCAAGGGTGACCATCGTGTGAGGCCAAGTTGTCTTGCTGTCACAGGGAGGGAAGGGCGATTTTCGCCGCTAACGAGTGGGAAAAAAAAACCCGCGTACGAGGTTACTAACCAGCAGAGCAGCGTTGCAAGGGACAGAAATATGGGGAAGAGAGGGTCAGGGCCGCGGATCCTAATCATATAATTAACCCGGACATGTAATTAGGACTGCCTAGTAGCGTATCACCTCGACAAGCGACCAGGTGTGACGTCAGGGGGTGAATTTGAACTCGATATTGCTGATCTGAGGACAAGCCCTGGTTGCAAGCCCAGTAGGCTACCGTTCTCGAATGATGATCCGTCTATCAAGGTGACATGTCCATCCGCAGAGTGGCGGGAGTGGGAGAGGCACCGCCCTGCGTTGACAGGAGAACCATCATTCCCCTCCGATATGGCATCTTCGTGTTTCAACCTTTGGCAGCAGGGAAAACAGACAGGTGAGACGTCGCTGATTGGACATGGCTCAAGGGAGACTCTGTTTGAAGTCTTTCTGCTGTGGAGGGGTCGCGATTAGTGATTCGTGATAGCCGAAGCATGGCCAATCCTTGGTGGAGCCGCCAGTGTTTCAGAATCGCCATGAGCAACCGATGAGCACCAGCACTGCTCTCAGACTGGCCTGACTAAGGACGGAGCATTATGTTATTTGCCGTTGGTGGCTTGGTGAGATTTGATATTCTCCATACTTATAATGCGGTGCATAGCCAAATCATGAATGTCTACGAAGCCTCGTCGCTGAAGTCGTTTTTTCTTTTTTATATATGAAGATGCAGTTAACTGACTAAGCAGCAGACAGATGAGTCAGCACTGCAGGGGTTATCCAATGAAATCGAAGTAAAGTTCTCCACTCCGGATATAAATTTTACCGATATGACACGTGACTCCCTCGTCGCTGTCTACTTCAGGGCTTGAATAACCTTCGTACAGATGCTAAGTGTATTGCAGGTTAGCTGTTGGCATGTAGGTAAAGGGTGTTTATCAACTCGAAAACCTCAAGGTCATTGTAACAGCCGTATGGGAGAAACAGTGGTGAGTCATTCAAATGACTATACATGTACACTGCGGATACCATCACAAGGTCCGTACCCATTCTATATCCTCTTCATGTCCCTCACAAGAACGGACCATTTGGATCCCATGGATTGAATGCTTCTACCGACGTTGAAGATGCCATGCATCGGTGATAATGACCAAAGCTGCGAGAGTGACGTCAACAAGGCTGTTCGTGTATTTCGATTGCAAGGCATTAATAACCCCCATGCATGCTGACAATGCTGACACCCGGCCCCCTCATCTCTACATAGTATGTACTCTGTTCCTATAAGAGCTATCCCAACACCGGATCAAGCTAATAAGCACCCATCGGACGCTCGAAACATCTCAACGTTCTCAAGTAGAATTATCCTTCAAGTTGTGAAATAAAAGCAAATGAACTGGATGTTCGGCACGTCTCTAGAAGAGAAGGTGGTAGCGCATACGAGATGCCGTGGAAGTCTTAGATAGCCAAAATGAACGATGAACAACGATCTTTGAGTTTGTGAGGCATCGTTAGGCCTTTTTGATTCTTTAATGCAGACAAAGCGAGATTAACAAGGATGGCACGGCCCGCCTTAGCGGCCTCGGCATGTGACTATCACGTGTTGTAGTTTGAATGCTGATTCATTAACTATAACACGTGATATAACCCCCTCCAAGAGACGCGAGAGAGGAGAGAAAAGACATGAGCAGACAAAACAGAACGATGAAGCTGCTTCAATTACCCCTTGAATTAGTTCAGATGATTGCTGAAGCCTTAGGGAATGAAAATGATATCAATGCGCTTGTCCAAACATGCCGTCACCTTCACCAAAGTCTCAATGTCTTTCTCTATCGCTACAATGTACGCAACTCCGAAAGCTCAGGACTAGTCCACGCCGCGAATGCCGGAATAGAAACAGCAGTTAAAAGGTTACTTGATGAAGGGGCCGATCTCCACACTTGGTATCTAGAGCCACCGCTAGTTCTAGCAGCAATTAACGGACATTTGGGAGTGCTCAAACTCCTGATAGATAAGGGGGCTGATTTGTCCGCCTATGATACCCCCTATCATCGCACAGCTCTATTTTGGGCAGTAGTATATGATAATGAAGAAGTAACAAAATTTTTACTCGATAAAGGAGCCGACCCCGACGCGTTGGATACAGATGGCTGTTCTCCGTTGTTCGCAGCAATAGAGGAAGGAAAGATAGGAATGGTCAAATTATTACTCGAGAATGGAGCCAAAAAAAATATCATAAATGAAAATGAAGAGACTCCCCTAACAATAGCTGTGGAAAGCGGGAATGAAGAGATTGTTAGGCTCTTACTTGAGAAAGATGTTGATCTAGAGTTTATAAATGACCCCGAAAATACCCCCTTAGCTCTGGCGGCTGAATATGGATATCTGGAAATAGTCAACATCTTGCTGCAGAAAGGAGCATCTACTGAGGTTGTCAATGATAATGGCCTTAGCCCTCTATCTGCCGCCACAGAATCGGGACATGTGGAAATAATGGAACTTTTGCTAGAGAATGGAGCTGATATAGAGTTCCGGGATAGTGACGGCAGCACACCCTTAGCCATTGCAGTAGACAGTCTGCAGATGGGGGCCGCTAAATTACTGCTGGATAAGAAAGCGGACATAGAGTCCAGGGATTTTACTGGCGGTTCCCCTTTGGCCGTGGCAGCAGGAAATGGAAAACATGAATATACCAAGTTACTGCTTGAGTATGGGGCCGACATAGAATCTCGAGATTTAACTGGCGACACCCCGCTATCGTTGGCAGCAAGAAAGGGAAATTTGGAGTCTGCTACGCTACTTCTTGATAACGGAGCTAATATAGAGAACCTGGATGAATATGGCCAAACTCCGTTACTTGTTGCAACATTCTTTGGGTATATTGACCTGGTTAACTTTCTACTTGATCGCAGGGCTTCTATCGATGTCAAAGATAAATTTGGTCGAACTCCGTTATCCCTTGCAATTTCAAGGGGTAATAGGGAATTACGCGATATCTTAGTGGAAAAGGGGGCTATCCGTGACGATGGAGTCTGATTATAGCCCGGCCTAGCCAAAAGGTAGAGTAGGTCTTGCCAGACAGCGTCCTCGATGTATATACTATTCACTATCGTTTACGATTTGTTTTGGTTTTCTGCTGGCCGCAGGCTAATAGACTATTGAGTGGCATTTTTCTAGCATCTTTGAAGACATCTATAAATTTGTAGGCAAGCAACGCTACTGGGTAACGAATAATATCACATTCAGCCAATTTGTCACCTTATTCTGATTGAGATCCGGGGCAGGAAAGAGTGAGAGCTTATGGGAAGTCTCAATAAAAAATAGTACGAATAATATTGTATCCATACTTTATAAAAATTTCAAAGGTCTTTTATCCTTTATCAGCGGTAGGAAGATGAATGAGGAGCGGAAATCGTATAAGGAGAACAGCAGAACAATGACGAAATAGTCATAAGAGACGAACAAAAAAGAGAATGGGGATATATAACTGACATGTCTGAAAAGAAGAAAAAAGAGCAAGAAAATGAGGCAAAATCAATCGTATCTGGCTTTTGACAGATCAAACAATTAAGGTTGACCACCAAGGCCAAACAAACAAGTAACGAAATATCAGGATACCCAACTTATACAGAGAAGCAGAAGAAATACAATGTGCGTAGGCTCAAGGCAGGGAAAAATGACATGGCAAGAATATGTGGATAGGCTGAAAAAGAAAAGAAAAAGACTCTTTTTGCAAGAAAAACGTGCATAACCAAGGCATAAACGAGGTGAATGTAAAACGAAATATGTCGAAATTTAGACGAAACAATCAAACTCATCTGGTAAGCCATCTGTAAGACTAAATCAAATAAAATCATGACCAACGTTACTTGGGCAGCTGTAGGAAAAGCCAAGCGTAGTCGCAACTACGATGACAGGGGCCTTGATGCTGACTCGTATGAGTTGCCAGCGGTCGTATTCATGGATGCGGGCCCTGGATTTGACTTCAAGGACTCCCCACGCTGAAGTTGACTTTCGGAACTAGATGATATGGAGCCTTTGGCACGGATATGGTTGTGTTTGGTATCCGAAAATAAACCATTGCTTGTTGATATAGGCTCTGCAACGGTGTCAGTTGATATCCTGCTTGATGTGGGTGGAGTTCCAGCGTAGCTTTTCGGTGATATGCCAGCACTAGAAACTCGCATATGGCCCCTGGAAGTCTTGATGAGATGCCCGCTCTCTACCCGATCTTGAATCATTTCGTCTAGCATCCGTGACATCTCATCAACGCTCTTCCGCTTCTTGTCTCTTTCTTCGGCCGTTAGTTTAACTGGTGGGAGAAGGTTGGGGCTAACCCTTCCTAACACCGAGCCAGGGCCGGCACCGCTATTGTTGAATAATGAGTTTGTCTCACCCGGGTGGCTGTTGTTGTTATGGTGGTGGTGATGAGGTAATATGGCATTATTGATGCCCATGGTTTTGTAATCTGCTCCCACTGGTGGCGGAGGGTGAAGCGGTGGAGGCGTAGGCGCAGCATCTGCCCGACCTGATGCGTTTGTGCTCCCACCGGTGAGATGCGCCATATCCCTTTGCCTCGCCGCTGATCTCAATGCTGCTACCATCCGATCTTTGTCATCTAGCTGCAGTCGTAAGTCTGCGATTTCCATATCTTTCTCCCGCAAGGCAGCAGCGAGATCTGAGTCGTTATTTGAGGACGATGTAGTGCTACATGATTTGAGATGGTGGTGATTTAGGCCCATCGAAACGCGGGAATGGCTTGATCGACGAGCTTGAAGTAGTCGACGCTCAAGGGTTGAAATGTATCTGTTTTTATCTGCGAGGTCGGCTTGAAGAGCATTTACTTGGACCTGTAAGCTCGCCATACCGTCGGCAAATTCACCTATCATTTCATCGTCGTCATCGTGGTGGTGGTTAAAGGAGGCAGACGGGTTGGTATGGCCCGCTGCGCTGGTACTTGTGCTTTTCATTGAGGCAAGAGACGTAGAGCGGTTTAATGCTGAGCCGGCACCCAGGGTTGACTGGGAGGCTGAAGATCGTAACGATCGTATATCCACGGATCCCGGGCTGGTTTGGGAGAATCTGCCTAAGCTTGCGTTGACACCGGTCGATTTAGAGCATAGGATCAACCTATTAAGGTGCTCAATTCTCTCCTTCAGCGCAGTTCGAGCAAGCTGCATCTCCAACATTTGTTCTTCATGACGAAGCTCAGCTTCTTTTTCCCTCGCTCTCTCCTCCTCTTTAGATTCAGCCTCGGTGTGAGATGTTGGTGTCTCAGCTTTGGCTTGATTCTCTAATTGGCGTCGTAGAGATTGTATCTCCATCCTATATCGTTCGAGCAGGACTCTGCTACCTGCATCTCCGGCACCGCTGCCCAATGACTCTTCAGCACGCTTCGCGTGGCTGACGATATTATTCTTTGCTCGTGCAGCGAACTTCAGCGTGTTCATGGTCTCGTTCGTATGAGACTGTGAAGATGCTGCAGTTGTACCGGATCCAACCTGTATCGTACATAGAATACTGACTAGAGAGTTACCTGACAGCGCCGGCTGAAGCAATCGAGTCAGCTTGCTATCTCTGTAGGGTAAGTGTTTCCCTTCCTTGTCTCCATTTTTGCCCTCCTTTTCGACGGATAGACGGGCAATGACTGTCCCCAACGTGAGTAAACTCTTGTTAATATGGGCACCTTCTGTTCGGCGCTCTTTGCTTTCTGCAGCACGTTCGGAACCAGCGAGATCGATCAAACTAAGCGTCGATACTCGAACCCCGCCTGGCGCAATAGCAGCGCGTTTCTCATGTCCACTTGTAGGGGCTCGTTCTCTGCTTTCCACCACAATTTGTACAACAGCGTGACTTCGAGAACTCCGTGAATTGAACTGGGTACTGGATGTTCGCCTAGAATGGTCACCTCTGGCGATGACCCGTAAAAGCTGTGTTGGACTTTGGACTATCTCCTCTTTGAGTGGTGTGGCGTAGACACCTCGCTTGCTATCTTCGCGCAACTTGATCTCTTCCTGTTGTCCTTGTGCGCCGCCACTTCCTTGTCCTGCGGCGGACATGGACAGCAGATCGTGAATCTTTTCATTATATATTTCTAAATAGCTGACTCGAAGTAAGAATTCGCGGTGCGGTGTTTCTCGAATATATGAGAAAATGTCCGTAATAGCGAGCGGGATGACACCGGGGGATGTAGCGGTCCCCTGCATAGAAAATGTCTTTCCAGTGCCGGTCATTCCATATGCAAAAACCGTGCCGTGATACCCTTCCATAACACGGCGGACGAGTCGTTTCGCAGATGCATCATACACCTTAGCATTATTATCATGAGTGGTAAAAACGTTATCTATAATCAGTTAGTTTAAGACGTTCTCTCTCTCTTAAGCTCACGGGTAGAGGATGGGTAAATACCATAATAATAATCGCCCCCTTCTTTTCCCCTATACGAAACCAAACTTCTTCGGCCATCGACCAACCATTCTCCTTCAGAGCTCTTGCCATCTGGAGATGATAGATCCGGTCGAACACGTACACTTACTATAACGTTGCCTTTCCCTTCCCTGGTTTTGGAGTTTCGGTGCGAACTCCCTGATGCCTCTTCTACGCCATCTCGCCCTCGCCGCGTGCTATCTTCATTATCGTCGTATGTAGTAGCACTTGTCGAATATGAGTCCTGGGTAGATGAACTCCTGCTCTGCGTAGGAGAAATTACGCTGGCGTGGCCTCCGGAATTCCGGGAATTGGGGATCGATTTACCATCCCCGCTACCGTTGAGCAGGCTTGGTGTTTTTGAGTTCTTTAGCTGTGAGCCAGCTCCTGTGTCGATGCGTGGGGCTTTTCTCTTTGCTCTGGAACCAGATGCTGGTTTGGCGCTGTCTGTGGGGTTGCTTGAGAAGGAGGATTGAGTGGAGAGAGATGGCCGACTGGCCTTGGGGGGTTGTGGAAATGCAGCAATGCTCACTGTTCGGCGAATGGATTTGTCTGGGCTCCCCGAGGTAAGACATACCGAGGGTGATCGGAACGAACTTTTATTCGGTGATGATGAGGACGGTCCGAGGCTGGAGGGTACCGTGGATTTGGTTTGGGCAGTAGTGGGAGATCGTAATTTTGAAGGAAGAGAGGGAGTTGAGTATAACTTAGCCGATTCGCCAGGTCCGGGCATGCTTTTTCTAGATTTCGAAGCTGGTATCGGCGGGAGAGCTGACGTAGGAGGGCTTCGAGGAGGAGGGTTGGATGGCAACCGAGACGGTTGCGGAATAGTCGAAGTCATATCTGCAGCCTGAAGGAAACAACGAATACAGTCATCACCGCCTCAACGTCTGCCAGAGAGAATGAGCAGGTGGGTTAGAGCAGCTAGGATGGCAGAGACGACGAGAACTGCGGCTTGACAGCGCAGTTTTTCCTTCTCTCCCTTAGTGAGTGAGATATGGTATGACGATATCAATCAGGGTGTAATATGAGATGTTGCGCGTGGAATTGGGGATGTGCTATGAATCCGTTGCACTATGCCTCACGACTTGCATGAGACATCTTCGAGGATTTGTACGACAGGGACGATAAATGGCATGCAGCGGACTATGCGAGGAGGCCAGTACAGGCACATGGAATGGGAGGGATCACCGGAAAGCCCCAAGCAGAAAAAAAGCGACGGGAACAGCAAGCCAGCATCAGCACCAGCTCCAGCAGCAGAAATATCGAAAGCGAGCCGGGGGGCCTGCCTGAGAACGCTGTGTAATCTTTGGGCATCAGTTACAAAGACCTGAACAGGGATGGCCGGTAGGGGAAACAAGATTTCCTCAAGGGTGTCTGCCGTTTGCCATGCATAAAGGCGAGCTCTCCAGGGAGTAGCTGGACAAGTAAATGTATACTATGATTGTATACAATATATATTGTCGCAGCTAACAGCGAGGATGGAAGTTTGAAGAGCAAAATCTGGAACAAGCTTACAGATGGGCGTCAAAATGTCGTGCGCTTGTTTTTTCTTAGTATATGGACGGGAGATCCTGGGACTGGGAGGAGGCGAAAACTCGAAGAGAGGCGAACAGAGAAGCCGCGCGGTGAAATCAATAGCACTCTATTGATTCAATAACAGGATAATAACATCAAAAAGGGGAGCAAAATTACACGCCGATGCTGGATGCTGGATTGCGAACGAGATTATGATGGTGAGCGATCCAAAAAAGAAGCGCTAAAAAAAGGGGGGAAAGAGGAGCAAAAGAAAAAAAAAATAGGGAGAGCGGGGACCTTCACGGAAAAGAAGGGGGTAAACAAAATCGAGGAAAAAAGTATTGCGATCTTGAAGAGAAGGAAAACAAGAATAGAAAACAAAAAGGGTTGCTATCCGACCCCGAAAAAAACCAGTGAGCAGGAATATCGAATCTTAGCTAATTGATGAAAAGCATGCAGGCGTGCAAGCTTAAAGCGCCTGGCCACACACAGTTCTTCTTGTCCGAGTCTTATCGTACAAATCCTACCCAACCACAGCCATCGGCAGATGTGTACAAAGAGCCAGGAGGCGCAACGACGGGACTCACAGCCGTGACAGCGTGCATGGGCACACAAATGATGGGGACAAGGGACTGGGATCCGACAGGTCGAGTGGTTGCGTTCGGTCCAGGGGGCGGTGTTAAGAAGGTTAGGTCTCCTTGAAGGGCCTGTCCCTCAGGACTGGCTAATCCCAATCCTGCAAAGTCCTTCTCCCGCTCATTCTGTTTATAGGCAGGCCGTAACTATGTAGTGTTGTTGCTAGACTAGATTGCTTTGAGAGAAGCCTAAGAGATTTTTTTAAAGGGGCGGGAACATTTTAGTGGCTTGCCCTTGAGATCCTCGAGTCCAGTAGAGCTGATTGGCCAGTGTGGAGAGCCTGTGCGGATTCAAAGTGAGCATGGAGGCCATTAGATGGAGCTGAGAGGATGGATACTTGCAATAACTCCGGCCACGATCGCCTGATCTCGTGAAGCAGACGCTGATATATCAACTTGGCTTGACATGCAAAAGCTGAACTTTTCAGAGTTGAAGTCGAGAAATACCAAAAAGAGAAAAATGTCAATAGAGTCACATGATATGCTTATGTAAGTTAGGGGTAAAAAACATTAAAAAAAAGATAAAAAATTACAAGCAGAAGTTGATGTTATAGCTCTGGGACTCGATTAAGGGCATGGGTAGGACGGGTGAGAGTAGATATTCTATTCGCTGTCGTTCTCGTTATGCCAAGTTCGTACACTGAGACCGTTGGAGAGGCGGGTAACATGGCCATCGAATGGAATATTGATATATACGGAGTATTTGCCATCGTGTGATAGACAGTCACAGACGGGATGAACTCCTGGCCTAGGCGGTTTACAGACGTAAGGCTGAATAGGGATTGGAAGATGTGGAGGTATGTCTATCCTTACTATCTATGTATGGCGTAGTATATATATTTATGGCGTCGTATAACTAATTTAAACATGCAGATATAACGGCATTTTCAAGCTGACCCGGTAGATTTGAATGCACGATGACATAGCATACTCCGTAAGACCGTGATTAAAATCCTGGAACTGGCGTTTCAGGATTTCAGATGACGATTGCGATTAGATAAATAGCCAACGTCACTGCGTCTGGATCTGGATTCAGCCACGAACTGAGACGGTTCTCACGATGAGCAAAATGCCTTCAGATACCCCAGTCTCCAACCCCATTTATCTATACGGAGCATGGCGAAACACCCCAGGCCGACCAGTTGCAAGGCACCCTGTCCGAACCCTGCCCTTAACCGGTTCTCACACCAGGGCTGGAAGTCAACAAGGCAGACGAGTTTTGAAGCTGCCAGGGCTAGGAGCGCGTACACAGTAAGGTTAAGATTTCACGGAACCAGCAGAAAAGGAGAAGGCAAGAGTTTGCCTCTTTCTATCATGTGCGA